CTTCAAAAATTTGTAAAAAAAATCGCGTTTTGTTCAAATCGCAAAATTTTTCCGCAGAGGTTATTCCAATAAGATATAGTTTCAGATAAGAAAATAAAAAAAATTTGGGTGATGGAGACTTAAACAGTCTTAGGACTGTTCTGTTATTGCCACTTTGTGGTCAGGCAAGTTTGGACCCCACCGATCAAAAATTCCTGGATCCGCCCCTGATATTTCCTTACATCTTCTTTCGGCGGAAAAGAGAACTCTGCCAGCATGGAGACTGAACCAAAGGTAAAAACTAACCCAAAGATAGATAGTCTTACACGTGTATCCGAGGCTCTGTAGTAGATTAAATAAGGCTATATGGTAGCATTACTTTTTATCAAGGAAAGCATAACAAGGGCCATGGTCGTGACGAAAAGCTAATATTTAACTGACCTCTGATAAGTTAACTTCGGCCGCTAACTTTCACGCGTGGTGTTGTATTTCCCGTCAGCGTCCAATATCTGTTGAAAACAAATGACATTATCGCACCATTTGAAACTCACAACATCAAACAAAATACTTTTAAAAAGTTCGGCAATATATTCCTTGTATAGTTCTTACCGTTTAGAGTTGTACAAAAGCCAAGCATCAGTAAACGTTACATTTCATAAGACTCGAAAATAAAATGAATCACATGCGCGGCTGCTCAGCTTTTTAGCTGAGTGCACGTGCCCACATGAGATCGAGGCAAGTAAGGTCCTAGTCCTTAGGCCCTCGTGGCTGGTAGCAGTAGTCTGGGCCGGACCTCCTGGGTAGCAACAGCCAACTTGAGTTGAGTGCCGATTCTCCAGACCCGAGCAGGGAATTTGCGCTAGACAAAGTGAGAAGCAATTGATTTGAAAATGATTTTTTCTTAACTCATTTCAACTTCAACTTCAACTTCAACTTCAACTTTGTTTGATAATAATATTGTCTCGCCTCATGTCAGGGAATGCTGGAAATTTTTCCTTGTGGAATCTGAAATCCTGGGCTTTGGAATCCGGAATACAGCTCAAAGGATCCGGAATCCCAATAACGATTGGAATCAAGAATCCACGTTCCACTCACAAAGGCTGGAATCCAGTACCTGGAATCCGTAATCCGTGGTTTGGAATCCGGAATCCAAGACTGTCTCAGATACCCTTACATGTGGCCACATTTTCACTAGGAAGAGTTTTTGCACTTAGCCTCGTTTTGAAAGTGAGACCTTACCGAAATAGACGTAACCGGACTAATCACTAGGAAATGTTTTTAAAAAAGAGGGACAAGCTATGCGTTGCTTGCGCAATTTATTTTGCTTTCAAACAAGTCATGTTTATAATGCAATACAAGTTATGTAACGTATAGTTTTAATTGAATTGAAATGAAACATTTGTAGTGTTCGAGGTTATACACAGTCTGGGCTTTGTTAATTGCATCTAAACTGTAGCGTTTACACTTTCACTGAACGGATAAAAAGAAGAGGAAAGAAAACATTTTCACCTCTTACACATGATAGGATGACGACGATTAACATTATAAATCACCGCGTACCTTACAGAGCAAGAACAAAAACAAAATTACTATTATACTTTTCTGGGGAAATGTTTACTACACTATATCATATTATTACTCTTTTAGCTTCCATGTCAGTCAAATGGCAATGCCTCTGTTATCAACCTGTGACCAAGGCTAAAAATTCCAAAAATACGAAAAAATATTTGAAGGAGAAACTGGAAGCTTCTGCCCCTCTCGCCTTTTTTTTTCAACTTTTCATAAATAAAACATATTAACAACAGCTGCTTCAGCAAAATAGCTTTACATGTAATTGCAATAAACCAATCACCATAACTTTGTTGCATTTACATGACTGAATAATAAACTCTACACCCCCAGAGTCAAAAGACGTCATACGAATGAAGTAAAGATCAAATCATATGGTGTGAGAATTCTGATGAAATCTCCCCGACAATACTTGTACATGTTACTACAGCATCTCTCTCTTTCGATACCCAACGATACAGTCAACTCTCTCAAGGGACACCTGCAGTTCATTCGTGCTCTCTTCACAGTTTGTTCTCTCTAAAAGGCAGACACCTTTGTAAGAGGGACACGGGGTCCCAACATTCAAGAGGGTGATAAGAATTGACTGTATCAAAACTGCCGGGATTTTCCTAAAATAGTTTATCAAAGAACCTTTAATGCTTTTCCTGCCTACAAACTGAAATTGTATTTTCGCATCTACCGCACATAAAGGAACTATACAACCACATCTGTAGGTGTAATGACAGACTTCATTGTAATATATTGTTTTGGAAAAAATTTCAGCTGGAAAAATAATAACATTAAGGTCTAACTAGTCTAATTGTTTTGATAGATCAAATACTAAATGGACCATTCTTTCTCTCCAGTGAGGCTAACCTTTCCAGTCTTTAACTATGAGATTTTAGTCCAAACAGAGTTTTTAGATTAATTTGATGCCTCTAGTTCGCTTTTGGTGGTCCGCCTATCTAGCAAAAACGTGTAGTTTGTGAACTGTACAGTTATTCATGGACAATCCAGGACCTGCCCGTGATCCTCATCAATGACAATTTTTTAAACAAAATTAGAAGAATTTTCAGTGTCATGGTGTATGTCATCCGCTCTCTGCAGCAATGATAATAAGCTTTCCATCGTCAAGACAAACAAAAAAATGAGTGCCATCTCTCGCCAGCGAGACAGAACGGATAGGGAGCAACAGATTCATCTTCTTTACAACCTGAAAACTGAAAATGCGATAAAAATAATTAATTACACAAACCGTCGACAATCGCTTTCCTTGGCTGAAAAGAAGGGTTATAAATTACTGACACTTAAAGGGTGAGTTCTCCCCAGGTGGACATTATTTCTTCTTCTTTTTCTTCTTTCTTATTACCTCGCCTAATTTTTGAGACATTTTCGAAGGGATTGAAGCAAAAGGAGCATTAACGTAGGATTATATCCGAGAATGTGTTACCGTGACTATTGAATATGGGTGAAGGTAATAACAGGCGGAACACTGAAAAATTAAGGGGTTCTTTACCTGCGAAGGGAGAAAATAGGTACGCTACAAGTTGCTTTCCACTTACGTGGATAAATTTTGACCACCTCTTAATAATTTGACAAGCAAAGTTCAAAAGTTCAAAAAACGGAGATTCCAGAAAATTGACAAAGGACAATTCCCCAGTCCCGTCGGGCAATATACTTGACCGCCTGATAGGACAAGTATCCCAAGTTAGCGAGAGGTAAAAAAACAAAAGATATCGCTCTTGAAAACTGGACTAGCTCCTCATGCACTACGCAAAAACGTACACTCTCACACAACTAGGAAGAGTTCATCCCTGATATACTGCAGCTGTTGTCTGTTTTCCGCCTGATAGTGGAGCTTGGGGACAAGTATCCCAAGTTAGCGAGAGGTAAAAAAACAAAAGATATCGCTCTTGAAAACTGGACTAGCTCCTCATGCACTACGCAGAAACGTACACTCTCACACAACTAGGAAGAGTTCAAACCTGTGCAGCGTTCTGATTTCCAGTCTACCTTTTGAATCCCCTGTAACAACATATTCATTGGAAATAAACAAAGCAGCAACGTCGTCTTTTAACTTAACGTCTTTGGACAACAGTTTTCCATTGATGGAATATCTGCACAGAGCTCTGTTTGATTCCTGCTTGCAATATACCACGATATTACCATGTTCGGACAAAGCCAGGCTAGTCACGTGACAATGATTTAGCTGCATTCCCATGGGTCTCAGCGTCAGTACATACTCTCCTTTTCGCGCAGTGTAAATAATACAGGTCCCATCCTGTAGAAAAATGTTTTCAAAACTTGTCAAAAGACAATACACAATCCTAATCCTAACCCTAATACAGGTCCCATCCTGTAGAAAAATGTTTTCAAAACTTGTCAATCGACAATACACAATCCAACATTCTAGTGCCACAGAGTAAAAAACAACGACATTAACTCTTATTAACTGATCTCAAAATGCCACGACTGGATCGTTACGCCGACTGAGATTGCTTAGTGTGTTGGTAAGTCTTTGCCAAGAAATGTTGTACTTAAGTGCGACGGTCGCTTAAAAGAGGTTGTAGTTTAAGTGCTCTTACAGGAAAAAAATGCTCTTGGAATGTTAGACATGCGGTCACTTATAACGTGGTCTTACATGAAGGCTCCACTGTACAATAACTGTATCAGTGGTATCAAACCCATTGAGACAAAAAAAGGTGTTGTCAAAATAAGCCAGTATACGGTAACAGGCAGTGTTTTTTAACGATAAGAAATAAGTGTTTCTTTTTTCGTTCAAAATAGACTGCAGTGTAATTTCTAGGTTTTGTTTCCTGTGTAGCGTACCAATGTGTGTCTACGAAATTACTAAATTTAAACCAACCTGAGATCCACTGACTGCCATGTTAAGTTCCCAGCTCATAGCCACGCACGTAATAGGCTTGTCATGACCATATAAGGTCTCCAGAGGCGTGCGTAAAAGTTCCTGAGCCATACCACCCTGATGAGTGATTTCCCACAGCCGGCAGGTAGTATCACGTGATCCCGTGATCAGGTGATGTCCATCATCATCCAATGACACGCACGTTATCACATCTTCGAACAAAAATAGCTTACTGTCAATGTGCATTAGTTTTATGAAACACAAATAAAAACCTAGAACCATCTTTCGGAGCATCATAAATTATACAACATGGAAGTAAGGCAATGTTCAACAACTTTCATATAAATGTTCGCACGTAACGGTACCACAGGAGAGTAATACTTAGCGGCTCACATTTTATTGTCACGTTATGGAATTTTATCCACAGAATTAAATGTTAAAACTACCTTGTATGGTATAAAAAGCAGTACCACAGGAAAGTACTGCTCAGTAGCTTTCATTTTAAGGTCGTTACACCACATTTCCTCCACTGTCCTCATACAGATTCGTAATGTGAGCAATTAAAGTAGGACTAAAGAGCAGTTTATTTCTGCATGTTCTATTGTGATATCGCACTAAGTTTGCTTTTGAGAGAGAAATACGAAGTAATACCAGCTAACAACAAAATGATAGCTCTAAGTGAGAGCAGAAAATTTCTGCAGATTGATTGTGGAGGAGTAAATTGGCCTGGGAACTAGGTGAGACCCTCAAAAAATGCACAAGTGTCAATGGCAGCCTTCACTTGTATGTATGAATGCATCAGCCGACTGATACTCTCAAGAACGAATGGCCCTAATATTTCTCGATTGATGATGTATATTTTCGTCGATTCTTGTTGAGTATTAACTGTATTTTACCACCCGCAGTTCATACCTGTGTGGGCCACAATCCTGCTTAGTAGCCTGCCTTTGGAAGTGAAAACTCGGAAACTGTTGTCCCAGTGGCCAGCGGTTATGATCAACTTAGCATCATGGGTAACAGTAAATAGGTGAGATGATACGTGTAAGTCAGGGGTAAATGGACCCGCAATACGACGGCGTAACCTGCAGTGGAAGAGAAAACAAATTGTGATCATTTAGCTTTCAATGTCACGAATTTGTATGACCTAATTTCTTCGTTACCTGGGCGATGATAGAGAAGGGTCGCATTCAAAAGTGAAAGGTTTTGCTCTGTTTTTGGAGTATGGTAGCCAGTCGTGTAATCCCAGAATACCATTTTGGGTGATAGTGATCATGTTTTCTGGCATGCCCGAGTGGATGAGCGATCTGCTGTGAACTTTGGACACTGCAGTGAAAACCAAGGGGTCAGCGGTATCAGACACCTACGAAAAATGAGTAAGACAAGTTATTAACCCGGACATTTTTTTCCTACGATTGCCAAAGCTTAAACCCCAAAAAATCCAAATTCTATTCGGTAAAACACTGACACAACAACAACAACAAAATAAAAGGTCGGTTTGTTAGCGATTAAGGGTGATAGTTCATCCTTAACTATCCAGAGTAGACAGGGAAAAGACTGTTAAATTTTCCGCTAATCCACCATGCCTAAAAAAGGGGTACAGAATAAAGAAGAATAACTTACATTTACAAAGTAAGCCTTCAGTACATCAAAGCTTTGAAAAACATTCGCAAGTGTTTTGCTTGTGCCCGCATTCTTTGTTGTTTTCGACTTTGCGAGCTCCTCCAAGGACATGCGCTGTGGATGAGGCTGAGTAAGCAACTGAGTGGGAGTCTGACCAAAGTTGTTAATCATTCCTTCAGTGGCCAATCGCTCAGCTGGATCTGTGATAGCATCAAGATCAACAGCCCCTAATAAGGACAAAAGATTGATATTAATGAGAATGAGAAATCAATTAACTGGACACACTTTATAGTCGGATAGTTGCAGGGCAAATCTTGATGAACGTAAGCAAAGGTTCATAAAAAATACGGTGGGTGGGTGGTCAGGATTCGGCAATTTCAAAGAATATTTGAAGGGTAGCCTCCCACAAACTTAACATTCCTTACAGCAAAAAATGGCTGCCCTCCTCTAAATCTTCATAGCCCCACCCCATCCCTTACTCTTCCCAGCTGAATACAATTTGTGTTTTGTCCCGGTTTTTTGAATACCGCTCTTTATATAGATACTTTATTTTTCATCTAGATATGAAGCATTGTTGTCATCTACCAACCGACAAAGAAAGAGCAAGAGCAAGTGTTTTCCTTTGACAGTAATTGTCGTAAAAAGTTTTTTGAATACCGCTCTTGATATAGATACTTTATTTTTCATCTAGATATGAAGCATTGTTGTCATCTACCAACCGACAAAGAAAGAGCAAGAGCAACAGTTTTCCTTTGACAGTAATTGTTCTAGAAAATTTAATTTGCATAGCATTATATTGATCTAATATAATCGGACATTTTTTGCAAAAGGTCCTTACCTTCGTAAGTACAATAATAAAAAACATTCAAAGCCTCAGCGGCAGCAGGTCCTTTCTGTTTGTAGCCAAAAATCAAGTCAATCCACTGGTGTAAGTGAGCAGAGACGTAATCAGATTCTAATGCCTGCCTGTGTTTTTGCACAAAATCTTCAGGCGAGGACGCCCACGTTGGGAGAATGACGTCATCAACAGCTTCTCCACGCTGGAGACGACCGAGGTCAAACCTACAAGGGTAAATGAAAGAGCATCACTATTGTATATGTAAATGTCGAATGTTGTTTGTACTAAACATTCAGTGTTTTGTGGTGATGTGGAAACTGTTGTTGGTTAGGCATTGTTTTGTGGTGTGGCCACTGTTCAGTGTCTTTTCAATCTTCTGTGTTACGTCATTTAGTGATTGCACCTTTCAACAACACCAAGAAATCACCTAATTATCTGAACCAAACAGAATTTTAAAAAAGGCCCAGAAACGTCTTAGTTGCAGTGATTTTGTTACCTCTGCGTCCCGCGTCACTGACGCATAAAAATCCCCAAAGACGCAAAGTAATTCATGGCATGCGCGCGTCCCGTAGAACGCAAAGAACGATCGATCGATTTGAAGATTTTTTGGTATAATATCCTGTTCGTGTGATTGCTGTGGCTGTTGTTCAACGGCATTTATTTCTTTTAGTCTATGTTGTACTTAAGAAGAGATGGAGTATATTTTTATTTTAGTAAACTGTGTAAAGAGTTTTGAAGTCTGTCTTCAGATTAACTGTGCTTGCTACACAAAGAACCAAGCATGTTCAATTTAGGGCCCTTTGTTTTTGTAACTGGGCCTCAATGGTTCTGAACTGGGACTCATGATTTTTCACCAGACGAGTCCCAGGACTGATAATTGGTTTGGCGATTTTCGATTCTTAATTGTGATGACATACTTGCGCTCTCCTGTACACGTCATGTACCTACACAAAGAACCCTGCGGTTTGTTTTACCTGTTTGAGTTGACCAAGAAATCTGGGAAGTAAAAAAACTCTGGGATAAGTTCCTTGACATCTCCACCTTTTGAGTAGATGGAGTCCCAGGAAGAGGCAATGTTGTGGAATTGTCTGTCGGCGCAGTCGAAACGTCCGCTCTGAAGTTTAACGTGTAGTGTGGTGAATGGTTCTACACGTAACATGTAATGAAGGACACCTGCTGAACTGGAGTAATGAGAGCCGTAATGAAATTTGGCAATCAGCCCACTGGGATCTACGAAACCATCATATCTGTAAAACAGACAAACAATGTTACCTTACAATTTACCTTGCGTGCGTTCTCTTTAACGTATGCACAGTTATACGTAAGAAACTCACGCCGCGGGACCACACTATGATGTTATTTCACAAATGTCTTGTGCCTTCCCTGTCTGCTATTTTTAGAGAAGCGAACAAATTCTGTTCCCCTTTACACCGAATTGAAATTTAGTACACTGACAGGACTGACAGGGGCGGGGCTGTGACGTGCCTAACAAAACAAAGGGTAGAGGGGAACACATACGACAGGAGCTATTAAAGGTGCTTCACCATCCATAAAGGTTAATATGTTACGCAAGGCTGCAGTTATCAAGCTTTTTGTAGTTTTCAGCTTGTCATGGAATTCGTAAATTTGCAGGGATTAAAATGTTGTGCACATGACAGCTGTTAAATAAAATCTTACATCAGGAGCTACTGAGCTGTTATCAAATAAACGCTTTCTTTTTTTTTTTTCAAGGTGAAGCTTCTGTCAGTTAATACTTAAGCAACCATAGGAAACAAGGAGAAAGAAAGCACCTTTCTTTTAATGCGTCAACTCTGTGTGGATTGAGTGCTCCCACAGGCTTGGACAGGTCCCTGTACACAGAAGGATCATCCAGACGTAATTCTTTTGAAGTGTAGTCCACAAGCACCCAAGGGAACACTGGGTACTGACTGAGATCATTGTAGGTTCTCCCAGAGATGGTGTTTAGCTGCATTAGGTACTCAAAATTGGATATCTCCCTGTGGACCCACTTCTCTGTGAGCCCCGAGGCCCTAAGAAGGTTTGCAGGAGACCTGGCGCCGATGTAGTACAGATTACGTGGACGAAGTGACATGATTTTCTTGTAGACTTTGTTACGAGTCTGAAAAACAAAAAGATACCATACCACGATATACTATTTCGACTAAATCTACAGTGTTTCGTTTTAACACACAAATTAGTGGACTTCAAAAAGCACATATCTGAAACACCGAGCCTGGCAATTTAAAACAATGGACAATACTAGAAAGACAATACTGGACAATACTGGAAAGACGGGGGTGGATTTATGGTGTTTCTTTTGTGCTGTGCACTCCTCTTCTCACCTCAGATACACGGCTCCCTCACCCCCCACCCCCCCTCAATATCCCCTTTTCCCTCAGATACAATTGACGAAAAGCCCCCTTTCAAAATGCCCCTCGAAAGGGAAAATACCACTTGGCAGTCTTCTCCTAAGTAGTCTCCTCTTTCACGTAGTCATTGCAATCTTCAATTCTCTTGATGCAAGCCTAACATTAAACACAATCGAGGAAGAGTGGCAGAAACTTTACACACTTAGTCAACAGGGCATCTAAACCTTAAATACTTTAAACCTTAAATACCTCCTTGTTGAAGTTCAAAAAATAGTTTGTCTGATCAATCAAAAATAACTCCAATGCGCTTCTTCTAAGATTGTGCCGCCTTAGATGTACTTCCCTCAGCTCAGTTAATGGCCAGTGGAAATCTCGTCCAGCGGGATCATCCGCGTAAAAATAGACATGCGTATTAGTGATTTCAAACTTTCCTGGTACTATGTCCATCAGGGTAATCAACTCACATTTTTCACCTTAAATAAAAAAAAATACCTCATCATGTGCAGGTTCATACTAGTATCCTGTGAAAAGGAAAAAAGTCTTCTGTCTCCAGGATATAGGTATAATATATAAGTATAATTTACACCACTGCAGTCAGAGATAGTGTCAACCAACCGTCAACTGTATGAAGTCGATGATGCACAGTGGAGCGTTGCATGGTCATACATGAAGAAGTTATTGATTTTCACAGAAGCAGTTCAGGGTAGAGAAGTAGGAAAGTGGTTAGGGTTTGAAGCTTTTATACATCCCATAACTTCATAACTATTTTGCTCACCCTGGCACGTTACACAGTTCTTGTAATTCAAAATAATTTTGGTTTATAAACCGCCTAGATTGGTCAGAAAACTCCACTCCCATGGTTTAGTAGCTTTCAGCTTCAAGCTACCACTTTTCGTTACGTAATATTATTACGACTTCTCTGCTGATACCACTATGCAAATATTATCATTCAATGATATTTAAACTAACCTAAAAGAGTTCTTTCTGTTTCCGAGATTGCGCGCATTCTCTCTCTGGTCGCTTTACCAGTCGGACTTCCAGGATCATCATCTTCAAGTTTGTCCTCGTCAACATTTTGTACCACAGCTTCTTTCGCGACACGCACGGGAACTGAAGCCACACGCGCGTCAACCTCGTCAGTGATGTTATCACGTGTGCGACTGGCATCAGTGTGAGGCGTGAATGTATAGTTTCGTTTAAATTTGAGGCGCATGCGCTGAAAATTTTCAGTGGATGAGAGTTTCCAATGCAATTCCGTTGGAAACCTGTAAGTAAAAGCAAACGAAAACAACGAAGAATGCAAATCATTACTGAGACGAAACAAGGTTTTGTGATTTGACACAGTTTAAAGCAAACACATTCTCTCAACCGAATACTGACCACGTTTCTCGATTCAAGGGCTTACCCAACTCTTTTCAACGATTAATGAGAACTTGTGCACTTGACCCGAAGAAGAAAGCTCTTAAAAGATGAATTGACAATTGACAATTGACAATAGAGGTTTAGTGTCCTTAAATCTCCAAGTTTTAAGTAGCCTGAGAAAACAGCCGACATTTGGTGACGCTACCACCGGTTTCTCCACCAAATGACGTCTGAGAAAGGAGCGCAGAAATTCGATACTGATGACGCGTCATTACCCAGATCTGGGTAGTGCTTCTGATTGGTTGAATCAAATTTTCCATGTGGCACGACCAATCACAAGCACTACCCAGATCTGGGTAGTGACGCGTCATCAGCGCTTGTTTCTCAGTTGTCATTTAGCGGAGAAACCAGTGGCAGCGTCGGCTGTTTTCTCAGGTTAAGTTTTGAGTTCTAATTCTTTTGAGAAAAATACTAGGAGCTCAGGAATAATTCAGATGAGATTCGCATGCACCCCTTATATCAATGGAGACAAGACGGCAAGCACTGGATTGAAAATGTCTCAATTTAAATCAAAGTGACAAGGACATTTAACAGAGAACTGTTTTGAAACGCATTAACAACAAACCAACATACTTGCTACCCCATGGGGATCTCTCTGACATAAGCGTTCTTTTGAGTACGTTCCATTGGCGTGCAATGGCGTTCTTGTGATGTTCTTTTTGCACAGGTAAATTCTTCAAGCTTTCTCGCTGTGAGTCTTGAAGATTTTTGAACGGTCGGGTGATCTGTTCATCGAACTTTTCTCGGCTCTCTTCACGTACTTTCTCTTTATTGTTTACGCTGACTGTCAGACCGGACAGGCAGTCCATAAGAAATCGGCCAGAGGCCAACGACGTTTTGGAGCTGAGAAATATATGAGTACAAATGTCATTACCTAAAAAAACTTTGTCGAATAAAACACTATTAGACTTCTTATTCTCGGTAATGACTGCGGGACTGTGTTCCATAACCAACCCCTCACCCCCTACATTTGAAGGGAATCCATTTTCTCTCTCTAGCACCACAGAGCAACTCCCTCCAATACCTACCATTTTGTCACTCCGATCCCTGTCGTTTTGAAAGGCCTGTCGCCATTCATTTCCAGTAGTTAGAAAGCTAAGTAACTTTAGGATTGCGTGACGAGCCAAAAGAACGTTTGCGTGGGAGGCTATCCCAGACGTCGATTGTTTTGTCGGTTCATATTTCGAAGGTTCATAATATACAAGCATTGCCCAGTAAAGATGGAGTTTTTGCTCGTCCTGCAACTCCGATACAGTCAACTCTCTCTTAACAAACACCTCTACAGAGACAGGGGGGAGGGGGGTGGACACCTTCCTGAAACGCGGGGCACTTGGTGCTATTCCCAGTGGTGAAGAGGCAGTTTCATGTCATAAAAGTGGCGTTATATAAAAAAGCGAAAAGCAATTAACTTACAAAGCATTTTCGTATTGTTTCATTGCAGGATTTATCTGCTGTTTTATCATTGCCTTAAGTTCTTCACTTTCCATTAATTGAAGAAAATCCTCCTGAGCCAGTAGTTGTGAGCGGTCAGCAGAAAATGTAGGAATGTAAATAGTCAGCGGTAGAGTTTCGTGGTATTTGAAAAGAAGTAAACGTAGGACTGGAACGATGAAGGTGTAATTCTCGCACTTTTCTGAAACGAATTGTAAAGATTTGTTTTGATAGTAAGCTTTTTATAAACTATTAGAAAAACAAGTTACTTAAGGCTTCCCTGGCTGCTCATTCACAACATCACAAGCCTGATTTCGTTTGCACTGTTTCGTTTCTTCCCATGTTTGTTCACAACGAAGTAGGACTCGGACCAAAGTAAAAGAATCGTCCCCAAAGCTAAATGTTTACTTACTATGGTTGGAATTAGCCTATCTGAGCTAGGAGCAAAGGTTAAACATAAACATATTGCTAGTTTGTACCCAACGAAAACATCGCCTGACTAAGTATTAAGAGCTAGCTGAAACACGTCTGACTCTCATAACGACCGCTGGACTTGTTCACCCGATAACGATACGAACAGAGACGTGTAATCATCATCATCATCATCATCACTTTTATTTATACACGGTAAAAACAATCAGGCTATATATACACAATATCCTAAAAATGTTTACAAACTATAGTCGACCTAGTCGTCTGATAGAGACCAGCAGTGAGACTGGAAACGACCACATCACGGGGTGAATGATACGACTCTTGTTATACTCGATGAAAACAAAAATTTAAACATTCTCTCATATTTCCATTCATGTTTGAATTAGACTCTGTTTACCTCGCTAACACTACAAAACGCCTGGGTACTAGAACATCGGCTAATGTACCTTTCTGTCTTGATGCATCAAATGCTTGATATAAGTGTCCGATAATGTAGCACAGCTCTCCTTGAGAAGAAATCTTGCGGGCTTTCAACAGTTTGGTAAGCTTAGATGAAGCTGTAGCACAATATTCAGTTTGTGGCTGTGACATAAATGCCAACAGAATTCGCACCCCCACCTGGCTCATTTCCTCCCATTCTACATTGTCCTCACTCTCATCCCATACATTCAGTACTTCAAGGAGAAGAACAACATTTTCAACAAGCTGATGAAAAAGAAGACAAATTTTAATCGATTAAACCATACACCTGAAAGCTTAACGACTTTGACTGGAAAAGTCAAAGCTTTTATGCTGTTGAGAACTTTGCCCCGTTCACTAGGGTTTCCAGATCAACGAAAGCTACACTAAGACAATCAGTAGAGTCGATTGTATTTAATCACTTGGATTGTATTCACAGCATTTAAACATGGAAAAGAACGCTTTTCATACTAGTATACATTAGATATGATTGTCCGGCGATAATCAGAAAAAGGTTCAATTCCCCATTGTCCCATTAGCCAACATTTTGTCCTAAGTGACAATGAAGTGATCAATTTAGTTAATCCTTTGTCCTAGGGGAGGAGTGTTAATCCTGGCTTAGGGGAGGAGTAAGTGGGCAGTATCCCAGAAACCTAAACTGATCCCAACAAACAAACAAACAGACAACCTACTTTCACACTCCAGGTGTCTGCGGACTCGTCATTTCCTGCTCCAGCAATTCCAGCTAAAAGAAAAACAAAATAACACTAAGTCACATTTGCCTTGCCGTCTTAATTACCTGAGAACACTTAAGAGTGATAAATTTTAACAGGTTCCTACGAACAGTTTACCCTGAAGAGAGTATAACAACATATTTCTCCCAATGATGGGCTCCCTGTGCGGTGATATACTACCTGGAGTAAACAAGAAGTCCTCGACCAGCCGCATGACCATAAGCGCGTTTTGCGTCTCAGCCTCCCCTGTCTGTCCCGACACCTTGATGTCCTGTACGGCTCCCTGAAGACATAGTTCCAGGAGGCGCCGCTCAACAACGCGAAAAGGGACCAAGAAGGTTTCAGCCGAGGAAATAATACTCACTGCTGCTATGGCTTGACCGCGCACCTATGAAACGCAAGAATACTGCAGTCACCATCTTGCAAACCTCTTCTACTGATACAGGTTTTGGAATAAGCACTTTAACCAAGACGATTGGAATCTTTACTAGAATGTGCAATTTAACAGGTTATTGTAGCTGTCGAAGAAACACTGTTTAAAATCAAATGGGAGGAGATTGACTGAATGAGAAAATGAATGAAGAAAAGAAATGCAAGAATGAATAAGTTTGGAGGCAGGGCTTTCCTATTTCCTACCATGAAGGAATGTTTTTACCTTCCAATCATATTCTCTGAATCCTTCCACTCCTTTCCACATCACTCTGAACACGATTTCCAGCACCGTGTCGATTAAGTCTTCTTCTCCCCGCCTCTTTTCTTCCTTGACGTCAGCATTATGATTGCTTACGTCACTGTAGCCATGTAGCCTGCCAAAAGGGCCCGTGATCTGTCTGAGCAGCGTAACATGCCACCCATATTCTTTAGCACATCGCGTAAGGCTGAGGTGGTTGGCATCAAGTGACCGTAGAATCTCAAGAGAAAGTTAAAACATTTTTTTCGCAAATCTGTTCAAGCACAACAATAACTTATGCTTCGAAAAGGTGGTGACCCTGACTTGAAACTTATGGACAATCTGCTCGGTATGAATCCAAACTAAAACCCTGGCGGAAAAGATCGTAGAATAAAAAGGGCCAAAGAGGAAAGAAAGCCCAAAGCCACGAGCGACTGTGGAGGTTAACCTGGAGACACCATAGAGTACTGATTGATCCAACGGTGTCACCCTCACCCTGAGAATTATGGTACCATGGCCAAACAATAGAAGGGGTTTAAGAAAGAGACTGACAGGTGAAAATTGTGAGAGTGAAGTATATTACATTATGTTGCAAATATAACAAATAATTACCTACAACATAGTTTTACATGTCTTACCATGTGATTGACAAGCAGCTTTGTTTCCAAATCTCCATTTTCGATCATTTCCAACACAGCCAAGACCACCTGATAATGCATCAAAACATCCACACCTTTACTTTCATCATGTTCGGATACACCAAGTCTGAGGAGACTTTTCACAAGGGCTAAAGACACGTCATCAGACAGTTTCTCTGTCACAGCGGACATCCCAATAGGCTTCAAGTGCCAATAAGGTCTGTTACCCTCTGGTACACTGTGTGATGTCATAATATCAGCCATAAGTTTGAGGATCTTAAGACGAAGGTCTTCGTTCCTGTGGTTGATGAGAAGAGTCACAAAAACCGGGATGAACCTGGGATCTGTTCAGAAATGCAGAAAAAAAACACAAGCAAATTAAGACAGAAGGCAGAGGCTCAGTCCGTCTATTTATTTATTTATTTATTTTCATTGTTTGGTATGTTTCCGAAGCAGAAAAATAATCTTTTCTGTAGTTTGTACAACTGTTTCTTTCACACATGTATACTAGCTACTAAAGTCTCCTCTCTCTCAACGGACGCCTCTATAAGACAGATACCTCGCTAAAACAGACACCTAGAGCTGGTCCCTGCCTTTCTTTACTCCTTTTAGATGACTCTCTATAAGGTGGACATCTCTCTAAGACAAACACTTGGTGCTGGTTCCAAAGGTGTTTGTCTTACAGACAGTTGACTGTTAAGTCATTGAGAGAAAACGCTCATGTACTATGGACACCAAAAGGTGTCTGTCCTAGAGAGAGTTGACTGTAAAGCCATTAAGAGAAAACGCCCATGTAATATGGACACCTTTCCAAGGACCACACTAATGGGTGGCCTTACTTATGTGTTTCTAAGTTGAACTCTCTTTAAGGCGGCAAATTGTACCTGATAGTCGTTTAGCCATCTTGCTCTTGGTAGCTCGTTCACAGAGTGACAACAAAACATCTATTACTTCTTGGATTTGTTGTGGATCAGTGACGCATGTCAAATACTCGACTATGTACCAGACCTCCTCTCTTTTGACTTTTTCCGTCAAGTAAAACTTAATTAACCCTAAAATGGGATCACACAATAAACATCACCGCAAAGTAAAGCTGTGTAGTAACAACAATTCGAGAAACTGTGTCGACTCTCTACGATCCAACAAAGAGCGATTATCTGGTTAGAAACCACAGTTAGTAATTAAAAGCACCAATTTGAAAACATCTGAAAGCTCAAGTGTATGACCTGACACTGGGAATACAGCCTTGCCGAGTCTTTTGCACGTTCCAATAATCATTTGCGTGAAATTCTTTTGGGGTACACAGGACCCTATTTATACACCCATGTTACATAATTATGGAAGAATTTATATACTTGGCCCTATGGAAAGCCATCTACTAACAACACGACAAAACTAGTCCAGTTGCGATGTTAAGCAGACAAGTCGCAGTCAACAAATTTAAGAAAATATTACAGTAAAGTCGGAAACATTGTCGTCTCGTCATAAACATCACATGACTCTCAAATATATATAAGGGTATAAGAACCAAACTAGACATTTTATATACCGCGGTGTCAATCTACACCATAACAAAGAGAATATGGAAGTTTTTTATTCCAGAGCTAAGTAAACCTGTCGTATAGTTAAGGTTTAAACGCTTACCAATGTTTTTTAATGATGTTTATACCAACCTAAAAGAGATGCTCTGATGATCTTGATCTCCTCTTGAGGCAACTGTACTTGGTTGTCATGTTTTCGACCAGCGGAATTACTCATGGACGCATCCTCACCATAGTATTGGCTTATAATGTCAAGAAAAAATCTAACACCATACTCTGAACGAAATCTAACGGGATTATCTTTGATTTGTGTTGATATAAACTGAATATGTCCTATTCTAACATTAAAATCACTTGAGCTCCAGATACGAAAATCAAACAGGAGATTTTCATAAATACTCTGCAGAATAGTTTCGTTATTCACGCATTCCACCAACGCTTGTAGCGACCTCAAAACTTGAACGTTTATGAACTGAATGTCCATATTTCTTAATATGCTACCCACATAAGAAAGTGTCTCTGCGAATTCCTCATCTTTGATGTCGTGACCTGTTAGAATACTTAGAAGCAAAAATAAGAATAACGCAACTCCGTTACAGTTTTGTGACTTGCAGAGTCTGTATAAGTCTTTTTTGTAAACGCGAAGGTCGAAGTTATCCCTTATAAAAACCCACTCCTCCTCCTCTTTTTCCTCTGCGCATGCACTGTTACTTTCTCCAACACTGGGCAGACTATTTTCACTTTGATCTTCATCAGATGTGCAGCTGGGAGACCTGTGATATCAATGATTCACATGAGTTAGACTGACAACCCAAGAACATAACAATAACGTGACTTGTATTTTTCTAAGCACCCAACCTCTTAAGATCTAGTAAATCAGACAAATACCTTTCCAAAATTCCTGCCACTTTTTCGTCTGTTGACTTTTCAAGATCAAATAGTTTCAGTTGTTCACTGTTGCCATGGCAACGCGTTGATGGCTGAAAGTACGAGATCTGCTCTAATAAAGGTAAAAATATCTTCATGCCTCCAATACAACGAAGAACATCCTGAAAATGACAAAGAAAATTGAAAATATCAGTAATGATGATAAATGATGATGATCATGATGGCGACAACAACAACAAAGATTTGTGTTTGAGTAGTAAACAGGGAATTTCTATGTCCCATGTCAGGTGTTCCTATATGACAACGACCGTCAGGGGCACAATAACGTCATACGTTCGATCCCTCAAACTCAAATTATTTAATTACCTTCATGTCCCAAGTAGTGCATCTATGGCCAGTTAACCTATTAAAAGTAGAAAAGTCAGAAATATATCCCGAAAGATGCGTTGCCTTACATTTAACTGAGGTCGTTACAGTTTAACGGTATATTGTTTAACGTTTGGCATAAGCACACAAATCTTACAGAAACATAAAACAAATCTCCTCGCAAAAGGGATCAGCAATCCGCAAATAGTGACATTCTGTACCGGCTAACACTATCACTCTACGTCATACGATAGTTGCAGCTAGCACCTCTGGTCACACATAGGATGAATCAAGCGTGGATTAATTAATTCACGTACTATTGCATCAATATTGACAAATACCTGCCATTCAACTGTTCTCGTCCCGGCTGAGCTGGTGTCAAGTCACAACACATATGTTCACGGCCCGCCTAGAAGCAAAAAGGGCAAACTAAGTTATTTCCGATACGGGTGGGTTCTCGAATACTGTAGTAATGAAGAGGTAATGCTATAACTGTTAACTTCATGATCCATCTTAAAAATCACAATAAAATAAAACAACAATACGCCTTGCTGGAACGCACGTGTCCACTGTTTAAGTTGGTCAGACGGATTTATCTGGTTTTGGTTGATAAAAACTCCACCTGAAGGTTTGCCATCAAAAATTCGAGGGATGTACAAACTCAAGGATGACTACAACACTTCTTATGGTGCATATAGGGCAAAAGGACGCATAAAAGGGTTTGCAGCGAAAGTACGCAAAGGAAAGAACGGAGTATGGAGTGTGATGGCTTAAATTATTGTGCCAACTAAGAGAACCTGCACTTACCTTGGAATTGTAAAAAAGAACAAGTTTTAAAGATAAGTCAAATAAAGCTTGCTGCGTAGAGGTAGCAGCATCAACCGGTTGAAACAAGTTGATGTCGTTTGGACCTGAAAGAAACCAATAAAAACGAGTTACAGGAAAAAAGAAAAGTGATGGCCACGTAAGTGTGTTTAAGAACTACTTTAAATATCACGCAGCTAAACGTTGAGAAAAACAGATCAGGTTGTGGTCGTTATGGGTCTTCTGTAAATCCTTGTTGGCAACCAGGTTCAATTAGCTTTAGGTCTGCATCTGTATAATGTGAATTATGACTTTGTTCCCAAGACCCAATCTAGTCTAGTCTAATCAAGTCCAATCCATATCACGGAAATGCCATCACCATCTTGGGTGCTGAACCACAAAGTTGCATAAGCTTGATGATCTCTTAGTACCATACGTACATACCATTTCCTCAGCTAATAAGTGGTATTTGGGGGGCAAAAGTAAATATACCTTGCTTACTTTGATAAACTAAAAATGATGCTTTACGTTATCATTACCTGCCGCATGCAATGCAGTGATGGAGTTTTCTTGAAGTCCTTCACTGAAGACACACACAGGACCCAGCTGACCCTGTAAAGAGGTTGGAACACCCCAAACATAATCCTGTGAACCTGCTGAGATGGTGGAGCAGTGTGGTGATGCGTTCCTGTCTGATGCGGAGCCAGAAAAGGAGAACGGAAACTTGAACTGTGGAGTAGCTTTAACATCCAGTTCCTTGGGTGAGCAGACGGTCTGAGGGACTCCAAATCCAATCTGACATACAGCAAGGTCCTAAAACATGTACAGTGAAAACTGACAATCAAATACAAACAAGCCTCCCTGCTTAGTCAGCTAGTGGTCAGTCATGTAAGGTGACTGTTCCAAAGTGTCATCATTCGAAGGAAAACTATAGAGCAGCACTTTTCCTGAACAACTGTTGATAGTGTATTGTGCTGTTCAAGGTGGTCCTATCTCTAGAGCCTGTAAAGTGGACATTTGCTGGATAGTACATGATGTACCAACAGGGCAGTATAAAGCTTGCCAAGGTATTCTGTATTCTAGCTTTCGAATCTATCTTAGTAGTCCCACCTTTTTATTAAACTAAGTACAGATTAAGTGTAACTATGCCCTTTTCTAGTTTCCACCATCGGCGATTTAGAAGCACTGATTAGATTTTGTACTTGTCTTGTCATGAGTCATTGACAACTAAAGAACTCTAATATACCTCATTGAGAGATGGAAACTTTAAGGGACAATTAATCTTCAGTACACCATCTATATAAACAGAAACCGTGCTTGGGCTAAAAGGACGACGAGAAGACATATGGGCAATTGCCAAAGAATGCTGAAAAAAAAAAAACAAATGTCAAGAACTGCTGACAGTAATGGAAGGTTCTGTGCAATATTACATGAAAAATAGCGTGTAAACTTTAAGGTACATATAATTATATAAGGAAACGTAAATGTGAAAATACTAGGGATATTTATACCACTCCTCCCTGGGATGGGATGCTAATACGTTTATTTTGCAGTACTTTGGTTCATTAGAGAAGCGATGTCTCAGCTGATATCTGTCATTTCAAGTGTATGGCAACAAACACGCTGAACAAAGGCTGATACAGTAACATGCAGCAACGTATTTATCCTAACAAAGGTATGTTATATGTCACCTGGAGTGCCTTATGCCAAGAGCTAAACAGTGTCATAACCATACATATTTGAAATTGACAGACATGCTTAGCATTGAACATACCCATTTGCGATCACAAAGCTGACATACAGGCACAGTTACAGTTGTGTATTCTTTTTTATTGCAGACAGCCACGATTAGATGACCAGTGGTAGAGAAAAATGCCTCCACACCAGCTCCAGAGCTAGTAAAAAAGCTGAGGAAAAAAATTGTTATTATAAAACTCAAGCATTACAAAGATAATATTATGAAATGGATGTAAGACTGATATCATAGGTTTGATAGATATTTACTGTTACTTCCTTTTATCTACTGAAGGAGTTGAAAGCTTGGTTCTCTATTCAAACGATTTCTATACATTCCATGTCCAAAAGGAATGTTAATTTCCCGAGGAGTTCTTTGTTTTAATTCTCTTTGTTTTTCAAAGTTAGTTGTGTAATGAATTTGTGAACCAACCTATACAAGTTTCTTCTATAGTGAAAAATCTTTCTTTCAGAGCTTGCTTTTCTCTTTCCTTTCATTTCCTTCATATCCAAAGGTCCCAGGCACACCCACGCATGGAATGTAAAACTGTTACCAGGCCATTTCTGCAAGCCTGGAACTGAGATGCCCTAAAACACAGTTATAAAATGTTAGTGCATAAGCTGTAAACATTGACTTAAAGTAACCCAGTTTCTTTGATCTCCTATATTAGCACATAGCAACTAAGAACATGTCCTAAGGAAACTCTAGTCAACCATTGGTTTTACCATTTATATACATGTAAGGGGCCCCTAGCTATACCATAGGAAAGAGCCAATAGGGAGCAAAATTTCTTGACTAAACAAAACACAATTATCATTATTCAAAGGCATCTTTCCAGAATATCTTAAGAAAACTGAGTCTTTAAAGAACTATTAGCAACATTAACTGAATAATTTTCAAAAAATAGTTGTGCCTGCCGGAAAGGTCTTAATTATTAACTTGCTCATCAGAATTCACCAAAAAACATCATATATGGCAGATTTGTATGCACTGTAAATGTCTTACACATGAATGTTTTTGAAATATTCCTGTTTGTCCTAATTTCCATTTGATAGCCATGTATATGACAACTTAAGCAAGAGTAAATTTTTATTTTTGTTTTATACTCACAGCAGAAGGGTGGTTAAGATCAAAGAAATGTTTTGATCTCAAGCGGCTGCTGCTAAAAGAAATCTTTACAAGTGCTTGAAGTAACCTGTAAGCAAAAGCAACCTGTAAAAAAAGCAAACTTTATTAGCTTCATATGACATGTACAGTGAACCTGAAAAGAGTAAAGCCTCTAATAAGAATCTTATATTAAAATTCTCTTGTTACATTCGGAAATGATTGTCTTGAAGGGACATGTGTAAATTTCCTCCCATTTCTATTCAGAATTCAGGTAAAACTCATGATATTTTGGATAATATGATCAAAATCAAATTTTGCAGATGTTCTGTCAGAAGTTGTTTTAATTTTGTCTAGGAACAAAAGATGCCCAGAGTTGATATTCTTGGGGAGGAAATCAAGACCATCTGATAACAAAAAAACGCAAGCTTCTACTTCCCTGCAGTTTAGGCTAACAGTGTATTTATTAACCTGCTGGCCATTCTCAAGGGGTGAGAAAAGGCTGATCATCTTTTTCAGTTCAGATGATGTTACAGAGTGAGAGCCAATAGCTTCCAGGATACCAATCAGGGATTCTACAAGGAGAATAAATGCATAAGGAAATGCAGTGATTAGCAAATCTAATTGTTGGTGCCAAAATCAGTACCAAAGGTGTTAAGGCATTTACTATGAGCCTATGAAGTCATTATGTATAATAACTTGGTGCAAACAAGGTACTAAAACATACACTGCAAAGCATCTTTACCTCTTTTTATTTATAACATTATGATTTACAGTCATATACCTGCCCAGAGGTTGTCAATATTCTGTGTATCTCCCTCCAGTATAGTAACCACTTCGCTAAACACCCCATTTGTACTACATAACATGGCATTATGTGTAGAAAACCTGCACAAGCGTCTAATAATGTCTGTCACATATCTAGCACAAAAAAGTGAGTAAGCCATTAGTGACACATATGCCGCTAAAAATGACCCCTACATGTAGATCTGGAAATTAAAACAATCTGTCCAACTGGATGTAATGATAGAACTCACAAATGAGCAGTGGAATGCATTGAAGCCGTCAAATGTTCAAATATTCACCATATTTGACAGGAAGTAATAAAACAACAACTGGGATTGCAGGACCTTAACTACAATCTTACCACCACCCCCACCCCCATTTGATTTAGTCAAGGTCGTGCCACTTACCTGAGCATTCAATTAAGCAACAAAAACTAATTCAGTCAACCCTTTTCTACCGCTATAAGGCAAACAGTTTCCTTGGACCTACAAAAATAATAAGCTTTCTACAATTCCTGGCTCTTTGGTACCAACACTTAGAGCTGCAGAGTGAATACCCACTCTGTCCGTTTGGTGTCCATATTAAGGACTGTGCTGTCAGCTGTCTCTAAATGGACACCTCCATACAAAACAGACACCTAGAAATGGTCTCTGGCAAACACTTCTGCAAGACAGACACCTTCATAACAAGACACAAAGGGTTGGTTGCTGCCATTCTTTAGGCCTTGTTTTTTTAAAACTCGTTATGAGGCAGACCTCTCTCTCTAATGGACATTTAACTGGTGCTAGCCCTGATAGTGCACATCTTAGAGTTGACCTTAATTTGTTAATTTATTGTAAGTTACCTTTTCCTTTCCACTGATAAAGATGGTAACCAACTCAAAAGTAATAAAACAACATCCACATTGTTTATCACTTTACTTCCTTCAGTGTACACTCCTTCCACTACCTAGAGTGTAAAGTTGGAACAAAGTGACAGGCAATTCAGCAAAGAACTTGTCAAGCAGCTACATAAAGACTTTAAGATTGTGGCTTACTAATGACCAATGGTCTGTTAACAAACTGTCAACAGTTAGGCATCTTTCAGCCAACAAAATGACAGAGAGGAGCTGACAAGAGTGTGGAGGCTTGACAAGGAAGCATCTTCAGGGTGCTATATAAGACCAAGCAGCTGGCAAACTTTGGCAGCTACCTACTCCTTTGTTTTGGGGATTAATGTATGATAACAAAAGTGGAAAAAAGAAAAAATTAAATTTAAAACAATAATGAAATTGAACCACAGGTGGGGATGGTTACTTACCCAGTTAAAAAGCAGTTGAAAAAATTCTTCTGTCGGGGATTCAAGTCTTTTCAGATAATGGCACAGTTTTTCAAAGCTCACGCTAAACTTAAAAACTTCCTGGAAAGAGAAATTATTCACTTCATTCCTTGGACTCAAAAACTTAACAAGTATGAAAACAATAAATGTACAAATACAAACAAAAATTGTACTTTTCAAGGAATACATGTAACTTGGGTGATGCTGATTATAAATGTTTTTTCTTCCTTGGTTCACTGGATTGACAGCTCTGCTATTAATAACAAACCAGGGATATTATTCACTACAAGACAAATTTTAACAACTACCTGGGCAGCAGGTGATGAATGCGTGATTCTCTGTATGGCCAGCATACAGCTCTGATAAAGCCTGCTTTGATCATCAGCACTCTGACACTGTTTGAAAAAAAAGGTGCAGAAGAACACAGTAAATGCTGACAAGTCTCTCTGACATGTAAGGACACACTTACACTTATTTTCTGTACTTAGAGGACAACCTCTGCCTTTGTAATGCAGACAGGGTACCTATTATAGTTAGTTACTTTCACAGTTGCAGGAAAAATTTTTTTAAAGAACTAACATGATTAATCTTTGGGTCACACCAGGACCCAGTTGTTAGAAGGCTGAATTTCACAAACCCAGGGTTAAAATCTATCCTGGTTTCCTTTTGTTTTGTTCATCTAGGATAATTTTCTCTATTCTTTAGAGCATTCGACCATCAAATCGTAGACAAGGCATTTGCCTTTTAACCTTTTATATCTGAATTCAAACTTTGCACTTACCCTGGGTTTTCTTAGCCCTGCTTTGAACAGCCTGGCCCAGACCATTAATTTTAACAGAACACAAACACAGTCCACTCCATCATGAACACTCATTATAACTCACGCAGAGTACCACTCTTGCATGGATACAATAGTATACTTGTTTACCAAGTTGTAACATTAGAAAAAAATTATCCCAGTATTTATTACAACTTAATATTTTAACATAATGCTCACTGACTGACCTCATAGTCTAATACAGAAATGATATGCTCAAAGCATCCTACTCCAACAAATACAGCCTGGGTAAACAATGTTAAAAACACACACAAAATCACAGTGGAATTAGTAGCAGTATTATGGTAGGCAGAAACAATTTTGCATACATCTTAAGAGAAACAGGATCTTATGAAAAGAAGTACATGCATACCTGCAGTTCTTCATAGTTGTTACAATCCAGGATCCTTGGGATAGCATCTGTAAGAAGCAGAAAAAAAACAATGATGAGGAACGAAAATATCAGATATAATGCCTCACTAGAGTTTATTATTGTACTAGTACATGGTCTATTACCTTTTTGTTACAATAATTTATCATTACCATAAGATTACACCATAATTAGTCTTAAAAAAGTAGTGTAAATAATATCTTACCCAGCATACACAGAGTCTTGGCAAAATGTACTGGAGATTCATGGCATTTGTCCCTTAACCAAGACAACAAAATTAATAAACAAACTAAGATCAGTATAACATATGATGATAATGTCAAAAAATACAACTGAGTATAAGTCAGGAGAAAGCTGCAGGCCTCGATGATTATAACAACTGGGTGATCTGTCAGCAGCTCAGTGAAGAATTTAAAACAGTCATGTATCTCATACCTCTGACTAAGAATTTCAAGAAATGTCTTTAACAATGAAGGTGTATCCAACAGACACTAAGGATTGAGGAAAAAAAATATTGACACCAAACAAATCAGTTAAACTGGCATGATTCACTCAACTAAAATTTCACGACATTCTGTTTTAGAAATGGAAAGAGAAAGGGCAACTTTCAGTAAACCAGACCAACCATTGCTTGGTTGGACTATTTTTCCAAGACACTTCCTGAGTTGGACCTGATCATTCCATGTTTAGTATTGGACCCAACTTTTTGGAAAATTATGTTTGTTCAACCATCACTGTGCCTAAATTTAAAATCAAACCAAGGTAGTACCACAGTGGAGTGTTTAAGCCCTATTAACTTCCAAATAACCAAACTACAATAGGCCATTTTACAGTTGTGGGCTTAGTGTCCATTACCTTTGAGTGCACTTGAGGCTGAGGTTGACATTGTTTTGATACAAGCCCCCTCTCTTTTCTAATGTAAATTCTTTGCTTAAAAAATACTAGTTGGCCTAAGAACAGCATTATTTACAAGATAAAGCAGGAAGGGTTGTATCAAAACAAGGTCAATTCCAGCCTAGTTTCCACCTGTAACTTTGAAATGAGCTATTATAGCAGTGCTTTTCACTGGGAATTAGTTTTAATAGGTATTTCACCAATAAAAATAGTTCATGGAAAGGGAGAAGCGATGTGGATGTCTGTAAGCCGCTCACTACCCTGCGAGCAGAGTCTCCTGGGAGACTCTGCTCACAGGCTAGCAGCTCACATACCTGATGTTGGTTTCTTATGTCTTCATGATGAATAAGATGAATGATTTTCACCAGACAAGCCACAGCACGTTCAAGACATTTGCTATCTAAGGCAATATTTTTATCATCTATCAACTCTGTTGGATTATTTATGTCCTCTTGCATTTCTAATATTCTGAAAAGGTTTTCAGTTACTGCTGGAGTAATGTTAGAAGATGAAGATTCCTAGAAAGAAAAACACAGAAGATATTATTAAGGGACATATGTACTGGTATCTTACTCAGGGAGGTAATGTAGTGCACAGGGAAACTAATTTCTTAGAGATTCATACAACAGAAACTGATTGTCTTGATATACATGTTTTATGAGAAAGTGCAGAGACATCTATTTCAAATTCAATGACAATCTACTTTTATTTTATTGTTCAATTTCCTACTAGAAAATCCTTAAAATTCCATTTACTTTGGCTACATCCTGGCCAAACATAAAAAAGATTTTAAGCAGTTTGAAATAGAGTAACCAGCCATTTTGGACTTCCAGTCATCTCTAAACACTTTACAGTGAGTGAATGATAACTTCACAACCATCCAGGTCATTCCTTCACCCTAACTCCACCCATATCCCTCCTTCTTCTCCTGATCACTGCCTCACCTTTATTTCTGATTATTGGTTCCTTATAAGGATATAAAAAAAAGATTTGGCATGATAACTACAGAATAGTGCGCCAATTTCCTAGGAATAAGTGAAATAAAACAAGCATTCTCATTCAAGTGGGTCAGCAGTATGCCATTCCTAAGTGAAGAGCTGGCTGCTGACCCATGAATGCACCAACATAGATATAACCTTTCCCTTTCTTCAAGATGCTAGCCTTGACTGATGAGTCACCAAAGGCGGTCTCGATGAGGGCCACTAAAATATGCACCATTGCTTGTTCTTTATAACTCACACTGTAAATCCCTTATTAAGCCCCTGGGGAGGGTCGTGTTTATTTCAAGTGCATTTGAGGGGAGCTTACAGAGGATTTATGGTACCTATATACCTTTCTTGCTATCTAACAACTGAAGTTAAATATTTATCTTCCCGGCGTTATTTAAACACTCATAGCAAGTTCTAGCTAGCCATCAAGCCACTTCTGTTTAATTCCTTACAATAACTTTACAATTACCTAAAAGGCTACAAGGAAGTCAAGATATTGGTTGCTTTAAAGTCCTTTTAAAAGAAATACTCATTAAAACAGCTGTTAAAATTAGTAGACATCAAGCAGGGAACTTTTTACGGGAAAAAGGGAAACCAATTGAGATAGTTACAATACAGAAAATAAACTAAGTGATCCGCGGTTACATAAAATTAAAGAGAAAGGGAAGTTAAATATAAACAGTTGAAAACAGATGAAAATTTAACGAGATATTAAGCTTAATATAATTCCATTCATTATTAAATAAGTATGTTACAAGGAAAAGATTAAATTTTCGAACTTCTTTCGACATACCTTTCCATTCAAGTAACTCCAGACTTGTTCTGGGTCAGCCAACATTCTGGAAGAAAAGAAGTAAGAATGCTCGACTTTGATATTGAAGTTCTTCCAACAAGTTCCTTAATGCTCCGAAAAAGTTGAACTTAAGGGTGCTATGTGATTTTGGAAGAAACTGGAATTCAAACCATTTCTTTTCGAAAAGCAGTCACTCAAAAACCTCAAAAAACTTCGAAATATCAAAAAGGCAAGGTAAAATGATCACCCTTCCTCATCTTGTCCGAGTAATCTCTCGGGATACTCATCCGCCATTTTTGTTGTCATCGATTTGTTGATAGACTGTTTGTTCCGCTCGTTCCAGTTCTTCGCACTTTGAGCATACTCGAGCGGGTAGTGGAAGGGGCGGGAATGATGTCGGGGGAGAATGGGGGTAGGGTGGGTGGAGAGGACTGTGAGGAATTGATTAGGGCAGGCCTTAATTATTATATAGACCATTGTATAGTGTATAAACTATAAAACTAAACGTCCACCAGGTAAGAACTGAATAGTTATTGAAGTTATTGAAGTAATTACTTTTCCCTAGCTGCCTTTCCCACCCCTTTCCCCAACCAAATTTCAGCTGTAATGGATCTGTAAATGATGCCTCATTATAAACCTTGCTTACAATGTTCATCTTCATTTTCGTATGTTTTCCTCCGAGTTTCCATTCATTAGGATGTCTCGAAGATTCTTTGCTCCATGCTCGTGCGCGAAGCTTCAACTTTACATACTAAACCTTTGTTGATAAAGAAATTAACTGCAAAAACCGTGGACGAAGATCCTGCTGGTTGTCAGCGTTGGATCTCTATAAAAAGAGATCTAATCAGCTAAAATACCATTACTGTAAGAGCCAAAAAACAAGAAGTCCAAGGACTAGTAACACATTCGTTGACACTGTATTGGTATACTAGGCGGATAGGTAAAACGGTAACATTAATAATAACAGAATTACGAACTCTTACCACTGAAGCGCGCAATGTTTACAGAACCCCACCAAGAAAGATTTAGAAAGAGACGAAATGCGCGAGGACTCGGGGTTAAGAGAAAAAACTACAGAGAAACGAAGACAGAAAGAAAAAAAGAGAGAAAAGAAAGAAAGAAAGAAAGAAAAAGTCTTCTATGACATTCTCTTTCGGAATTTTAATTACTCAGGGGAAATCTGTGAAAGGGACCCTAAGCAGAAATTTTAATAAGATCTGTGTTAGATGATTTTATGGCAAATTTTGGTGAATAGCACATATTCCAGCTGTAGGCTTGTTGGTCTGGATTGTTATTGTAACACAAAAAGAATAGTACAAACATGTGAACAGCTGAAAGAGAAAAATAGTCCAGAAAATAAAGACACTGAGAGGAAAATGTCGTGAAAAGAATTGAAACATTTTTCTATTGAAACAAAATACAAATACTTGATGTATCAAATGTAAATTGGAATGTAACTTTAATTTTATCAGATAGCTGCTTATCTGTCTAATGTTAACAATAATTTTAGGAAATACAAACATTAAAATGTATAATGTAAATTTTCATGTTAGTGTGTTTTCACAGACAACAAGTCAGTAGATCAACGATAAAGCAACTTTTCTTGCTGACCAAGGTTGAGGAGAACAAGATCTAGTCTGTGATTGGTCGTTATTGTTCAAGGGGTCACGGGATAAAGTTGCGATTATTATATTACAGAAAAACTGACAAGGTCACATTCATCCCGCCATCCTGGTCAGCCTCACGAGATCTCCTTGCCTTGAAAATGTGGCTTCAAAACATTCTTATGTCAGTAGCATTTATCGGCCTTTACTGTTCCGTAGAGGGATTTTGGCTCTGGAACAAACCAACAAAACGCCCAACTTCAGCCAACGACATTAAGACGCCTCTGATAATCGGTAAATAGTTTGAATTTTTTTTGTTGCAATCATGCCATAGAATAAGAAATCGAAGCCGAAAAATCCCAGATCGTGACTATTAGGGCTTCTAACAAGAACAACAATAGTTTGAGGTAATATCTCACATGTGTCGTTTGAATGGCTTATGTATTTTACGTGATTACATGCATTAAAAAACAGTTTTTAAAAGCCGGATAGGTTATATAACACTAACTACTCTTTTTCATACTTGTTACGTAAGGAAGAGGACAACGTACCTAGTCACGTCATGTTTTACCTTCTAAGCACGTAGCCTTCAGTACGGATACGGAAGCCCAGGGGGGCCTGGGCTTCGGTACTTCAGCGCTCCCGCCCAGGGATTGGGCGCTAGAAAAGGCCAGAGTAGAGCAGGGTACAGTATAGTGGAGAGGAGTAGAGTAGAGTAGAATAGAGATTAACGTTTCGCGAAAACAACGACACTGAACGATAAAAGCTGTTGTAATGATGACGGTTTATTCTGGGAATCTTTATAACGTATAGAAAGAAAACTTAAAACATTTCCAATTCGAAATCGTCACCTCAGAGTATTAAACTGAGTCGAGCAATGGTATAAGAGCTGTACAAGGGGACCCCTAACTAGCACACAGGAAAATAACACTTGTGACTACAGTCAACTACAGGCTGTCTCTAAGACGGACATCATTTGGACCGTGCGGCACTTGGTGTCCGTCTTAAAGAGAGTGAAAAAAGAGAGTAAAGAAACGGGCAGGGACCAGCTCTAGGTGTTCGTTTTACAGAGCTGTCGGGCCGTCTTAAAAAGGCGATTATATTCCATACTTTGTTCATTCCTAAATAGTGCCTGGCACAGGAGGAAGTCAACTGCAAGCGAAGCTCAACAAACCAATAGCTCCTCACTGGTACTGTAGCAAGAAAACTGATGATTACTACACATTGTGGCTGAGAAAAAGCTCCCTACTACCTGGAGCTATTGACTGCTTTGCTGATAACATGAGGTGAGCAGATAGTACTCAGAACTGAATATTATTGTTTTGACTTTCCGAAGCATAAAAGACCTTTATCAGACTAAGAAGAATGCGTCGTTTCCCTTGAAACTAATTGCTCCTGGGATCACAAGAAAGCGTCGAAAATCTCCACCAATCTGTGAGGGAAGAAATTTGACCATAAGCAGGCTAAGAAACTTTTAAGCTTAAAATGCAATGGAAATTTAACGCTTTGGGACAGGAATTGTAGGAAAAAATAAAAAAAACCCTTTAAAATTAAATACAATCTTCAGGTGGTTCGACAAAAATCTGCAGCTACTTTCCAATGTATTTATCTGTTTTGCCTTTTACCAAACGCTATAGACTTGAGTACGACGAAAGTACAAAGACAATGAAAAACTCGCCTGGCGTGGAGACGAGAGTTCCCGGATTTGGAAATACTGATACGATAGAACACCTGGATACTGACAAGTTGGTACCGTATTTTGCGCCAATGGTAGACGCTCTGGTTTCTTGGGGATACGAAAGAGGAGTAACTGTCAGGGCAGCTCCGTATGACTTCAGATATGGACCTGGTTAGTCTCCCCCTCTATTATAAAAGCAAAAGAGGAGAAGCCATGATTTAAGGTCTCCCTGACATGAAGTGATTAGGACCTTGATACATGCTCTTTTGACATCATCACTTCACTTCTTTTCATCAGAAAAGATTTTTGCACCTTCCTCATGAGTTTGAAGAAATGCTGGAAAGATCAGCTGACTTCCGGTTTATTCTCTTGCAGAATCACAATCAGGATATTTTACAAACCTGAAGAAACTTATCGAGGATACTTACTCAGCAAACGGCTACAAAAGAATTACTCTGATGAGTCACAGCTTAGGATGTCCTTACAGCTTGGTTTTCCTGAACAAGCAAACGAAAGAATGGAAGGACAAATATCTTCTCCAGTGGATTACCCTCTCCGGTCAGTAGAAAACAGCTAAGAAGTGGTCAATCATAAGACAATCATATGAAGCCTTCAAAGTTTTCGTCCTAAAAATATTTCTCTAAGAAGATCCCGGAAAAGCTGATCAAGGTCTTTTTTATTAGTCAACAAAAAATCGGAAAAGGCGTTATTTTATCGTGATGCTATGTGTTATCTTTAGGGAAAAATGCATTAAGTTCACTGAATTGCAGAACTAACGGCGACCAACTTCTGAATCATCGATTCGCATATTTTCGCACCAAAATTTCTTCACAGTAATTTGTAAATCAAATCAAAGTTTAAGTAAAGAAACAGTACATCTTAATGTACGAACTATTTTTAAATATATTTAACTTCATCCGCTATAGGAGTCTGGGGCGGCACGGCAGAGCAGATTAGTCTGTACTCCTCAGGAAATACGCTTGGTATCCCACACTTCCTTGTAAACCCGCTGTCCGTCAGAGGTGAACAACGTACTTGCACAAGCAACACCTACTTGCTTCCGAGCCGCGAGCTGTGGTCATCCGCAGAAATTTTAGCCAAAACACCGGAACGTAGTTACACTGTGAATGACTATGATGAGTTCTTTAAAGATATTGGCTTCCCTCTTGGTATAACACTGCAAAACCTTGTAGAAAACATCACTTATCCGCTAACTGCGCATGCTCCAAATGTGACGGTTCACTGTTTATACGGTATTGGCGTGAAGACCGCTGAGAGTTTCACGTTTGGTGAAGGACAGTTCCCGGATACTCAACCTCAGGTGACTTATGGGGACGGAGATGGTACAGTTAATATACGCAGCTTAGAAGCCTGCAATAAGTGGAACCAGCGGCAGGCTTACAATGTTACTCTCAAGCAATATCCCTCTGTGAATCACAATGGGATTTTGAGTAACGAAAATGCGCATAATTATGTCAAGACTCTGTTGTTCTGAGAATATACATCTAAAAAGAAACGTTTAGCTGAAACAGGGAAGTTTGTAAAAAGAAGTGAGATCTAATGGAACACCCATGAGTCACAAAGAAATAAGCTTTATTTGTACCACACCTTATTTTTGAAGAACAGTAAACTGAAACTGTTTAAGGGTTTTTAAAGTGAAAGACTCCTGATTAAGAGAGGCGGTCGTTTAAGTTATCTTGATCGGAAAAGATTGTTACAATAAAATGTTATTCAATTTGTAGTCGAATAAACATTCAATAAATAAATCCTTATAACTGAAATTGTCTTTGTCATTGTTACACCTAAAACCCACTGTGACTTTCCTTGGAGGTCTGATTCTGCTGGGATATCAGTTTATGTTTAGAACTGCACAATCGGTGTTTTGCGCTTACTTTCCCTTATTTTTAAATGGCCGGTGCTGGAAAGGTCTACAAAGAGACAAAGAATATGAGGGCCGGTAGTTGTTCCCGATTTCTATCAACCCAACTAGGCAAAGAACTGAGTCTTAGCCGTTTTGACTAAAAGTAGATTTTGAGAATCAAATTATTATTAAATTTATTCTCATTACGTTGAGGTTGATAGTGACTTTACGATAATACGATCTCTAAATATCAGCGATCTTTGGATCAGTAATTCATCTGAACAGTAATGCCTCTTTGATTGATCAGTGGTATTAATTTAACACTTCCACTGATTGCACAGCTTAGAACTTTCATTATATCATAAACTCTCAACAAAGGAAATGTAATAAAGTTTTCTTAGCTGTTGCCTTTCTCATAAAAAGATAATAGTCCTTTTGTAAACTTTTCACTTATATCCAAATTTCAATTTCAATGGGTAAACTGTCCCTCAATGAACTTCAAAAGTTGAGCGTATAAGGACTGGGTCTAGTCAGTGATTGGAGGAAAAACTTTGCTGCGGTCCCAACAAAACGCACAACACGGCAAAACTCGGTCACTATTTTTTCATTTGACGCAATATTCTAACAGAAGACTTCGCAAAATGAGGGGTGGAAATATATTTTTTCGCACAGTTATTTTGGCTATGATGCTGTCTTTCTGCGCCGAGGGATGGAGGAAAAACCCCTCAGAAGAACAAGCAGCACTGCCAAAGAAATTAAAGGCTGGCGATATCAAGACACCGGTGATTATTGGTAAATAATTTGGTCAATATCAGTCCGTTTTTCTTGTTATCTTCTTAGTAGCTTGCTTCCTTCGATCCTATAGCCCCATGAAGTCTTCATTTTCCTCTTTGCAGCGGGTGTCTTAAAACAAAGTAGAGCCTTGTTTTTAAGGAAAAATTCAGCGTATAATCACCATACCAGACAAAAACTATTTGATTCCCCCAATACAGTTGCCAATTTTAAGCAGTCAAATACATGTAAATTTTAAGCTACGAATACTTGGACCTATGGTTCAAGTTTTAGTCAGACATTAACAGATTCACTTGTTTTAATTTTGTTTCAGTGCCTGGGTCAGGTGGTAGTCAGATTGAAGGAAAGCTGAACAAACCAAGCGTTATCGCTTGGTACTGCGCAAAAAAAACTTCCGAATACTTTACTTTGTGGCTCCAAAAGTCATCGCTTCTTCCTTACTCTATTAATTGCTGGACAGATAACATGCGGTGAGTCCCCTCACAAACGCTTTTAAGAATACAGAAGAGCAAGCGGCGATAAGAAATGGTAAAAACAGTTCTTTTTATAGGGTAATAGGGATAGCAACCCTATAACCAGGAAAATACACAAGGAAAACTAGTGCTTTGACTCTTCTTTCTGAGTAGGATGATAAATCATAAAGATTCCTCGCTTAAACAAAAAAAAGGACCCGTTAATTAACCCGTATTGAACAAACTGCGTTCCAAAACATTTCCTGTTTGCCCAACGCTTTGATCTAAACCCCGATTACCGTGAGCAATAGTGTATACTAAAAAGCTTAAATAACCCACTTAGATCTGGAGATATAATGATTTCTTAAACTGCGACCTAAGTTGAACTTCCTTTAAATAACCGACCCAAACTGTTTACTCATTAAGAACCTAAAACACACGCCTTAGTCCAACAAAGGCTTTTGAAACACTTCTAGAGAGATGTCTATAACTGCAAAGTTTTAGTATCACCAATCCAAGGTCCCGAGACTTACTTCTAAACTTTTTTCCTTTACAATACCAGACTAGTTTACGATGAAAGGACCAATATGGTAAAAAATGCGCCCGGTGTGGAAACAAGAGTTCCTGGTTTTGGCACAACTGAAACAATAGAGTACTTGGACACACAGAACTTGATTGCGTATTTCAAGTCAATAGTGGATACTCTGGTCTCGTTGGGGTATGAACGAGGTGTTTCTGTTAGAGGAGCGCCTTATGACTTCAGATATGGGCCTGGTAAGTAAAATCACGTGATTCTCACTCACCCTCTCCAGTTGGAGGCAACTAAGAGTGTTAACCTTTGTACTTTTTGTTGAATGTTTGTTATGATTAATGAAAACTAAAACAAACGTTTGCACAAGTTTAGAGTCTACCCGTGGTCTGTATCTCCTACAAGCGGCCATAAATACTTGGCCAATATGAACTGAAGCACACACTACCAACTCTTACCAATTCTGCGGTATGGCCAGTACGCATGCGCACAAGTCAACCATATCACCAAGGCAGTGGAGCGGAGTTGGTGGTGTGCGCTTCAATTCATATTGTTGTCTTTAAATACTAGGATCAGTTATGCGGCAAAAATAAGACTTGATGAACAAATAAGCGTTGACCGCGATATGTGAATTTCGTAATTTGGCAGAAGTCTTATTCCTGGGACATTTTAATTGCTTGTTTTAAACGTGAAGCAAATCCACGCGCCAGTGCAGAATATTGTAATGGTGACATATCAAGAAAGCATAATGTCCTATTATTCTCTCTTGACAACACTGAATAAAAATTTGCGGACCTCTCTGGAAAACAACTTCCGATTGATTTCAAGCGTTATTGGTCTAAAAAGAACTTTGGTGAAATTCACATACCTTCATAGACACGAACTCTCCTGTTAATGCAACTCGAAGACGCCTTTTAATTTCCTCGCAAAAAAGGCCCAAACTCAACCTCCAGCTTTGAAAGCGTCCATCGGGCAGTTTGTATTTTCCCTGGGAATGTTAGAGAATGACTTGGTGCGGACTTACTTGATGTTGCTGTCCTTTTCGGTATTAACGGAGGAATGAGTTACGCCTTTCAGAAATGCTTCTCAACGATAATTGTTCAAGAGTGGTTGGTTCAACAAATATAACTTAAAAAATTAAGTTTCCCTTAATTCAATTGCTTTTTTCGTTGTCAATCCTCTTTAGAATCAGCATCGGAATATTTTTCAAAACTGAAGAAACTTGTTGAGGAAACATACGCAGCCAACGGCAACAGGAAGATCACTTTGATGAGTCACAGTCTCGGAGGACCGTACACTTTGGTTTTCTTGAATAAACAAAGTCAAGACTGGAAGGACAAACACATTCTACAATGGATTTCTTTGAATGGTTAGTAAGTCAAAGTAGGGAGGCCGTAAAACGGAATGCTATTAATATCAAGGAAAATTTAATTACTTCCGGGAATTGTGTGCATCATTTTAGGCTGTATTCTAACTTTTCTTTTGTTTATTTTGAACTTTAAATAGGGGCCCTTGGTGGAGTAGCAGAGATGATGCAAGTTTTTACTTCTGGATATACCCTTGGTATTCCTCATCTATTTGTAGATCCACTAGACGTGCGTGGTCAACAAAGAACCACAACTAGTAACGCAATGCTGATGCCCAATCCAGAGCTATGGTCCCCAGATGAAGTTTTAGTGAAGACCTCCAAACGCAGCTACACAGTGAATGACTACGAAGACTTATTTAAAGATATGGGCTATCCGCTAGGTATTAAGCTGAGAAAAATGGTTGAAAATCTACTTAATCCATTGTCAGCGCATGCTCCTAAGGTACAGCTTCATTGTTTGTATGGTATAGGGGTGCATACTGCAGCAAGCTTTGTGTACGAAAAAGGAGAGTTCCCGGATCATCAACCGGAAATAATATATGGTGATGGAGATGGGACGGTGAATCGGCGCAGCTTGGAGGCCTGTAACATATGGAAAGATCAGCAGGATCAAAGCGTCATTCTCAAGGAATTTCATGGAGTGGACCACGTTAAAATTTTGAGTGACAGCAATGTACTTAATGAAATTAAAAAGTTGTTAGTGTAAGCAACCAAAAGATGCAATGTGATTACTGATGACAGCTAAGGATAAATAAATTACTGCATGAAATCACTTGCTGTTTACTATTTTATTGTTAACAAGTAACAAAAACAAAGCCTCGAAGCCAGCATGTAATGATTAGTCTGTTATTGACCATGTGAAAAAATTTTCTTGTCTTTGTAGCTGCACACAGTTCAAGACTTTTGTTTGGTTTTTACAGGTTTAAGGTATATTTCCCACTATTATTTCCCACTATTAATTATATTACAGTTATATTACAGTTAGGGGACAGATAAAAGCTGACAACGTCAGAGCTAATACCAATACTACTGCATAGAAAATTTGTAGTTACAACAACAACAACAACAACAAAAAAGAAAGATACATTGAACCAGGGAGAAGGACCATATAATTAGTTTTTATCACTGAAGGTCTTCAAATGTCTCTGGTAATGGTTTTCCTTTTGTCTCATGAAGTCTCAAACCTACAACACCAGCAAACAAGGCAGCACATGCAAAAACAAACATGGGCAAAAAAATATGATGATCCCCTAACAGGACTATAAAGGGTGCAATAATTCCACCAATCCTGGCAGACAAACTTGATATACCCATACCTGCACTGCGAGCTACAGTTGGGAAGAGTTCTGAAGCGTAAACATACAATACAGCAAATGAGGCAGATAGACAAAACCTGCCACCAAATGCTGCTGTGGAAATGGCAGCTACATTCTGACCACCTTGAGATTGAAAAACCATACACAAGAAACAAAACATGCTCCCAACAATAAAAAGACAAATTAAACTTTGTCTACGCCCAAGCCATGAAAGGAGAAACTGTGTTGCAGCACATGAGGGTAGATCAATCAGGCTGCCAAGTGCAAAGTTAACATACAGGCTTCCTTCAAGGTTTTTGACATTTAAGACAAGTCCATAATACACCATACTATTCATGCACCATGTTATCATCATAATTATTGTTATAATAAATACTGACTTGTGAGTAAATAAGTCCATTGTTCCATACTGGGATGATTCAACACCATGCTTTGTCTCTGTTTTCAAAATTATCTTGTCACTATTGTGGTAGCCATTTTCTGCTTCAATTTTTCTCATGATGGTTTCTGCTTCTCTTGTTCGGCCTTGTGATGCCAGCCACCTTGGAGATTCTGGGATTTTGTTAACAAACAGTATTAAAATGAAATAGGGAAGAACGGAAATGACTGTCAGTGTCCTCCAATCACGAATGAGATATGCTTCAAGAGCCAGGATCACATAACCAATGTTGTAAAATGCATGTTGCCACGTTCCAGCTGTTGCTAAAATAAATAAAAAAACAGAGTAAAAAAGTTACAGTGGAACCCCACCTACGGCCACCTCAGTAATGAGGTCACCTTGTTAATATGCCAGTTTTTTTCGGCCTGGCAAAACAGCCATACATTTACTTATGATAAACTCCCTTGATACAGCCAACGGCCGCATTTGAAAATCCCAAACAGCAGAATCTCTTATAATTTCACCCCGTTGATATGGCTACACGTTTGAAATTTAGAAAATTAAAATGCCTGCGACATATCAATCTGAGCTCATTCTTGTACTGTTTTTAGACTACAGTACACTTAAAATTCACTTGCGGAAATTTATAGCCGAATTTTAAAAGACTTTCAAGTACTGAAGGAAAATTTTATGTAGTTTTTCAATTACTGGATGCAATAACTACATTCCGGTTGTTTATTTTGTTTATTAATGAGAACAGTACAGTGAATGTGATATATGGTGTATTGTCATTACAGCTCACAAGTCATGCAATTTGAGCGTGCCCCAGTAATACGGCCACCCCATTAATACGGCCAATTTTTTTTGGCCCATTAGTGACCGTATTAACAGGCATCCACTGTAGTGAGTGAATGTGGGAGTGAGTGACACATTTACATATCAAAGTGCCCACAAAAACTTATTCCTATGCCGAGGGCAGGGGGTACTCCCTTAAATGGCCCATACGGGGATGTGCCGCCAGACAGGGCATGGTTTTTTACCTTAGTCTCTGTCCTAAACAGGGCACATAATTTTGTGTGTCTGTCAAAAGGTTATTGCCTGCAATATTGATTCAATTTGCTAGATGAATTTTGTTTGTACTGCAAGTATATAAAAGCAATGACTATAATGTGAATTTGCTCTGGAGTGCATTTTGTCCTTTGTCCTAAATTAAACAGGGTAATAATATTAAGGGTGTTGTCCTAAACAGGGTATGTATTTAACAAATTTTTTTGCCCTGAATGACATCAGGGTTTCCAACCCTCAGCACCTCACCTATACCCAAATATTGATCACGTAACTCCTCCCCTCCAGGTTCCTAAGGCCTGGTTCAAACATCACATATTACATGCACCAAATTTGACGTGAATGAAAAAAATCTATTGTTCTTGCTTAGTTGCATAAATACATGTGAAATCCAACATTTGAACCAGGCCTAAGTGTTGCATATCCACAAATTAAAAATAGGGTTCCAATACAGCATGCAAAGAAAGTCATGTCCGATAGCCCGGGGCTAGCAGATTTTGCAATCGGGCTAGTGAATCCTGTTCTTAACAGGTCAATTTTTGGAGGAAATTCAAATTACAGAAGAACTGTAATGGGTGATTCCAGAAAATATCCATACCATACCACGAAATAACTACTTATTCGAGGAGCTGATATCCTTAAACGGACGTATATTTCTATTAGGTGGTAAGCAGCTTAAAGATAATGCTTAGAAGGAATAGGTACGGTGTACTAATGTTAACAAACTTGAGTTGCTTGATCGTCTGACTAAAAATTGTGAACAGAATTCTTTTGCAGAGGGAAAAAGTGCAAGTTTCTCGTTCGTTTGAAGATTTAGGCAGACGAACAGGAATTCCAAAGGGTCTGAAACAAAAGTGGAAAATTCCGGAGGAGAGGGGGGGGGTTAGCGATTTTGGAATTCGGAGGGCAAGGGGGGGATAAGCATTTTGGAATTTCCGAGGGCAAGGGGGGGTTAAAATACTCATGCCACCCGTGGTAGGGTATGGATATTTTCTGGAATCACCCAATCAATGCTGCTCATCAAAAATTGTTTTGGGGCTACTTAAAAGACTCTTGGGCTAGTACATACTAGCAACAACTTGCCTGAATGGCAAGCCGTAAAACCGACTTTCTCTGCACCCTGTAATAATTTATTCCAGATCTCACCTGGTTGTAATGTTATACAATCAGCTCACCTCGATAAGCCGGTCCAATTGATTCTGTTGAAATCACGTATGTTGTTAGACCCCCTCCACCATTTAACAAACCCATAGCAAATCTCAAGACCAGGAATTCCTCGTAATATGATACTACACTAGACATAAGAGCTAAAATGGCACCGGCAAAGTACACAAAAAGCCAAGGTCGTCGTCGACCATATTTATCAGACAAAATACCAAAGATGAGACCACCAAACATATGTCCAGCTACAAAGATTGATTGAGTCAGCTCCGTTTTGTAACGACTGTCACAAACTAAGTTCCATTCGGTCGCGATGGAAGTAAATTTTGATGTGTATTCCGCTCCAGGACAAAGAGAACCGTGTTTATCACAACAACCAGGATGGCTTGAGTTACAGTGTGACAACGGGCCAGTTGGTGAAGGACATTTCCATTCGGGGACGGCTCCAACAAAAACGATAATCAACATTGTAGCAGAAAAAGGAATACAGATCAGATTAACCAGGAGGTAGATTTTCTTTTGATGGCGGCCAAATTCTCCGATGTGTTGTAACGCAGAGTCAAAGTCCAAGATCTTGGTCATGATGAAGAGTTAATTGTTCTCTAGGATAACTGTTCAGTTCAGCAGTATCAGATTTTATCTGCTATCATGGTCAGTTCTGCCCCTGTTCAGCAATGTTTTGTCTCAATAATTGCCTCTTTATGTTCTTGATACTCAATACTCTCTCACAATACATATGGTGGTGCCTCTATCATGATGTTTTCGGAAGAGATCTAAGCACTGTGAGTCCAACAAGATCCAAGTGACCCGTTTTAGGCTAAGTCCGAAGCGCGCAAGGTGAATTGGGTAGGCCGACTTGTTGGTTACGTGACACGGTGGTACTCTAAACTGTAACTCTAAACGAGGTTAAGTGATATAGAAATGATTGTTCATTTTCATGCAAATAAAACTCATTTTCACAAGAACGGTTGTGCACTTGACTTCATTTTGAAAGTGAGGGTTTTTGAAAGTCGGATTGGCCTATTTGAAAATATTTATACGTGCGGAGAAAAATCGTGGCAACCAAACAAAACATTCAACCACCAATATAATTTTCTGAATTTTAATTGTATCAAGAGGTAACTGCTACATTTCGGAAATAAGAAAAACAATTAATGGACTTTGATACCGCTTTAGAACACGTCGGCGAGTTTGGCCGCCATCAAACACGGATTTACTTTATTGTGAGTCTCATTTCTGTTCCTCTCTGCTCTCAAATGTTGATTGTAGTTTTCATTGGAGCGGTCCCTGAATGGAAATGTCACTCGCCAAATGGCGATATTTTACACTGCAACTCAAGTCATCCACGCTGCTGTGATAAAGATGGTTCTATTTGTCCAGGAGCAGAATTTACCACTGGGATGTCTGAGATCTCTTCCATTGCTACCGAATGGGACCTAGCTTGCGGGAATCGCTATAAGACCGAACTTACTCAGTCGATCTATGTATTTGGGTATATGTTTGGTGTTCTTATATTTGGCATTTTGTCTGACAAATATGGCCGCCGGAGACCTTGGCTTTTTGCCTATATAGTTGGTGGGATATTAACTGTAATGTCTGGTTTTGTACAAACATATGAAGAGTTCATCACTCTGAGGTTTGCCATGGGCTTGTTGAGCGGTGGTGGGGGCCTTATAAGCTATGTTCTATCATCAGAATCCATTGGACCTTCATATCGAGGTAAATATAGCCACATCACCTTTCCGGGTACACTCTATAATTAAAAATACTAAGTTGCTAGTTGGAAATTTTGAATCATAATATTAGCACGAAAGGGTTCAAGGATACCTTATTGCACACTTATTAATTAAATCTCCCGGATTGAAGATGGGTCAGCCATTCGTATGTGGTCATCTCAGATGCACGAAGGTCCTGAGTAAGACCTGAGTAATAGTCGGATCCTAGGAATCGAACCTGAGACCTCACGCTCAGCAGGCCAGTGCTCTACCAACTGAGCTAATACTGCAGCAGTGTGACCAAGCCTTTGCCCATTGTGGTTGTGGCTTCAATCCCCTTCCCAGGTAGGTAGGTTATGATTAGGCTGTGACAGATTTTATAATTTTAATAATATCCAGAGGGCAACAAAGTAAAACCAATTTCACATTTAGCCAATTTGCCCAGTACTTGATCTTTAATAAAACTCTTGGAGAGTCAAGTCTTCATTCTTCGGCATATTAGGTAGCTTATCCAAAAAAACTTCACTCTTCCTCTTACTTTAAAACAAATCTAATTAGCCTTTTTTTTCCTTAATAGGATCAGCGGGTACGTGGCAACAAGGTTTCTACGCCTTTGGTTATGTTGTCTTGACTTTGGAAGCCTACTTCATCCGTGATTGGCGGACTCTAACTTTCTTTTCTATTCTTCCCTCTTTCGTTGTTTTATTCATTTTCAAAACTATCCCAGAATCCCCGAGGTGGTTAGCATCCCAAGGAAAAATAAAAGAAGCTGAACATATTTTGAGGAAGATAGGAAAAGAAAATGGTTCTCATAATAATGAAGTAATATTTTTGAAAGTAGATAGTAGGACAGAAGGGAAAACTTCTCAGCATGGAGCACTTGACTTATTTACTCACCGGTCTGTGTGTCCCGTCACCGGTATCATGATGTTATTATGGTGTGTAAACAGTATGGGGTATTATGGACTTGCTTTGAATGTTAAAAACCTTGGAGGAAGTCTTTACATCAATTTTGTACTTGCTAGTTTAATTGAATTGCCTTCTTTTGCTGTAACACAGTTTTTTCTCTCATGGCTTGGACGTAGGAAGACTTTGTTTTGTTTCCTTCTTGGAGCTAGTCTTTCTTGTTTCCTGTGCATGTTTCTTCAATCTCACAGTGGAGAGAATACTGCTGCAATTTCTATGACAGCTTTAGCAGGCAGGTTCTGTATTTCTGCATCATTTGCTGTGCTGTATGTTTACTCTGCAGAGCTGTTTCCAACTGTTGTTCGCAATGCAGGTATGGGTATATCAAGTCTCTCAGCTCGAGTTGGAGGAATGGTTGCACCCTTCATTGTTCTCCTTGGAGATCAGAACATTTTGCTCCCTATGCTTGTTTTTGCCTTAACTGCACTATTGGCTGCAATGGCAGGATTGAAACTCCATGAGACACAAGGAAGACCATTGCCAGAAACATTTGAGGATTTGGATGGAAATCACCCAAGAAAAGTACATGTTAAATCTAATGATGATCCATAAAGAGAAAGCGATTCAGTGCTGTGACAGAGAAGGGGTGGGGGTGGAGGGTGATACATAAGACACCTCAAGCACTTTATTGCCTCCCCGCTCACCAGGATGAAAAATATATCCAAGGGTGTAGCCAGCTTTTTGACTAGTTGCGGGCCTGGCTGATTTTCATTTCCACATATCCTGACAAAATTGTATGCATGACTAGTACGCACTGACCTCACCAACACTTTGAGCTCTTAAGCTTTCTAGCTCATCCCAACAACCCATAATTTATTACTAGCAGTAGAGTGATCAAACCAAAAAATTGTAGGCCTGGACCTACAGGTCTATGGGCTAGCCACACCCCTGATATCCGTTGACTGTCCGTTGTATTTGCTAGAATGAACAATTTAAATTTTGATATGGGCTAACTTGTAAATTCACCTGTTGATTTAGCCTCTGGGTGTTGACGTGTGACTGTATAATTTTGTATTTGTTCTTAATTGATGTCTTTGCTAGTTACAATGATTTATGTAACTGCCTGTGTAATAAGTGAATATAAATGTTCCGTGTATCAGACCTGGTAGTTTCTAAGCTCTCGCGTGACTTCCTCGCGCGGACTCCCCCAAATGAAGAGCTTGGTCGCAGACTACAGTTTCTCATTTGTAATAATTTACAGACGCCTACAAACACCGTTTTCTATTGAAAATATCGAACTACCACTTGACATTGACTTCTTTTTAATCAGTTTTAAAACTTGGCTTTAACCGTCCAATACTACAGACAGATACCTTTGATTTACAGTGAATCGTTTGCTCACAGTGCACATCGACACTGAGGTATGATAACTACCACCCCACAGGTTGTCGAAATTGAAACAGTTCTATTCAGCTCAGTTACACACAACCTACCTATGACTGAAACTTTCTTACTCAGTTGTTGGTTTTTCATTGACTACTGCAGGAGAATTTCATTTCAGTGCCAAGAATAACCGTCACCTAGAAAAAATGAATCGGTGTCGAGTTTTCTCTGAGGCGAACGAAATACTAACTTATTATTAAAAAAACATGGCTCGTACAATCTTAAAAAGGTCTTGAATTTTAGTAGTCGTCTTGAAAAGTCCTCGAATTCAGGTACGGTCTTTGAAAAGTACTAGCCTATCCAATGGATAGCGCAATTGATTTCCCTAATACTTATCCACTGGATAGTGATTTATCCGATGGATAGCGCTATCCAGCGGATAAATCTCTATCCGGTGGATAGTGCAATTGGTTTCCCTAATACTTATCCACTGGATAGTAATTTATCCGATGGATAGCGCTATCCAGCGGATAAATCTCTATCCAGTGGATAGTGCAATTGGTTTCCCTAATACTTATCCACTAGATAGTGGTGTATCCGATGGATAGCGCTATCCAGCGGATAAATCTCTATCCAGTGGATAGTGCAATTGGTTTCCCTAATACTTATCCACTGGATAGTGATTTATCCGATGGATAGTCTATCCAACTTTTGAACAACTGGGGCCTGGATTTCTTTATAAGGTCATAAAAACTCTTTGAAATTCACTACGTTTTCTAGACCAAAAACCATTTTCTGTAAGATATAATTATTTTGCCGAGGAAAATTTGGCTCATCCCCGGTGTAAGAACCTGTAAAACTCACGGGGAACGTAAAAAAAACGTCATTCTATTATTCCACCCCCAAAAACAGCATTATTCCATAATTCCAATTCCAAAGCAAAACCAAAAAACCAAAAACATTTCCTTCATTCTTTTCCCATTTGTCTTTTCAGTCCCCTTGTCACAGTGTCACAGTGATATGTGTATCCCCGTGATATGTGTATCCCCATACACATATCCCCAGTGATATGTGTATCCCTCCAATATGGCTGCCAGTGAAATGTGTATCCCCTACCCCCCACCCCTCCAAACAAGCGTCGGTTTTATTTCTGTTGTTTTTGTGAATTTCAATGGGGGAATCATCGTCAAAGGGACTACAAATCATTCAAGATTACGAGCAACACAATCGACAAAAGGGCAACGATTCGAGACAAAATAATCGCAAAGCAGTCTCTGGCGAGTTTACTTCTTCGTGGGCCGCAATGTTGATGTAAACATTCGTTCTCGCTCCTCTCCTTATCCAACGTGATTATAATTCATATGTCACTAGTCGCGTTAAATAAGTATGACTCAGACTGACAAAATTTCATTCAGCAAGGGATAACTCGAAAAGTCAAAAAATGGAGAGGGGATACTCATATCTCTGCGCTGGTCCAGTGATATGTGTATCCCCCCGTGCAAGCACTATAATAATCCACCTTTTAAGTTGTTTGATTCCTGTAAACCTAGTTGTATTACTAGTTGTTCTGATAGATTATATGGACGATATTTCCTTTAGCAAGAGAAGAAAAAACAGGGGATACACATATCGCTGCGCCGGGTCAGTGATATGTGTATCCCTTCTGCGAGCGCCACAATATTCCACCTTTGCATATTGTTTGATTCTTGTCTTAACCCTAGTTTTGTGTTACTAGTTATGTTAGATGATATCGACGACATTTCCTTCAGCAAGAGAAGATATTTCCGTAATGTGTCGTGGATGAGCACCAGTGTTTATTGTATCCCCACCCGGGATACACATATCACTAGGAATATGTGTATGGGGATACACATATCACTGTGACACCCTGACACGTTAATGTCGTACCGAGATCTCTTGTCGGCGAAGCCGTGGATTACTGACACGTGGCTGTTCTCTAAGTGTGATCACTCACAGATATGCAAATGATGGCTGATGAGGGGTTTCAATGCTTTCATCTTTCTGCGGAAATAACCATAAAATGTCTCTGTAACTTATTGTTTCAGCATCATTCATGAGTGACCGCTTTGTAATTTAATCGTCTTTTTTGAGCGATTTTTATACACATAAATCTGATAAATTAGCATAAACGATACTATTTCAGTGGGCGCAAACGCAACTCATGTTAACCGGACGGTAAACTACTTCGCCGTTTGTCTGTTTGTTTCATTCAAGAGTATTGAGCGCTAGTTGTCCCGTGAAACGAAACGGTAAATCTTGCCGGCGGTACAGGCATCTGAGGTCTTAAAACAGCTGTTCAGCTACGAATGCCTGAGCGCTAAACAGAACAACTGGCGAAGATCTACAACCAAACACTCACCGCTGTCGAAAAGAATGGACTTTGACTTAGCGCTTGAACAGGTCGGAGAATTTGGCCGTCATCAAAAAAGGATTTTCCTGATTGTCAGCCTTATTTCTCTTCCTCTCGCCTCTCAAATGTTGATTGTAGTATTTGTTGGAGCGGTTCCTGAATGGAAATGTACTTCACCAAGTGGCGACACTTTACACTGCAAGTCAAGCGCTGACCCACTCTGCTGTGATAAAGATGGTTCTATTTGTCGTGGAGGGGAATTTTCGACAGGAATCACATCTATTGCGACTGAATGGAACTTAGTTTGCGGAAATCGCTATAAAATTGAGTTAAGTCAGTCAATTTTTGTGGCTGGGTACATGTTTGGAGTTCTAATCTTTGGTATTTTATCTGATAAATACGGTCGCCGAAGACCATGGCTTTTCGCTTACACTGTTGGTGGTATATTAGGTCTAATGACGGGTTTTGTCAGAACATACAAAGAGTACATTGCCTTGCGGTTTATTTTCGGAGCACTGAAAGGTGGAGGAGGTCTTATAACCTATGTGCTGTCGACAGAATCTATTGGACCTTCATATCGAGGTAGGATAGAACTGACATCATTCTTAATCATAACAAGGCAATTTTTGACTCCCAAGACGACGAAAGGAATGCGCTACCGAATTTTAGACGCTGGCTGACTACGTCATCCCGCGTAATTAATCATACTTAACTTAGACGCTGTTTACATGGAGTGGGGGACCCCGGTCTAGTGGGGTAGATTTCTTTTGTTTTGTGTCCCCTAGAGCGTGAAAACAAAAGAAACCAACCTCACTAGACCGGGGTCCCCCACTCCATGTAAACAGGCCCTTATTCATAGATGGAAGATTTGGATTTAGCTCTTATTAACCGAGCGAGAGGTCTGTATGCGAGAATATTGACCGAGGTCGCCAGTACAGACCGAACGCAGTGAGGTCTGTACCAGCGACCGAGGTCAAGATTCTCCCATACAGACCGACCTAGCTCGGTTAATAAGATATTTATTATATGGCCAAACATGAAAGCAAAGGAACAAAAACATCAATTTCGACCTCCTTCCTCGGCAGGACTCAAATTTGCCAACGTTTACTCGTTTTCATTACCTGCTTCCTCGTGAAGGTCCACTGATTCTTCCATTTAGTATTATTAACAGGAACAGGCCAATTTTTTCATATTCTTTGTTTGTAACTTTTTGAGGACAACTGTTACAACAAGATCGGTCTAGATGCTGGTCTAGATGGGAAAATTTAGACCGCGGTCAAGATTTGTTTGTTTCCAGTCCTTTGAGACATGGTCATATTCAGTGTACATTGTACTCACTATCTGTCTTCTCATTGGCTTAGAGCCGTCAGTTAATTTTTTTCAAACCAGAGCAAACTACAAATATTTACTGCTAGTAAACGGATTAGTGACTAATTTGTATATTGTCCGCGCAAATTACGATTTCCAAGAGCAATGTCAAACTGCTTTCCGTGTGATGGTGTGATTGTCGTTATTTTCTTCAAAACAATATATAATAATAAAGCAATTAGTAGATTAGGTTTTAGTGATATCCTGAATTATCAAGGTAAATGTTATCAGCCTAGGCTTACCTCGACCTTGATTTTTCCGGATATCGCAAAAATCTCATCCAATAATTGTTAATTAACTCTAACGAAATAAGCCGAGTCGCTGACTCTTCCGCGGCCGTCTTCGCGTAACGCGTAACGCGCACGGCTAGTCAGTCAGTCGGTCGGTCCGCCCGACTGTCATATAATGTAGTACTTTCCAAAACTCATGAGAGACGACTGCGGACGTGTCATTGCGGAGAGTACTATTGAGTACTATTTTTGACTGCAAATGAGTCAGGGAGAGTATGTCGTAATTTGTAGCACCAGTTCACGTCGTTTCTTTGACATGGAGTGACCATGGATGTTGGGTCATCCTTAGTATTGTGTTACTGATATCCAGGCATATAGCCTATTCAAAGAATTTACGCTATGTTGTCTTCTTCTCTTTTGTCAGGAACTGCAGGTATTTGGCAGCAGGCGTTTTATCCCTTTTGCTATGTCGTTCTGGCTTTAGAAGCTTACATCATTCGTGACTGGAGGACTTTAACTGTCATTTCCATTCTTCCCACGTTAATGGTTTTATTGATTTTTAGAAGTATTCCAGAATCTCCAAGATGGTTACTGTCTCAAGGGCGAGTCAAAGAAGCAGAAGCTATAGTAAGAAAGATTAAGGAAGAAAATGGTTACGGCAATGGCGAATTGATATTCCTGAAAATGGAATCCAAACGGGCTATAGCACAAGGAAATAATTGCAAGTATGGGACAATCGACTTATTCACACACAAGTCTGTGCGCGTCATCACAATAATCATGATGTTGTCATGGTGCGTGAACAGTATGGTGTATTATGGACTTGCCTTAAATGTTAAAAACCTGGAAGGGAACCTATATCTTAATTTCGCGCTCAGTAGCTTGATAGAGTTACCTTCGTTTGCTTCGACACAGTTTCTATTGTCACGTTTGGGGCGCAGACTAAGTTTGTTTGTTCTTCTCTTGGCTGCATGTTTCTCTTGTTTCCTGTGTGCGTTTCTGCAATTTTATGGCGGACAAAATGTAACTGCAATTTCGATTACAGCACTTGGAGGCAGATTTTGTATTTCGGCATCTTATGCCGTGTTGTATGTTTACTCTGCAGAGCTTTTTCCAACAGTTGCTCGCAATGCAGGTATGGCGATATCCAGTTTTTCTGCCAGGGTTGGAGGAATGGTTGCTCCCTTTATTGTTCTGATGGGCGATCACCACATCTCTCTGCCAATGTTTGTTTTTGCCTGCACGGCTTTGTTTGCCGGGATAGCAGGATTAAAATTGCACGAGACACAAGGAAAACGGATGCCGCAAACATTTAGCGATCTCGAGGAGATTCATTCAAGGAAAGCAAGTACTAATGGTAATTAACTAAAATGCTTAATACCGAGTGTTTTCTTTAAAAAGGGAAATTCTGCTGGAGGGATTACTCAGTAAGGGTGGTGGTAGAGTTTTGGAATCAATAATGAGGAACGGATACGCTGACTTAACCAGTTTTTCTGCTCGAAACCTACTTCATTGAGCTACACAATACTCTTTTCATTTAGTTATCACTTAAGCTCAGAAAGTAGTAATGCATGGGTGTGTTTAGGATTTAGAGGGAGCTTAGGGGGCCACTCCCACCCCTCCCCTTTTTTTCTGAGATTTTGCTTAATTTCTAAAGAATTTCTTTTCAGAGTCTTTTTCTCCCGTTTCTCACTTAACATTGTTAGCAGGTTTTTGTTCTTTAGTTTCCTGGTTAGGGCACCTAGATTAGCTCATTGACTATCTGCGGAGCAAGGTCATTATGTAAACCAACCTTTGAAAGGCCAATTAGGTCTTATCTTGTAATGTCTGGTCTTATTTGTTTGACTCAAGATTGTATTATGTCAAGAAGCTAAGTGTGCAGTCCTAAATGCTTTATTACAAGACTTGATCTACCAGAAAGTGTGAAACAGTAATTATGTAATGTCATTGGAAAACTCAGTTTGTCTGCAGGCGATAAACACGAAGTTAATATAACTCTTTGAAGGAAACACCGTTATTCTCGTTATTTGCATGTATTACTGACAATAAACAAACAGACAAAAGCAGAGAAAATACGTGTTATACAAGGCTAAACTTCTCCATAAACTGTAGCTAGTTTGTTCTAAAACTTAATATAATAATTTAATTTAATAAAGCTTGTTGAGACTTTCTTGCTGGCGATTCATGACAGTCTATTGTGAAGAAGCAATAACGTTTCGATGTTTTGAGGCTAGCTTATGTGCTTTCTTTTCCTCTCGTCGGTTGATGATCTTTGAAAAGTTTTCAATGATTTGTCTGAACTGACACGTGCGTAAAGAATACACAAGAGGGTTACATGCGCTGGTGAAATAAGTGAAGAAAAATGAAAAGCATTCCATCGAAGGAGATAAGCAGCACACCATAAACTATAGCGGGTATGAAATAAACGAAATAAGCCACAACAAAAACGACTATGTTCCTGGCAGTTTGAACTTGTTTCATCCTCAGCAAGTGAGGCATCTTTTTTTCATGCGCGAAAGTTTCATCCTCTTTTGTGATAGCCTCAATACATCTGCGACTTGCTCTAACCGTGTGCCAAAGGAGAAGGCCCAGAAATGGTATGGCTATTCCTAGAAATGGTACCCAAAACATACACATAGCGACTTTCCAGCCTTCAGTTTTGTAGAGGATGCGGCGGTACTCCATAAGCGATAAGCCTTCTTATGCCACCAACAGAATTGCAGGTGCCAATTCAAATTGCACAAAGACATCAACCCAATGTTATGCAATTAAAACGAGAAATTTCGGCCACCATCAAAATCCACCAAATTGAGAGATACCACTCTTGGGTTGGAGGATGCAGATAGACTTCAAGAAAACTGATCTAGTAACTCTAACATAAGTGGTTATTGCCAATTTATTTTGCTTCCAAATTTTTTTTTATTCCTGATCTTTGTAAATAACTGTTCATTACAAGACTAGACAAAGTAAGCAAAAGCAAAAAAAATGAAATTCAGAATGAGAATCACTAAATATATTGAAATCAAACCTGGATGTAGTGGGTTTAGGTTTTAACAGTTTTACCAAAATCATGTTCTAATCTCTCTAAATCTTCCATTGTTTCAGGCATTGGATGTCCTTTTGTTTCTGGCAACTTTAGACCCACTAGTGCTGCTACTAATGACATACAAGCAAATATAAACATGGGTAATGATCTACTTTGCTCTCCCATTAAAACAACAAATGGGCACAAAATTCCACCAACACGCGATGCAACAGTTGCCACACCCATTCCAACATTACGGATCACAGTCGGGAACAGTTCTGCAGCATAAACATAAACTACTGCAAAGGATGCAGAGATACAAAATTTCCCAAACATAGCAGAGACAGAAAGCCATGCCAAATTAGTTGCTTCTTGTTGCTGTAGTTTCATACATACATAGCATGATGTGGCAGCACCAATCATAAAGTAGAACAATGATTTTCGACGACCTGACCAGTTAAGAAGAAATACTGTTAAGATATATGACGGGATTTCTACTAGACCAGCCAGAATAAAATTGACATACATGTTGCCCCCAAGATTTTTAACATTTAGTGATAGGCCATAATAAACGTGGCTGTTTACAAACCAACTAATCATCATGATCACTGTTAATGAACAAGTTCTTCTGTTTGTAAACAAGTCAAAAATTCCATAGCTTTGCATAGGAATCCCATCTTTAGAGGTCAGCTTTGATTGTCTCAGTGACACAGGTTTGCTTATACCACCATTTTCTTTGGCCATTTTCAGCAAGATAGCTTCTGCTTCATCATACTTTCCTTGAGATGCTAACCATCTTGGAGATTCTGCAACATGGTTTATGATTAAAAGAGCAAAAATGGTAGGAAGGGATGCAGCTATGGTCAAATTTCGCCAGTCTCGTATAAGGTATGCCAAGAATCCAAGAAGAGCTATGGAAAGTGCAAAAAATACTTGCATCATGGTTCCAGCAAAACCTGAAGATAGAGAAAATAGAGAATTTACATCAGTGGTGTTCTTAACCTGCCCCACAACCAAGTGAATTTTTTTGGGGGGGAATTCAGAATACAAAAGAACTGTAATCAATCCCGCTCAATTTTTGGCTAGCTTTGGGCAAGCTGCAAAACTGGATTTCTTTGCAACTGGCTGTATTGCTATTGGCCATTTTGGGGGTGGTTCAAGTAATACCAGATGGATTTCCTTGCTGCCAAAGTATCGATCAGCACATAGTGTGGATATATTGTGAACTTCTGATTATAAGCCCCCCAATTATAGGCCTATCTAAAAATACATCTGGTTATTAGCCCTACCCCTCACCCTCCCTCCCCCCTTTCTGGCTTGTATTGAAATGAATCTTAAAAATGTGATCACATTCAAATAGCTTGTTTTGAAACACTTTTTTTAGTCCGGCTATAAGAATTCCCATTGAGCCCTCCTAACGCCATGAAGTTGTACAAGCCCTTATTATAGACTTAGTAACCACGCCAGAATGATTTACCTCTGTAAGATGGGCCAATTGATTCAGTGGCCAAAACATATATAATCAGTCCTGCTCCTCCAGCAAATATACCAACAAGAAATCTTAGCGCCACGAAAACGTAATATGATGGAGAAAATCCAGAGAGAACGGCAAAGCCGCCAGCTGCAAAATAACCAACAAGCCAAAGCTTTCGGCGGCCATGTTTATCAGCTAATCCGCCGATCAAAGGTGCTCCAATAAGTGTACCTGCCATAAATATGGACTGAGCAAGTTCATTTTTGTACGTTTGCCCACAAAGGAGACTCCACTCTGTCGCAATCGATGTGAAATTTGTAATAAAAGAAGCTCCTTGGCAGACACTACCATCAAGATCACAACAACTTTCCAGCGACTTGCAGTGTTTTATGTTTACGTTGAGATCTTCTGGGCAAATCCATTTTGGTGTCGCTGCGGTGAATACAAGAACAAGCATCTGAAAGCTACATGGGAAAGCTGATATCGCTATTAAGAAAAACAGTTTTCTTTGGTAACGACCAAATTCTCCAACCTGCTGTAAAGCATCGTCGAAGTCCATGTTGAAATTTTCTCTGACGAGTAGACGGAGGCTGGGTCGAGTAGGAGAAGTGTGACGTCACGCTACCCTCATCTTACCCGTGAGAGGTCTGAGTACGACATTATAGCTCCGCTTTGGTTCCTGAGTGCAAATCATGCACAGGAGTCTGCACAAGAAAGACATGTCAATTTTTTCGTTTCTTCCTGCGATATTTCCAGGATCACGATTTGTTGAGATCCAGAAATTTTGCTATCACGTTAACGTGACGTGAAGACCTCTCCACTCCATTACCTTGGTCATACTCTCTCTGTCGGGGAGCAGAAGAGGAGTAGAGGCGGGGAGTGGAGGGATTTTTTGAGACTGCTAAACATGGGGGATAATAAAAATCTTCATCATAATAACTTGTCATCGTTTTTGTATGTGAAAGTGTGTGGTCTAATCTAAAAATGGCTTTCTGCAAAAAACGCTGAACTTCGCTATCAAAGGCTCTTTTTTCATGTTCGTTGGAGAAAATATTCGCGAACTTTCGCTTTATCTCTTCGGTAATGTTTTTCTTTGGTGAGATTTGTTCGTGTGGTGTCAGCTCAAGTTTGAATGTAAATTTATGCTAATTCCCCATAGGCGGAACCCGAAACCCCACCACATCACAGGCAGCGAGATTCCGGCATCCTCGCAGTTTTTCTTCTGGGTCAACCAATCGGAATCCAGATACCCAATTTATCACACCGCTTTACGTCAGAGCTTCTCAAAAACAGGCTTTTGATACGCCGATAGTAAAATTGTTTTTATACTTTTTACTCGGAGGCTAATTCCCAAGCGAAGGAGTAACGAGTTGGCAAAACAATCTTTGCTATTTTCAAGGGACACTGTCAATTAATTACTAATGAAAGTTTTTATACACGGCATTACTGCCGTGTGTATTTTTTATCTGTATTTTCTCCCAACACGAAAGTCCGATGGCTCGGCAGGGCAGCAGTCCAAACAGAACATCACCATTGCTGCGCTGGCACCAATGACAGGAGAATGGGATGTTGGACGAACAACAGCCGCTGCTATGCCTATTGCCGTTGAAGATATCAACAACGATCCCTCTTTGCTGCCAAACCACCGCCTTCAGTTTGTATTTGGCAACACTAACTGCTCACCTAACACAGCCTTACCTCTGGTCATGAACTTCTGGGCTCAGCAGAAAAGAGGAGTAGATGCTTTTATTGGGGGAGGATGTAACCGAGTTTGTGAATATATCAGCTTGTTAGCAGGGAAATGGAATCTTCCAGTCATTTCATGGGGCTGTATGTCTGCTCATTTATCCAACAGAAACACGTTCCCCACATTTGTGCGAACTGTTGGTAAGTAAATTCGAGTGGAGTCAAACCCAGTGAACTAAAAAAAAGTGTTGTTGTTTTTTTTCGAGTTTGTTAAATTCCTACTTTCCCTTTCATATTTTCTTAAGTTACAACACTATACCTGTTTATTTTATTTTATCATTAGATCTTTTCTTAATAAGTTACCCTAGAAAATTGCTCCGGTCCTTTTTTCTGCCTCAGCTTCCATATTTTTTTCTGTTCAGTGAATTGCTCAAAACCGGACAGTTAAACAAAAGTCTTCCTGTTATGCATGATCAAACTATCGAGTGCCAGTATTTGTCAACATCTAAAGGCGAGATGATGATCGGCGAATGTACAATTAATCCCATTTGGAATAAATGATCTTTCCGCCCACCTGCCTAATTTACAACAATTTTATAAGGCCTTTTTGATTGAGGCTCTTTTACACTTAACTTGAAATATGTTGGGAGTTGCTGATATAGATACATATACATATATGATACGGCAGGGAAATATTATGTAGCTATCCCTTGAAAATCGCTTTTGCTAAAGGAAAGTAAATTATTTTATTTTACTTATCAGAACAACGCAATTTTAGTCGTGCCACAAAGCATCATAACATATCGGAGCTTCCAGCCCCTTGTAGTGGGCTTTGTATCATAAGCGGCGGGCTGTTTGGCTAATCTTTTTTATATATTAAGTGTTAGGTACTCTTTGTAATTTAGAATGCTTTGCTCATAAGGTCCCTACACTAAAATGGAGAAACTACTCAAACGTCTCATGGAACATTTCAGTTGGAAGCGTGTGGCTATTATCGCCTCCACAGATGACATCTGGCAAATTGCAGCAAACTTGGTTAAAATTGAGCTTCTCCATCACGGAATCAACGTGGCTCATTTCCATTCGTTCATCCCTGGACGTCTTCATATCCTAGAAAGCAGAATTGAACGCCATGCTGATCTGATCAGAAGAGCAGCTAAACGTGCTATGAGTAAGTAAGACGCGAATACTTTTATCTCATAGGTCCACACTATCCACCAATAATCATTTCATGAATTCAGCAAGGGAACAAGGGGACGCAGGTTGAACGGTAGGTGTTGTAATATCAAGTTCGCTTGAAATAAGAAATCATTTCACTTGAAAGAAACTGCATCAGTCGGTCTCTTTAACTTAATTTAGTATAAGGCATATTGAAATCGTGAATGCCTAACGTCTTAAGCGGTAGCCTTCCGTTTCGTTCCTACAAAAGAACATTTTATCGAACTCATCAAACAAAAGCAAACTATTTAGGCCCTTCTCTTCATATACGTAGCACTTGACAAATTCTTTTATTCGGACTTTTGATATATTTCTCAGGGCTTATCAATGTAGTCCGGCGGTCTGATGTGAATGATTTAAGTCTTCTATGATTAGTTCTAATTGCAGCAGGTTGAGGTGCTGCGTAATGCCTACCCTATGTTTGTGCTGCTCATCATTCTGGTACGACCTACTAAAGCAAGTATTTTTTTCAGTTTTTATTTTGTTATGCGATGGAGGTGACATTAGAGAAATCATGTTGAACTTTTTGGATCTGGGTCTTCTTAATGGTCATTACGCTTTCATCACGGTCCACTTGCCTAAGCGGTAAGTTAAGACTGAATGTTAACTCTCTGGAAAAATTCAAAAGCGCCAAACCCCACCCTTTATCAGAGTGTTTTGTTTGATACATTGTAGATCTTACATTGGTAACAACACGTGGATGGGTAACGATGGACGAGATAATGACGCCAAGAAAGCTTATGAGGGAGTCTTGAACATTGAACAAAAGTTTGGAACAGAGAAAAGAACAGGAGACAAAGTAACAGCTTTCGTAAATCGCGTCAAGAGCAGGTTGAAAGCCGATCCCTTTAATGTGGAGATTCCGGAAAATGGAACAGTAAGCTGTGTTTTAAACAAATTAATAATACATGCCGGTATACAAAAATGATATGTGTAAAATATAGAGCCAATGCAACGACGAACACCAAACTTTTTCATCCTTACGCATGAACAACAAATCATGCTTATTCGTTTTTGAAGACTCTTAGTACCTCCAAAATGTAGTTTTATTGACTGAGTTGACAATTACTACGGTGGCCGATGTATCTTATTGGATAAATTGGTCTCCAGTCAAAAGGAAAGAACTGGAACGTTTCGAGGGTTAGTCCCTGCTCAAGGTGTTACCTTCTCCTCCCTCTTTACCAACTTCTGTTTCTTCAAATCATTTCTGATACGTGATCTGCTGAACTACTGTGTATCATCATAGGTAACAAATGTTGAATGTTTCTTGATATCCAACTTACTGATTCCAAATATGTGATTGTCACCCAGGTGGAAGCTTACGCTGGGACAATGTATGATGCTGTTTTACTGTACGCGTTGGCTGTTAACGAAACTTTGGAATCCGGAAAAAATATCAGAAATGGCTTGGAAGTATCCAAGAGAACTTACAATAGAGTTTATCAAGGTATCTAAATAATTTATTTCTTTCTTTCATGGTGTCTTCAATATGTCTTCAATGGTGATGCTCCAGCTATAAATGTGTGACGTTTTACCATGTACTGTAGCTCTGTAGTCAAGTCTATGCTGATGTTGTTCTACTGTTCAGTCTACTGCACGTGTGCTCTTCTATTTTATTAGGTATCGCGGGACCAGTTTACATGGACAACAATGGCGACCGAGACCCTGATTATGTCATTCAAACACTAATTGATGACAGATTTGAGGACATTGCCTATTATACTCGATATAATGATAACTTTACTATCAGAGAAGGTGTTACAATTATCTGGCCAGGAGGGGTCACCACTCCACCTAAAGATAGTCCTGAGTGTGGGTGGGAAGGGGAACTTTGTTACAACGACAGTGGTAAGATGATTCTGGTTCTTTTCGTCAAGAGAACATCATTAATTTTGTTTTCTTTCTTCCTCTAATTGAACATCGAAGAGAATGGTTTAGTATTTTTTTATTAACTTCGCCAAACATTAAGATAAGTGGTACTAGAAAAAAAAGCTTTAGTACAAGTGATTAAGTAAAACAGTAATGTTAGGCTTTGTTTTTGAGTGGAAGCGTGTTGGCTTTTTTGCAACTAGTTTACAGGCACTTCGGATTTGTCCTCGGGACGACCGAGGCTAGCTTGTAGTTGGAGGAGGACTCGAAGGATTGTGGGTCTGACGCACAGACCACTTATATCCTTCCTGTTTAGATGGACTATTTGTTTCTTTCCACAGAGGATAGCACTACATATATCATCATCGCCTGTTGTACCGTGTTTGGATTTGTATTTGTTACCATGGTGTTTGTTTTTGCTTACAGGTATAGTGAGAATTATTTCTTGCAAAGTATTAATTTCGTTAGATCGTTTTCACTCAAAGGGAATGTCAAGGGAATGGTGGCGAGTCTAAGCCATGTTGTTAGTGAACCTATACTTGGTGCTCCCCGAGTGAGTTTCCCAAAGTTTCAATAAAATTTTTAAATGTTATTGTTGTCACTCAATCTTCCAGCTTTTTCCACCTGAAAATCTATTGAGAAACACCCGCATTTTCCAGTCAGTGCCTGGCAGAAATTTCTTTCTCTTATCATAGTAACCTCTTTCCTAGGGTGAGCCTGGTGAAGAGGCTGAACAATTGACCAATTTTGCGTTGTTTTGTTGTGCAATTATAAAACGTCATCACACAGAACCAAAGCGCTTGATTTATCTTATAACAGGAAGCTGATTTTCGAGCTGGATCTTGCGCAGAATCAGACATGGAAGGTCAAGCAAGAAGATATCGTGCTAAGAGATACGATCAACCTCTTCGGAAACTCGGTGAGCTAAGCGGTATAAAAATATATTATATCATGAACACTACCTTTTCATTAGCGTTTTACACTATTCTATATAGCAGGTATTTCACAAGATACCAGTGTGCTTGGTTTTGCGATTTTACAGAATAAATCTGGGATATTCTTATTACACACAAACATTGATTCTGAACACTGTTGGAAATTACAGGGTAAAATGATAAACGTGAACCTCTTGTTAACTTTTGCATATTCAGAACGTAAACTTTGGTTCTGGGAGAACTATGAGATCCCGGACGTCAGCTTCACGTGCCAATCGCTCCAGTCGTGTTGGTAGTCTAAGATCATGTGCAAGTGTGAAGTCCGCTGACACTCAGTATTCAGCAAGGTGGAGTTTGCAGGAGCAAGTCTTCTCTTCTGGGTTTACTAACATCGCTTTCCATAAGGTGAGTAAGAGAAAAATAAGAACATAGGGGACTGGGAGAAGCACAGGAGTTGTTGGAAGGAAAAGTAAAAAAATCCTTTGCCTGCTATTGCACCATTTCTATGACCACAACATACTGATTAACGTTCTTTTTAAGTCAATTCCTAGTGAGATATTACATGTAATTAACTAGGTTAGTCTTGTTTAGTGTTAGTTAATATGTACTGCCAGGACACGCCCCATTGACCGTCTTTCTAACCTTAATTCTATTTGGTTCATCTTTATTTTTCATTTACTATTAAGGGTGAACTGGTTGTCGTTAAACACATAAAAAAGAAAGAACTTCGAATTTCTCGCAAAATTCTGATTGAAGTCAAACAGGTAAGTCCGGTTTGTCTAGCTTTTTGGGTGGCTATTAACGATAAAACTAACAAATTAGCGTTAGTCAGTTCTGCAGTCGAACCTCACCCCAACGGTCACCTTGGGGACAGAGAAAAATGGACTTTGTACAGAGGTAGCCGTTATGGGGAGGTAGAAGTGTAATATGACAATTTTTTTTAGGGATTTACAACATGTTTATTGTGCTAAATTCATGCTTACTGTATCCCATAATGATAATCCAACCCAGTTATAATATATAGAGAGAGTTAAAATACACAAAAAACTTGAAAAATGTTTTAAATAAGAATGTTAACGAGACAAAACGAGCAAGGTCCACAACATTCGCTATGAGTATCGTAGGCAATTTATGCTTACTGCCAACCGAGTATACATGGAACACAATCAAAATACGAATACCACGATTACTGAATCATCATCGCGCCATACGAATCAAATTTCATGGCCATTCTTGACTTTTTCATCAGTCGCTGTAAAAACTGGCCGTTTTTGTAGTTGGGGACGCGCTCGCTAGTGGAGGTTCGACTGAAGACAGTTACGTTGTAGGTAGACGGTAGACCGACATCTACCAGTGCTGTTCTGCGTTCCTATCTGATGAAATGTTTGTTTTTGTATAGGCACGGGAATTACGCCATGAAAACATCAATCCTTTCATTGGAATCTGTATCGACTCGCCCCAGGTTATGATCCTCTCTAAATATTTGAAACGAGGCAGTCTTCAGGTACGTCAACGATTTTTTAAGTATTGCTGCCGGGGTTGAAAGATCACAAGCCATGCATACACGACAACAATAGAATAAAGTTGAGGTGTTTTCTCGAAATACATCAGTAAAAGAACGATTCACAGTTGTTCTATAGTGTAATGAACTTATCATAGACATGGGAAATTATTCACGGGCCTACAATAAATGAAATTATTATGAGTTTACTCCTGTGTTGAATTCAAGGCTAACAGTTCGATACTAACATTTTAATGCTTTCATTTAGGATCTTTTGGAGAACGAGGATTTTAAGCTGGAAGAAATTTTTATCCTTTCATTGGTCCGTGATGTAGCAACGGTAATGTAAAACATTACTTAACATGTGCCACTGAGAGACACATCTCATCCCCGAGGTCTCCTTCCTGAGAATGAGTAGAAACTGAAAGCTCTGACTTGTTTTACTCAGTATTTTTTGGAAAAGTACAGTAGTCATGTCAGATGAAAAACTACCCTGGTCACAACTATAGTGAAATAGCATCAGAGTCATGACAAAAGAAATGAGCTCATTCTCTCTTGATCATGATCATGCACCAAACCGGCTATTGAAGATATACCCTATTACAGTGAGACACAACTCTCTAGTAGCAGAAGCCTAAGCAATATGTGCAGCAAATATTTAAACGTGTTTAGTGCAAAAAGGTAGCTTTTTATATATGAGGCCCGTATTTCAACTAGTACAACCACATAATCAGCTTCAGTGACTCCCAACACAAAATATCACCATTAACCATAAGACAGCTAGAGTCTATATTTTAAAAAGACCCTTTATTTCTGCACAGGGTATGATGGTTCTTCACAATAGTGCAGTGCAAGTGCATGGACGGCTCAAGTCCTCCAACTGCCTAATTGACTCGCGGTGGGTGTGTAAGATAGGAGACTGGGGTCTAAGTGAGCTTCGCTCCCCTGCCGACCGCCTGCCTCCCAGAGAGGAGTATGAAAAATACAATGGTAGGTTGCGTATGCGTGTAGCAGTTTATAATTCTTTTATGGGTCAAAGCAGAAAACGAAAATAAGTTATGGAATTAGTCAATTCTGAAAGCATTTGCTCGGTCTTTTTACTTGCTAAGAAAGTCCGCCGGTACTCTCCCCTACCTGGAAACTATACTTATAAAACGACCAAGGCATATTATCATTAGACCTTTCAGATGCTAAAAGACCACCTCCAAAAGTCCTTACCATAACTTGTAAAACATTGTGCGCGAACTTAACTCGATAACTTGGTTAGTTATTACCTTCAAATACCAAACAAAGCAGCTTTAAGTGTTTTCTTGAGTTATTATGTATTTCATTATTTTTCAGATATGTTGTGGTGCGCCCCAGAACACATACATGATGACGACATGGACAACAGGGGATCACAGAAAGGAGATGTATACAGTTATGGTATAATTTTACAAGAAATTGCGATCAGAAAGCCACCTTATAGCATGTACACTTTACAACCACAAGGTAAGAGTCGCAACTGATTCGATGACTTTGCATTACCAACAGTCTTTTATCATGGCTGGGACTCGACTTGCTCACTCACTTTTCCCCTTGCTTTTTGGCGCTTGGTACATGTACTCGCAATTAATGTTTGAACACCAGTAATAAAAAGAACAATGCTAGTGATTGTCTGATTTACGGTCGACAGAAATAATTGCTCGAGTCACTGCACATGAAGACCCACCATTTCGCCCCGTTGTTGAGGCGAATGCTTGTAAAGAAGAGCTCCAGTCCCTAATGACACAGTGCTGGGATGATGACCCAGATAAACGGCCTCACTTTAACAAAATCTTGGACAGGCTGCGAAAGGTGATGGGCAGGTATGTCTGATTATAATCAGATCTTCTCCCAGTATTGGAGCAGAGAATAGGGTAGGAGGCGGTTGCATGTCCATCTCATCTAGTTCCTTTATTGTGTTTCTCCATGTTCGTTTGCCCGGATGAGCTGATTTGCAAAGAAAATTGTCTGAGTGTGAAACAGTAGCTAGCATTTTTTCATTGATTAAAAGGATTAACTCTCTTAACAACAAAAATGATGGAGACGATTTGGCCAATATTTCAATGTAAGAATGGCAAGAAACGTTGCCTTAATGTATCGATTACCAACGAACCGGTGAATGTTTTTTTCTGCGGTAAAATTTTATACTATTGTGCTTTCTCTAGTAAGGATGTGAAAAATAATGATTGTTTTTCGGAGGATGTTGTTCCCCTCCAACACTCACGTTCTTTTCCTTGTAGAGATGTCAACATCATGGACAACATAATGGCACTAATCGAGCAACATACTGATAACTTGGAGGCGCTAGTGGAAGAACGAACTCGTCTGCTGATGGAGGAGAAGAAGAAAACAGACAAACTTCTGTACAAAATGCTACCAGTGTAAGTCAAAGATTGTCCCGCAATTCTGCTTCTTGCACTTTTTCTTCTGCTCAGCAATGTTTAGTTACCTTTCAAAAATAGCGACGGATTTCAACTCAAAGGAAGAGATTAAACAGACTCACACGACAATTGCAACCCTGAAATTTGGTCAGTTTAAGAAAAGAGACAAGAGACAAATTAAGGTAATCACTAGATGTGTCTCCCATTTTCCAGGAGGTCGATTGATTTTCATCGTCAATCATCTATCAACGCTATCTTACCAACTTTGTTTTGTCCTTGTAACGTTTCAGATATCAATAAAATTTTTACTGTTGAATTTCTTACAATTTTATCCTTGTGTCGAGGACCTTGTTAGGGGAAAATCCTCACCAAAAAAACCGTGAGAGTGATCCTTGATTAAATTGCGCTTATTTTATTTTTTTTTTTCTGTCATACAACAGAGCTGTAGCAGAACAGTTAAAGCTTGGGAAGCCTGTGACTCCAGAGTATTTTGACGAAGTCACAATCTATTTCAGTGAAATCATGGCTTTTATTGACCTCGCTTCAGAGAGTACGCCGATGGAGGTAAGAATCACAAACTGCAATGTAATTTTTTTTTCATCATTGTGAAATCTGCAGTAGTTGGTATTATCTTTGAAATTCATCTTTAGGTGTAATAAACATGAACAACGAAGGGCAGAGTACTCAGAAAATAATCTCTCTCTGGTTTAGATTGTTGCCTTTTTGAATGATTTGTACCTTGCCTTGGACAACATTCTTGGCAACTATGATGTATTTAAGGTGAGTCAAGTTGCCCCAGTGATTTTATCGCTCTTTCTATCTATAAACAGACACCTTGAACAACACCGGCTAATCGTAAGGTCGCAGTGAGCCATTTCAGGAAATAATATTACTTAACCGGAGGATAATTATTGCTAAAGGTACCCACGTTATCTTCCCTCGGCTACTGATATGAAGCTATGAGTGTGATCTAGTGTAAGCGTGATGGGTAAGGGAGAGAAAACAGCATATGCTTGACTATTATTCCATTTTGGGATGTCCTTCTCGGATGGATTAAAACCAAGGTCAAAAACTGTTTTTTTTTTCTAGGTGGAAACAATTGGTGACTGCTTATTGGTGGTGTCTGGCTTGCCTGTTAGAAATGGCAACCGCCACGCTGCGGAAATAGCGGACATGGCGTTTGACATCCTCAGTCTTATGACTCACTTTAAGATCAGGCATAGACCCCGGATGAAGCTACAGCTTAGGGTTGGACTGCACAGCGGTAAGTAAACCCAAACCAACGCACCCTTATGTATACGCCACTATCGTTAAATCAGTTAGAGATGTAATCGTAGGGGGAGGGGAGGGAGGGAGGGTTGACTTGGTTTAGAGTCAGGTACCTAAATGTATATATCTTTGCTGGGCGCGCCTACTACATTTCACCGGAGTACAAGAAAATAGCGTCCCTCTGAATAGTTTAAAATTAACTCTTCTGAAACCTCTCCTTCAAACTTCAATAAACAAGATAAGCATCCACTAGGCCCTTTTAGCTATTTGACAAAAAATCTTGCTTTGCAACTTATCATGTAAATGACCATGCACCACACTTATTCTAAGTCATTTGACGCCGCTGAGACTGAGAAAAATGCGGTGTCTTAGAGCCATGCCCTGATTGACGTCATTGTTATACTTCTTATAGGTTCGTGCGTGGCGGGTGTTGTGGGAATCCACATGCCTCGCTTCTGCCTATTTGGGGACACAGTGAACGTAGCATCGAGGCTGGAAACCACTGGACAGGGTAAGAGCATTTCGACTCAGAAAACACCTACTGTGTCCACTGTTTTCCTTATTTCTTACAAAATTGTCTGATTTTAATTATAGTCATTTCTCCCCATCACAGCCTGATGTGAGGTCGGTTTTCTTATTGTTTTCCTTAGCTCTCAAGATTCACGTTAGCGAGGACTGCTACAGGCTTCTGAAAGAAATTGGTGGATATATATTTCTTAAGCGAGGCGAAGTGTATCTCAAGGTAATCAGTAAAGGATTGCTAGACGCCAAGTCGCAGGGGTGGGGCGATTTGTTCAATAATACCTGAATTCCAGCTAACAGGGCTGGCTGGGTTTTCATATAATAACAAAAATGATTTATGTTCCGTTTAAGTGGCGCAATTTTTTCTGGGGGAGCAACCTTAGCAAATAGGCCTGGGACCAGCCCCATAGTTTGTCTGTTATTTGGATTGTTAGAAGGAAGCATTAGTTACACTCTTCAATATTTTCATGACAAAGTCATGATTGGCTATGATGACATTAGAAGATATAATCGATGAATCTTAAAGAAGTGGAAGTGCACCTCAATTAAGAAATACTATTTATATTTGGTAAAGTTTGGAATTAACAGATTCCCCTTTTGTGTTCAAGTTCTCTTTTTCTGACATTTTCCTTTCATTCGTCCCTTAATTCCTTGATGGCCTCACTGAAGGTGAAACTTAAGAGACCGCCTTTGGGGGTAACTGATGTTTTTGTTAACATCTAGGGGCGTGGTTTCTGGAAAACTTACTGGTTGATGGGAAAAGAAGGATTCAACAAGCCACTGCCACACGCCATGGCCGCAAACTCAGAGCCCTCTGTTGAGACGCTAAATGTTTACTACGCCAGCTAAAAGTTTAAAATATTGTTAAAGTACTGATCAAACTGGAGAAACTTATATTTAAATTTCCCCTACTGGACAACGTGTCACACTGACAGAACTTCAAAACTGCTGCGCTTTTTTTCTTTTATCTGTTCATCACAAGAACAGTACGTGTTATTTCATCAGGTTTTCTCTAACTGTTATCTTTGGTTCTTTTCGCAGCCGCAATTGCAATTGCCGCACGCGTTTTTTCTCGTCTACTGAAGTCCCTTTCTCGTTCCAGCTTGGAGCACCTATGCTTTATAAATTGGCAAGCTCACCCAATGAATTCACTTTTTTAACTACTTTGCATACATAATATTACATTATTTTATTTAACTAATGAGTAATTACCGAGCATTACATAAATTTAAAAGGTCATGTTACCCTATCTCCCATTTCTGCGACAGCACTAGTCCACCTACTCAAATATGGGTAATAAGTTTCAAAGAGTATAAAGCGCGTGGTTTCTTATGCTCTCATGGTAGGCGTTTTAGTATTTCACAGCTTTTCTTCAAGTAAATAAATTCTCATGTAGCTTGCAGAGTTATGAATGTTTGTAATCGTACTATTTTACGGAATAGAATTCAGGATTTGTCCTGTTTGTATTTGATGTTGTTTGTTATAAAGCATGTACTTCATATCAAACACCAACATCGGAAAGAACTGCTTGTGAACTCTGATTCAATATCAAATTGAAGTAACTGTCATAAAATTTTGTTCTGCTTCATTAAATAAATATTTTTTGTATCTGCGAAGAATCACACTGTACTCCAAAGCAATTTTCCCTTAAATTTTACGTCAAAAACAGCTTGTGCCAAGATAATCACCTGTTCAGTGAAAATAACATTGAAGTGCTAGGGATGACCAATAACCCATTGAGCATCATCCCTAGTAATGGGAATCAATGAGGAATGCGAAACACCCATGCGTGTATTTACATTACCAAAAATAAATTTTCCAATACCTAGCTTGCCTGCGTCGCAGATGCTCTAAACCTTCTGTATAGAGACTATACAAATGGTTTAGACAAGTGCGTAGGCCAGCTGCAACGCAGGCTCATACCTAGCCAATTTGTCATTTACATACATCAACAATAAATACAGGCTGAATGTAAATTTAGCACCAACATTAACTGAACAATTATCATTTTGAATGTTTATAATCAACAAATACCCTAGTAGGTGCATTATATGTTTGGTCATTAACAACCTCATTATCACTAAAACACCCAACTTGACAAGTTTTCCTTGTTATTAGTTGCAGTGAGAAACTTTGACTTGCTACATCTTCCAAAAATTATTGATATATTTCATTACGGTACATATAAAATAGAGGGTTAATTAATGTATTGTATTGTATTGTAGTAATGTATGTTTATTATAACTTGCTTTCAGTCAAAGCATAAACTTTTGATTTGGAGCGAGCTACAAATTCTTTGATCTCATGCGCAACTTCCTCAGGGTTTTCTAGATGGAAGAAGTGACCACCCCTGACTTTCTTACATTCTTTGTACTTTGCACTTAGGGAAATGGCCTCAATCAACCTGTCCCACATATACTGCACCTTAGGGCCATATATATGATCTGTGCCTCTTAATGCCAATACTGCACAACAAATATTGGAATAAATGGATGTCATCAACTCTACAGCTTCAAATGGTTCATAGGAGTATTTGACCATCGGATCATGTGAAAAAATGAATCCATTTGCAGCAGTTACTCTGGTTCCTCTTTCAGTCAACAACAATGCATCTTTCTGGCAGATATGAGCAACTGATGACACTTTTCTTTTATCAGCTGCTAATTCAACACTTTGATAGATGCGAGGAATAGATACTTTTGTACTAGACATTTCAGTTGCATATTGTGCTAAAACATTACTTTTTTCTTCGGTAAAACTCACCAGTGAACCACCAAAATCAAGCAATATTAGGTTGTCTACTTCATGTGGAAAAGTTCCTGCATATAATGATGCCACACCAGCTCCCATACTGTGCCCTATGATGGAAAACTTGCTCCATCCAAGCTGAGAAACAACCTTCTTAACATCAGCAACATATTCAAAAAAGCTGTATGGCATACCAGGCCATCTGTGGGAAGATTTTCCATGTCCTGGAAAATCCATAGCCATAAAATGAATGTTGTCTGGTAACAAGTGAGCTAACCTGAAAGTGAGTAACATCACAAGTGAATATAAAAATGTATACCATTTCAATATACCATTGTTTCATACTGTTTAATAACCAAAACCCCCTTTAGATGACATTTTCTTATGGAGGCTTCACAATTTATTTCCAAGGGTGAAGGAAGAAAAAAAGGGGGCAGTGTGTCAATATTTTCAATCTTTTTTCCTACCTCATCTATAAGGGGTTTAACTATTAGATGGAAATAGTATAGACAAAGGCCCACATCTGGTCAGTCTAAAACACAAACTGTGCTACAGACTAAAAATACCAGGGTTAAAATACAAATTTCAATTAAAGGTACAGCTTAGAATAGGTGTAATATTCAGAATGCATTCTGCCTTCATGTAATTCTTGCTATCCCACAATGTTTTTAGACATATAAAGGAAGTGTTTACTTGAAACTGTTTTACTAGACAAGTTTATAGAGACAATTACCATACAAGCAGACATTTCTTTTCAGCATGGGTTTTAGTATTTATCAAGTTACTTTGCTCTCATTTGTGTGGTTGGCTTGGGACACTAAACAAGCCAGCTAGGTGATTGTCAGCGACTTAAAAAAAACACAACCACTGGGTTGTCACTGTGATTTGGGTATCTCTGTACCCGAAGAACGAAGAAGTGCAAATACTGGTCATTTCTGGGCGCATCTTTTAGCCACGGAAAATGAATACCGTAAACTTCTAATTATAAGCAGCCCTGGGCTTCTACAACCTTTGTAAGGGGTTTTAGGATTGGTTTTAGGAGGGCTTACAAACAGCAGGGGGGAGGGGAAACGGGACAAAAAAGGGTGTTTTAAACAAGCTACACAGCAGTGCTGATCAAAATACTTTTTGAATTGGATCACGTTTTTAAGCTTCATAACATCGTGAAAAGTCAACTTCATTTCAAAACAAGCAAGAGGGGGGCTGACATTCGGGAGGGGGAAGGGCTTATATGTGGATGTATTTTATTGCTGATGGGCCTATAAATGGGGGGGGCTTATAAGTGCGGGGGGGAGGGAGGGTTGGGGTTATAATATTATTGGAAGTTTACAGTAGTATCACAGTCGGGACATTTTTTAGTAATTTTCTGGATTTTAGCCAACTCGCCGTAGATTCAAGCAAGAATAAAACAGCAAAAGGATGAATGTTTTTCTCGTTCTGCATTCTACATTTGGCGCATACATTGGCCATGTTGTCGCGTAAACTCGGTCATTTTGCTCCTTTATTCAATTAGTTTTTTCCTGTATAAAGAAAGCGACAGTCCCCTAAAAGTAAGGAATATCTAGATCAACCGATACCTAGATCACTAGTGGGATACCAAACTCACTATGACAGCAGATTAAAACGTACCATGCTAGCAGAGTCGCTTCGATCTTTCCTAGATGAGTCGAAGGAGAGACTCTGTTCGCAGGATAATTAAAACGTTACATCATCGCTTTTTAATTACCTGTCAAATGTGTTGGCGTTATCTATCCATCCATGAAGCCCAAGGAAAGGTTTTCCGTCATCCGGTCCCCACGAATTAGCTGCAATAACTCCCCATGGAGCTGTAAAGGAGACTTCTCTGGAAGATTTCTTCCCTAACAACGCACCCGCCATTTTTAATTCACCAAGGGGCGAAGGGACAAGACAGTGAGGACCCTGGGAACGAGGACCGATAGCGGTTCCCAGGCTTCCCTTTTAAGTGTGACGGTCAGAGTAGGTCCAAAATGCGTACTTTTGGAGGGGTTCACGCTCTTCTTGATAAAGACCATTTTTCAACGAAAGTTTAGGCTTCGTCTGCTTTTTCCAGTTTATCCAAAAATTTTAAAAACTTCAAACATTTTGAAGAAATAAATGAAGCTGAGAACTCATGATTCGCAGAATTTAATGCCCGTTTTCATATCTGCCTATTCTTGGTTTGCAACCACATGACAAGACAGCCATGTTGGTGGTCAATACCAATTTAATTTTCTCTCAAAGAATTTACATGAAAATGAAGTTTAGTTCCCAGAGGAGAGAAAGGTCGAGAAATGTTTTTGTTCTTCACCACCAACATGGCAACCGTGACGTCACGTACAAACCAGCAATTGAAATCACAAAAATAAAACCCAGCAATACTGTCTGCAAAATTAAGTACCAGGGAAATTAAGCACAAATTAAGAACAATTTTTTAGGCTCAAATACCCCCAAAATAAGAACATTGCTTCCGGGCTCAGCCTCAGTTCAATATCATGTACAGTCAACCATCTCTAAGACAGACACCTTCAGGACTGGCCCTGACTGCCCGTCTTAGAGACGTGTCCGGTTTATAGACAGTCAAAGTAACATGACACCAGTGATTTTAAAGCTGTGATGAATACATGTCAGTTTAAGTTGTACAAAACAGCTTAAACTGGAACATTGTAAATTGAATTGTAAAAGAAAAGTGGAATTATTTTCTCAATGTGCAATCAAATGTTCATTACAAGTAAATGCTCACTGCTTGGTGGTCTAAATGCATAACAGTATACAATCTGAGAACAGGAACAAGACTACAAAATATCAAACATTTTGCAAGTTACTGTCATGTAGAGCACCTAAACTTCAATTATGAGGTATTTTTCATGACATAAAGAACTTCTTAGTGTCCATTGACAGTTACAAAAAGTGACTGTTGTCTGTCTTAAAGAGGTATCTGCCATACAGAGAGCATAGTTACATTAAAATGACTGAAAAATAGAAGGGACGAACACCAGGTTTCCGTTAAGAGAGAGTTGACCGTATAGGACAATTTTCCATGAAGTTTTAATTTCTTGGGTACAGAAGAAAATAAGGTTGAAAGTTTTTTAGGATTAGGGTGAGCTTTGTCCCCCGTACAAACTGCTTGGTCTGTAGCAAATAAACTAGTTGACAAACCTTATTAAAAACCCAGTAATGAATGTATTGTATAAGCTAAGCCAGCTTATATTGATTTGGGGACATATTCTGTTATTTTGACTGATTCAATTCACTGAATTTATATGCTTTTCACATTTTTTATAATTCATGAAATGAATAATAAATATGATGAAGAAGATTATTATTCTGTCTCTAAAAATATCTCCGTAAACTAGCAAACAAAGCAAAGACTAACAAACTGTTATCAAAGAATTCCTTGTTAGAGATCATTATAGGCACCTTAACATGCCTTTCATACTACAACTTGCTTTGTACAATACTGAGTGATTTAATAGCTAAGAATTGTTCAATCTCTTCTGCAACCACCACATGATTTTCTAGATGGATTTGATGACCACCTTTGATCCTTTTCCATGATTTGTACTTTGCATTTTCACAAATGACCTTCAGCCGTTCTAAGTTAGCTTCTCTAACTTGAGTATATTTGTGCACAGTATCTGTAGCTTCTAACACCAACACTGCACACTGAATCTTGGAAAGAATTGCCTTTACTGCCCACTGAGGTGCAATCAGTGGTACCACATTTTCTCTGACCAATGGACTATGGGAAAAAATTATTCCTTCTTCTATACGTTTAGTTCCTCTCTCTGCCAACAACATTGCATCTTCTTTGTGAAGGGTGGTACCAAGATTCTGAACCTCACGTTTCTCAGCAGCTGCCTCTAAACTCTGATAAACACGGGGAAATACTGTGTTCCATTTTGTCATTATCGTTGCATAACGGGCCAATGTAAGGGCTGGTTTATCAGCATAGTACACAGTGGAATCAGAATAGTCAATCAGAATCAGTTGTTTTACTTCACTGGGAAAAGTGCCTGCATATAATGATGCTACATTAGCTCCCATACTGTGTCCTATGATGGAAAACTTGTTCCAGCCAAGCTGAGAAACAATTTTCTTCACATCAGCAACATATTCAAAAATAGTGTATGGCATTCCTGGCCATCTGTGACAAGATTTTCCATGGCCTGGAAAATCTATGGCAATAAAACAGATGTCTTTTGGTAGCAAATGAGCTAACCTGAAAGTACAAATCTAAGTTTTAGAGGCACACAATGTGAGGACATTGGATTTTGTCTGATAGCAAGATTACAGAAGTGACAAAATTCTTATATTCTTCTTATTAAATATGAATTCCCTCCATTTTAAATTTTACAATACCAGTCTGAGTTACATAATGGATTCCGGAAGAGTTTGTTCTGCGGGATTTGAGGATTTTGATACTATGAATACAGTAATAATTTGTAGATACCACCTTCTCATGTACTTGTGGGTTATTTACCCTAATTTGCCAAATCTGTTAGAAGGGTAAAAAGGTTAGCTTCTGTCAAAGCTAATAATTCTGTAACATTATGCACCTACCAATGTTAATCTGGATGGGTGGGGGGGGGCGGGGAGAAAGCCGGACAAAGGCCAGGGATTTGAACTTGAAGCAATTTTTTATGTCAAATGCCCAACCCCAGGGCAATCATAATATTGATCAAAAGAGAACAAATTCCCCACCTCTCCAACTAAAACTAGTGGTCAAAGGTGTTTTATTGAAACAAAAAAACACACCAACTTTTTGAGAAAGTTGCTTCTGTTTATTTTAACAATTATCGTTCAAATGCTCTGGCGAAATGTCAGCATCATGAAGGAATGTCTTCCACCTACACAGTTTAACAAATCTGAGACTGTTAAACAAGTAAATTTACTGCTTTCAAAATCGGGCAAAACATTTGTATCATGCAGTCATACTGAATAAGGGCCTAACTTCCTAACACAATAACGTATATGGATGGATGTATTCATTTAAATGATAGAGAGAATAAAAACAGATACCATGTCACGCTCTCCTTGACCGCCATCTTACACACGTGCATAAAAAATACCGGTACCAAAGATCGTTGTGGGAATGATGGCCGCCATCTTTGGTAACCAATCCTCCTGGTAATGCAACTGGTAACCAACTGGCAACCAGGCCCCGGTTGCTCAAAAGTTGGATAGCGCTATCCACCGGATAAATCACTATCCAGTGGAAAAGCATTAGGGAAACCAATGCATAACGCAATTATTGCGTTATGCACTGGATAGAGATTTATCCGGTGGATGGTATTATCCACCTCTTGAAAGACTAGCCCAGGTCTTTTACAGCTTCAAATCCACACTGGCATCCGTAAACAGATGAAATTCAAAAGTCGCCCCCCTGGGACTTGGCGATAATCAAAAGTCCCCACCAGGGGTCGACTTCCTCTGTGAAATCCCCGGCCTTTGCACGGCCTCCAGATTAACATTGATAGGTGCATTAGGCCAGTTAAATACCAAAACCTATGATGTTAATACACTAGCTCGAATTTTAAGTAGAAATATTATGATGGTACTTTGATCTTTGTTTCCTTAGAGTTGAAACTCATAACTTCCATTTAGTAAAATGGGGTACTTCTCTTCTATCAGATTAAACAGCCAAAACTAAATAATAATTATTGTTTAAGCTTACTTATCATAAGCGTTAGCGTTGTCTAACCACCCATGAAGCCCAAGGAAAGGCTTTCCGTCATCAGATCCCCAAGCCTTAGCTGCAATAACTCCCCAGGGAACTTTAAAGGAGATTTCTTTGTAAGATTTCTTCTTCAAACTGGCATCCGCCATATCCGCCATATTGGAACCCCAGGCAAATTGATCCCAGTCTTCCGAACTGATTGTGAAAACGAGGCGCACTTCATATCACGTGAGAGTCTTGCTTTCGGCCATATTGAATTGACACCAACGAAAGATGATTAGAATTTGTGGACCAAAACTAGCAAATTGTTGCTTTCTTATAAGTATATGGGGTATTGTAATGTTGGTAAGTTTTACCTTTGAGGTTTGAACCTTAGTTTTCATGTGTCTATGCCAAAACAAACGGGTGTTTGCCCACATACTCTTTGAAAATGATTGTATCAAGGGCTAATTAAGCTTAAACAAATTAATAATTGGTACAGTCAGGAGTCGACGTTGAATATTTTACAAGGGATAGGTTAACTTATTCAGAAGTAAAATTGATAAGATTTCTTTTTTTCATCAGCTCCTACTGGGCGTGTTTTTCAGTGTACGTAGTGTAGCACTCATAGATGATATCCCAAGTGGCTTGAGTGAAACGCAAGGATACAAGTCTTCTGCAAAGTTTGTATTTTTTTAAAAAAATCGTTATCTATTTATTGACGGGTTTTATAAAACAGTTGTTTTCTTATTAAACATCCTTGAAGATAGAGGAAAGAGAAAGTTAGCTAAGTAATCATTATTTGATTATCGAATCTGACAGAAAGCCCCGAGAATGATAATATATTAGTTACATGTAGGTATTGTGAACTCGGAACCAATGTGCCCAAATTAGTTTGTCATATTTTTCATAGAGAATGGGCTCCTCGGTTAACTGGAGTTCATGTCTGTGGATTGTGTCTTGATGCAGTCAGACTATGTATTGTACAGAGTAGTAATGGGTATTTTGTTCATTTTGGGGCAGGGTGAAAAGAAGTTTGACTTTGACTGCTGTTAAATTCACAGCAAGAAGTGACTGACAGATACTAAAGAGACACAAGTAGAAACAAATTTAGTCCAATTCTCAAACCCCCATAAATCACCGGGACCCTGTTGTTCAATCGTTGGATAACAATATCCAATGGCTAAACCACTATTCAGCAGATAAGTATCAGGGAAAGCAACTGGGTTATCCACTTTTTGAACAACTGGAGCCAGGAGATTGAGGTGACTTTAACCAAAGTACTCCCTCCTCAACCAGATGCCCACTGAATATTTGAAGGTGGGAGAGAGAACACAGGGCTAAGTTTTTTAATTGAAGATGTTTTTTCTTTCTCCCAGGAATTGTTTTATAGCAGCAGGAGTTTACGGCGTCACATTTCTTTTAGCAGTTCATCAGAAATGGGTGAACAGTCGGACAGGGGACACACAGAGACTGTAAGTATTACTAACTTCCAAATGTAGGCCATGGGTGGGATTTTGTTTGGGGTTAATCCTCAGGAGTGGAAAATTTTGTTTGTGGACTGTACACATAAAACTTGAACTTGCGTTGTTTTTTTATTTATGTGTAACAATGAAATAATTTTTCGTATAAGCTAAAACACTAAGCTTACTGTCACCACAAGGAGAGGGTGGGGAGGGGAGGAGTAGGAGGGGGCTGCATGAGAAAAAGTCTTATTAATTGGAAATGATCTGTTTGATCTTGATGTGTTGTATTTAATGAGGACTACCGTAACAAAGTAAAAAATTCAGTACTTGTTCACTCAATAGACTTGTTCTATAATTCTTTACTGTTTTTTTCTTCTCAATTTAACTTGCTGATTCTGGTTCTTTTCCGCATTTCTCTTTTGTGATAAAGTTTCTTTTGTACTTCTTTAGGACGCATACTTGAAAAGGACTATCCCAACCCTCAGGGATTTAGAATTAATCACAATAATAATCCTTAAGTTATTTCAGCGTAAAGATCTTATGCTTTTATGAACAACTGGTTAAGGCAAATGAAGGTTACTATTACGGTAGTTTTATGATCAAGAACAGAAAATTAAATAGTTACTTCCCAGGTAATAGACGATAATTTTACAGTGGTTTGTTCCACATTCAGCATGCTTTGATCACAAGTTTGGGCTAGTTGCAGTACTGGCATGAAGTCTGAATTTTCTGCATGTTCACTAGCATTGATAGCCATTTTGTTGCTGAAATGTTATACCAGGGTTGTCACTAAGATTTCGATTTGCCGGGTATTTGTTGTTAGTAGCCGAGGAAGTCGCAAGTAGTGGTGGAGACCCACCCCCCCCCTCCCCCCACCCAAGAAGTTTTTGAAGTGCAACTTCTACCGTTTTCCAAAAGGCATTCCCGCCCCAAAAAAGCAGGCTTCATCAAGAGTACAGCTATCATTAGCGGTTTTATGATGATCACGTCTTTATTAAAGAAACCTGCAACATTCTGAGACACTAAAATAATAAGTTTATTCTTTACGTAAAGGCTCACGGCTCGTTAGAGGGTTTTTTTAGTGGCCCCCAAATGGGAATATACATATACGCACCGGGTCTGAAAAAAATGACAGGTAGGCACTGGTCACGTTATTTGCGCAGTCTTATCTTCAAGCAGACAAAGCGCATGCTGGCCAGTAAAGTGTTAAATCACAAAGGTAGTTTACAAATGTTAAAAATGTGGAAAGGACAATCGATTATTATATGGTGCAAATGAATTAACATGCGCTGTAAAATCCTCATTTAGTTATACGTAAGAACGAAACAACTTACGGAAAACAACAGTAAAACTAATATTACAAATGAATTAACCCACGGAGAAGCGGAAAGACGACAAGCAGACGATGAATGTACGAAAAAGCATCATAAACACAAGGTTACTATGGTTTGTTGAAAAATAAACGTATGATAAGGCGAAAACAAGAGTAACGAACGAAAAACCGCGGGATAAAATATGGCAAAACTAAACTGCACAACTGGTAACATTAGTGGTCTCGATTTAGGAACGAAACATCACTTAACATACGAAGAAACTGACCTACGGAAAAGCTTTTAAAAGACAGTGCTAATACTTTATAAACGACGCTGAGATGTCAAAACGAGACTCAAGGAGAAGAATGCAAAAGAAATGCTAATGCTTAACTTCTCTTATATATAACTTCTTGGAAGTAGAACTGAGAGAATGTGATCATGACCTGCGGACAATGATCGAACATTCCCCGTTGACCGTGCGTTATTTTATGTACTCGATAACTAAAGCTAAAGGTAGACCTGGTCACTTAAACGTCAATTTATTAAACATAGCAATCGGTCATAGTCTTCATCTTCAAAGCCTTCATCATAATCCTCATTATCATCAACATCAGCATCAGGGAGATTTAGCTGTCGGATGAAGCCACAACTTCTTCTGTGATGTCAACAGAGATCTGCTCAGGTCTTTCATCGTTAACAAAGAGTGCAGATTCCTTAGCCACGTCTTCGACATGTTCAACACAAAGCCGACACAACGGTTGAAACTAGGGACTTTTAGCATCGACAAAGGTGACGGCAGCGAAAACGTCACTTTTAAAATGAATTGGTGTTTTTTCCAACTTTGTCGCGTTTATTTCAATTCGCTGAAAATAGCTAATGTAGGCCAATTTCCCTGGAGTTGATTTCTTTGGGACCGCAATCAAGTTTAGAAAGAGAAAGAAAGGTTTGTCGTCGCTTGTTTACGTCCTCCATAAAACGTGAGACTAGACATTTTCACGTCGTAGTCGTGCTGTAACAGCAAAGAAATGTACAAAAAAGCGTGATGCACGTGCAAACTAGTTGTTTTGGTCAATAAACCTATTGCTTTTTTGACGTTCTCGTTGCCGTTGTCGTTGCTAAAACTCCCTACTGACATTTCGCGAACGGAGAGTTTTCGCGCTTGTGTACTAGTACCAAATCTAAGTCAGATGTCTTTTTCCGACATTTCTTAGTTTTTGCACGCGAGTATTGCAAAATTACTTAAACCTGCTGCAGATGAAACTTGCATTTAGTTTGATGGATAGTCTTTGTGTGTTTGAAAGGTGTGCTCTTTTGGTTTAATTTAAAGACAAAAGTAGCCGGGGGCCATGCTCTGAGTAGCCGGGGGAAATCCCCGGCCCCCGGCCCTTAGTGACAACCCTGTTATACTGATAATGCATGCCAAGTAGTGAATTAATATTATTTGCATTTGAGATTTATCTGGCAAATGTTTGATTTGTGAGCTACAGTGTAGTGGATGACATATTTGTAAAGATACAGCTGTATAAGACTCAAGCTAGTTTTATTCAGAATTTCATTAGTAATATTATTTTTGTCTTCACTATTTTTTTGGAATGGATATTCTTTTATATTTGGAGAAAAATTTATAATTTATTATTTAAATAATGGTTATGAGGATTATTAAATTTTATGATAGCCTTTAGAAGGCAAGGAATTCTCATCTGTTGTATCTAAAGTTTACAGGAAGTGGTGAATTAAATACTGAAATTTAGTGAGTGTGATTTTTGTATTTATTTGGTATTGATGAACAATGAATTTCATTCAGATAACAATGGTGTCTTAAAGTGGCAGTCATGAATAACACAATTTCCATGTAACAGTTGCTGTAAAGTCATCAATGACCAGTGGGAAATTCTGTATCTTCTACTTCTCTCACTTGGCAGTAATATTCATTTTCGAAATTATGTTCATTTGTTCCAGTTGTAATGTCAACAATAAGAATAAAAAGAATCTAAAACTAAGTTTGAAATCTAGTGTTAGATACCTTCATAATACTACTATCGGTTAAGTTAAAGAAAAATGCATCTGTTTTCTTTATATACTTCATGAATTATTGATTTGATATTTTTCTTTATCTCAGCCAATAAGATTGCTGCTTAATATTTCTAATACCTGCTCTCTGTCAGTGGTTCTCACACAGTTAGCAGGTTTCCTTTTGAAAGATGTGTCAGGTACCTGACAGCTAATAATTTATATTATTTATCAAACCGCAAAAGAAGATATAAAACAAGTCACTGTTTTCTGTCTCCAAATTTCCATTTAAGCAATGATAATATTCTTAAAAGTATATGTTATCCATATCAAAATATTGAATTTTTGCCAATAAAATAAAATGTTATAATGCGTTATCCTCCAGTACTGTTATATGAAGTTCATGTTCTGTATCTTTCAGTGCCTCTTGTTCTTCTTGCCTTTTAGTTTTATTTTTGAAATTGTTCAAAAATTTATAAATGTTATCAGCTGTCTATGATTTACAGTAAAACTTTAGTTTCTTCTCTGTCAATTTATTATTTTTCTGGACTTGGATGAATTTAAATGAAACCTTGGATACCAATGTGGTTGTCCAAAATTTAATATTTGTGCATTAAGTAGGAAGTATGAACCAGACCTCCATATGGCTTTCAAAGGAATTTATACATTATGATACATTATTAATCTTTCAGCAGTGTGTTTGAAAATAAAATAGATAATTTTACATATATTGTAGTTCAAGCAAGGCCTTCAAGTGCTATAAATATGAAATCAAGAGTTAAAATATGAGCTTTCACCAATTGATTGGGAAAGCTTGGATTTTAACTTTTAATTTTAAATTTAAAACAGTTGGAGGCCCTCTTGAACTACCATACTTTTAATATAGACATTATTCTAGACTTGTAATGAAATGGTGTTCAGCTGTACAGTAATGTTAACTTTTTAAGTTGTATCTCTTTCGTTAAAGTATTTTGTTTAATGAGATTGTTTTGACATTGCAGGGTTGTGACATAAAGAATGTGTACATAAGACGTTACTGAGAAGAAACATGTTCATTGTTAGCTTGAAATAATAATAATAAAGTGTGTGTTATTAGATAGGTCAGATAGCATCCATTCATGTGAGATGCAGCTATCAAAGCAGTCTATGTAGTAGGCAGCCTTTGTAATGGCTAAACAGCCTGCATTTATTGGGGCTCAAAATTAACAAATGTCATTATTTTTATCACTGTATTCAATTATGATCACTGTGTTTTCACACTGTAAGATATTTAACTGGTTACTGCAATGTTCAGTACTATTATTACTTGTAACCAGAAAGTATGTTTAACTTGGTTGGCAATAGCTCATGTTTTTGGTTCAAAGATTATTTGTTCTGTCCAAGGACTAGTACTCAAATCATGAGCTTTTCAATCTTTATCAATTTTTATCAACCCAGTTGATAAAACCTAGTTTTTGTGTACCTACACTAGAAACCATGGTTCTTTAGCATTATTTACTTTTCTGCTGCGTGTGTATGTATGTCTGCTTAAATGTGGGCTTTTATTTTAATTTGGGTGTTTGCTTTTTTTTGTTTTGCAGTTATATTCAAGCATAGCTGTGGTTTATGTTCTTTTCAGTTATGCTTAAAATAGAACAGTGCCAAAGACAATTTATTTAGTGTTACTAAAGAAGAGTAGGTACAGACATACAGCAGCCACAGTGATTCATCTTTGTCATTTGAAAAACTGATTATCTGGTTCATTCACATGCCATAAGAATTTCATTCTTCTTAAAAAAGAAATAATACCACTACGTTTGGAACAACATAGCACAATTTTACTTTTGTTATACGGTGATTTTGTTACAATAGTTATGGTGAGTACTGGGACTCATCTTGTGAAAAATCATGAGTCCCTGTTCATAACCAATGAGTCCCAGTTAAAAGAAACAAGGAGTCCTGAATTGAAAATGCTTGGACCTTTATGTAACCAGACAGTTAACCTGGAGACAGACGTTAAACCCTTAATAAATATGCATCTTAAACAACAGCCACAGAAATCACTCGAACATAATATTCTACCAAAAAATCTTCAAAATGATTGATCGTTCTTTGTGTCCTACACAATGCATGCAGGACGCAGAGGTAACAAAATCACTGGTTATAAAGTTTTTGTTATGAACACTTTGTTGAAGAGAAAGTGAAGTTGTTGAGATAGAGAGACAGGATTATTGTACTATCTAAAGTAGCCAGCAAACTCTGAAACTTTGTTCAAGGTGTTGACACCGGAGTCATTCTCCATCTCCTCAATATTGTTTTCCATTTCCTCACTTGCATGTTTGTTAAGGCTATATTTCAATCTTTAATCGTGTATTTCATAGACTTAGTTTAAGATTAGTTCATAGTGCATAAAATTTGCCTAGTCATTAAAGATCTCTCCCACAGTCTTTCTAACAAGACACCAGCTCAAAGCTTGGGTTGGCATAACAAAGTGATTTGTATAAAACTGTCAACCCAACCTTGGCCTTGTTTCACTATTCACACTCACTGGTGTGGAGTTGGGGAAGGTCTATTACTGTGTGATTACCACCTTCTACTGTCAAATAAAACACATGTTGAGTTAAAATTATCACTTATGTGATGCGCGACTTTTTTGCTGAAAGTTGTGACACTAAGGACCTCACCCAATAAAGCGTACATATTTGGAAAGATCTGTTAACTGGGAGAGTTTTAGATTGTTATCTTTAAAAAAAGACAATAACTCAGGTACTCAAGGGTAACCATCAATTTGTAAATATTTTTACTGAAATAGCCTGCGACATGCCATTGTATCAACATGTGTTGGAAGCAGACATGAAAACTGACTGAATAAAATGAACAATAATGTAATAGTATTTTGTGATCTCTTATTTTTAATAGTCCTCTATAAACTTGAATTTTGAGGCACAGAATTACATTGTACCTTAAAAATAAATAAATTTCCTTTGTTCTTTTCTTTGCCAAGCTCCTACTTTTGACAAGCTTTTAACTTCATTTAGATTCTATCCATTCCTTTTCAAGGGAAGTTCTGAGATATTGATCAAACAGTTGCGTTAAAGATGAGTCCTCCACTTTTGTGGTCACCCTAAGAAGTTTTGAAGTTACATCAACAATAGCTTCTACCAGGACCACAGTTTGTCCTTGTACCTAATTGAAAGATGCAACAAAATTTTAGCTTAAGCTTAAGTTAATCCCTAACCTCCCCCCCCTCCTCCCCTGCCCTTTCACAATGATAAAAATCTTACTATCATAGACAAATTTAGTGTACCTCTTGTGCATAGAAGAAGTATTTTTGAATAGGCTGACCAGGGGGACTGCTGGCCATTAATAATATTTTACTGTGTAACAAGTGTTGCTGAAATTCATCGGGAGAGGAAGGAACCTTCATCAAGGCAGCTGCCCAACAAGAACTGTGAATATTCAGAAATAAAAGGGTCATGTTAGGAAATGTTGTAGTCAAATACAAGGACAATAACTGGAAATTGCTTAACTAGATTAATAAAGTTCAAAAACATGGTGATGTTGCCATACTTTCCTTCTTGTAGTTTTAAACTTCAACAATTGAAAAATTTATCAGGTAATGTTACCTCTCTGGAATGGATTTCCACCGATGTTCAAACATTGCAGGAGTTAAGGATGGATTTTCAGTCAACTCAAGTATACTTTTCTCTCCAAGATGTTCATCTTGTTTTCCATTATCAACATCCTCTCCCTTCAAACATTAAGGGCAGTAAAATTTGGTCCGTTATCAAAAAATATTAAAAACCTAGGGATACTATATAGCAATGAATTCTACTGTAGCTTTCGGTTAAATTGAATGGAATAATAGTTGTCTCAAGTACATCTCAAGGCCATTTACCAGCAGATTGCCAACAGCAACATTATGTTCCAAAGACTCGTTTTGTTCTTCTAATTCTTCCCTGTCATATGAAGGTGCTTCATCTAAACAAGTGGATAAGAACACAAAACAAAATAATAATTAGTAAACTTACAGAAGTAGATTGAGAAGAGAGTGAAAGGAAAAACTTGTTGTGACATTAGGGCACTGACAGGAATCCAAATTCTCTCTTTCATCCTTCCCCCAATGAGTACTATGTATGTACAAATGAACTTTTTTCTCATCACCTTTTATGTATGGCTGTCCTTTGATATATGGAACAGATTGGGTGATAAAAAGAACTGATGACTGTCCATAAACAACTGAGAGTGTGTTGAATTCATCCAACAGCTGTTCCTACGACAACATTCATTTTGTAATGATCATCAGTAAAATCATACTTTATGTGAGCACAAATGACAAACTTGCTCATATTACATATAAACAAACAAATAAATTTAACAAAATATACATGTTAAAAAAGACTGCTGTGGGAAAGATGTTTGTACAAGAGTCATTCGTTTACAGCCTAATGTACAGAGTGCAATATTTCATTGAAGCAAGGGCATGTCTGAATAAACTATCTAAGTTTGTTTGGAAAAAGCAAAAATATGGTATGTTAGAAAGATAAATTCACAATAATATTAAACCCCAAATCAGTCAGCCCCCTGCAGGGCATAGTCTGTAGTCCCTCAATGTCTCCCTTCTATTTATTGTGGTGGCAATTTTTGTGCCTACTGACAAACAGCTTCACTATCTTGCTCTATCCCTGACAACATTTAAGGGACTATAAACTGTTAAATACAATCATCAAATGTTGGGTTTCAACCTTTTTCATAATGAGGAACAAAACAACAATGTCATTATACCTTTGAATTAGATGCACTGGTACTTAAATTCCAGGGATTAGTGGCTGGTTTGTTAATTGAACCACAGACAACTCTCTCAGCCTGTACAGTGTATACATATATGCAAAGACATAATTATAACAGCACCTGAGTTAATTATTAAACACAATAACTGGATGGACGTTTTACAATATTGGGAACTGAAATGGCAAAGTGCAAATATAAGTATTACACAAGTAACCTTGCAGAGTGTGTTGTTACCTCTTTCGTGTTAGTCTTGAGCAGTCTATAATACAATAGGGCCCTGTCATGTACATCCATATGCACTTCTTCATCTAAAAAATGAAACATTTTATTTCTAAATAACTACTGACAGTATGCTGGCACACTGCACAGATTAGGCAGACTGGTCACCGATAAACGGGTTTCTTGCAAACAGTCTGGTAACTTTGGTTATCTACACTAAACTAAAACTAAACTAAACTTGTCTTATTCTTATGTGTATGTTGTTTGTTAATGCTGTTTGGTGTTTGCAATGCCTGTAAACTTAGCTAGGCTATTAAGAAGCTCACCATGCCTATTTCAGATGTAATTCTTACCTACACAGTACTTGAGGAGTCGGCCCAACATGTCTTGGCACTCTGGTGGTTTCTTAAAAAACAGCTTCATGGTTGCTGTGAGAAGCTGTAATTTTACCTCTGCTGAACTCTCTAATGCAATTCTGTCCACAAGGGGCTCCAACATATAAGGACTGTCAGGAATTGACTAAATAATAACAAAAATAAAGCAGCTCAGTAACATATTTTATTTCACCTGCAGTCAGTCTGACAAGGACTTTGTATGCTTACCCAGCTATACATAGCTATTTATTTTTGGATTGCCTGGTTACTAAATTTTTTGTTTACAAATGCACCAAAAGCTAGTCTAGGATGCATGTCAATGTTGAGACCTCTTTCATGGGTTCTTAAAAGAATTACCCCTACCAATTTTGTTGGGTACATCGACATAAGCTCTTGCTGTAAAGCACTATTCAATTCTCTTATCCAGATAGATCACAGAAATAATTTTAAAAGTGAACTGAAGAAATAATCTCAATACAATCCCTGTCTATATGCAACACATAAAGTTATACAGTGAATGATAAAACAAGTTTCTTTATTTGTTAATAATTTGTCCTCTTTAACATTCATAATAACAAAGTTTGATTGAGTCTGTACATATCTCTCACCTGTCCATGCTCTCCAATTATCCAGATAATTGCTGCCAATCCCTTTGGGTCTTGAACTATTTCAAGGCACTGTCCCACTTGAGGCAGAACAGCAATAGCTGACTTCTCATATTTCAGCAAAAGGTCTATGATAAACACAAACATTACCATATTAATAACATGCAAAAAGCAAATGTAAAAGTAGTACTGACGGCAGGAAAAAAAGTGGTCACGAAAAGAGAGGTCAACTAAAAATGGATAAGATCAACTCCTTTAAGTAGCTAAAATATTGACGAAAGGTCAGGGATAGAGTCTAAAACTGGCTTAAGTCTGATCCAGGTATTGTCAAAGGCATTATTGCAAAAAAGGATAAGATTTCTTTCATACCACTATTATTATGACAGTAACTAGTTTTCAGACCAAAATGGTGCAAATACCATACCTGTATGTCAGCTTATATAAGGGAGTACCCCCCGGGGGGATGATTGAGCGATCAAGTCATGGTGACAAGACTGATCAGGATGATCAATGTAATAATGATGGCGATGATGATGATGGGATAATGATGGTTATGATAATGATGAGGGGAGTTGGTGATGGCAAGAACATGACGATTATGGTTATGAATTATAGCAAAATAGGGATAATACAGATGATGAGGAAAATGACAAAAATGAGGATTATGGTGGCGATGGTGATGATAATGATGATGATGAAGAAGAGACAGATGAGGATAATGATAATAATGTTGCAAATGATAATAATAATGAGAAGGATATGATACTGATATTCTTAACAATGATCATGATCACTAAGATGATAAATGATGATAATGATAAAGATGGGGAGGATAACTTTGGTGAGAATTAATCATGGTGCATGATTCCTTCGCAATAACAATAAAACGGTCAAAACTGATAGAATTCCAATTGGACAAATCACAATCATTCCCATTCAAATTTCTAACTTGACCACTTACCTCTTATAATGACAAGAGTCTGTGAAGTAATGTATTCAACCTCCCAGGAGAGAAAGGAGAGAAGAACATCAATACAGTATTCTGATGCCTGAGGAAGGCACATAGCAATGTTACCAATGGCCTTGATTGACTCCTTAGACATACTAACATCCACATCGTGAACATTGGCACTGTAAAATTCAAGAAAAACATGAAAAAATCATCATCATTAAACAGTTGGTTGAAAACAAAAATATGAACCCCTTAAGAATTCTCACATCCTAACTCAGTTAATAAAATATTTATTTTGTATACCTACCTCAACTCAGTAACAACTTCCTCAACATTAGAAACTGATGCAATGGTTGTCAGGATTTCAAGCTTTTTTGTTTTAATATACTGAGGATCAGCATGCCTAAAAAAGAAAGAACAAAAAAACACAGTATAAAGAGCAAAGAAACACAGTATAAGGTGAAACACAATGGAGGAAGTAACAATATTTAGTACAGTGTATATCACCCAGCCAAGCCTTTGATTCCCTTAAGCCCCCTCCGTACCTGGAGAAAAAGGAACGGTACTCCTGCTCAAACAACTTAGGAACTTTACTCAACAGTACATCTATGTGGCACAAACACACATAAACCAACTCTGAGTTACTTGAAGAGAGAATTGTCATCAGGGGACCTGAAAAGGTACAAGACACATTCAAAACTGTCATCTCTTCATGCTATACACTTAACTACCCTTGTATTACAATCTCTTCTCTTTCTTTGTTGTCTCTTACGAAAATTCAAGAATTCAACAAACATCTTTCATTAAGACACTCTTAACTCTTTATGTCTGTTTGATATGATAGGATCATCAGTAATATATAATGTTACGGAATCAATTTTTTAAATCAAAACAGATTAAAAAACGAAGTATCTGTTTAAAAAACTTAGCATGGAGCAGAGTTTTTCAATGTCTCTATCTTCTGGTAATATTTTTACTTCAATACCATTTCCCATGGCAGCTATGCTAAAAGTCTAGTCATGCCATTACAGTATCTATTTCGTATAAGTGTTTTTCTGTATTAAATGTTTTTAAAAAAAAAAAAAAAAAAAAAAAAAAAAAATGGTGTGGACAACAAGACTTGAAGTAAAAGGCCAACCCATCCTTAAACCCACACAAACCTTTGATTCTTTTATAAACATCTTCAGCTAGGTTGTCAATGTCTTTTGTGAAGTTGATGAAGACCTGTATACAAGCCATCACAACAGCACTGTTGGGGTGCTTTAGTCGATCATCAAGCAAATTCTATCAATGATTATGCAAAACAAATCACTAAAAATGTTTAAAAAATAATACTACTCGACAAAAACTTGAAATAATTATGATACAAAATAATCTCTGTCACGTTAATATCTGCAAATATATGCATACCTAAAGGGTTAAGCCAAAGATTTTCCTTCCTTACAAGCATGTTTCTTGGTTAATGATACATGACATGTTGTGAATGGTCTTGAAGACAAATGTACAAAAACATAGCGCGCTTTCGACTCAACAAAAATTCTCGGTTTGAAATTTCAGAAATTCCATGTGCCCATTGGAACTGTAAATTCCAGTTGCACAGACCCGACCTGACCAAGCTCACCCAAGCCATCGCGTGTTTGGTTATTGTTCTTGTAAGCAGGATACTAAAGAGCAGTACTAGGGACAATACTTTTGTCAAATAGACAAGACCAGTCAAAGTGGACCACCTGTGAGGGTGGTCCCAAATATTCTGGTTAGACCGAACCAAAATGGTCTGCTCCATTTGATTTCTAATAGAAATTTCTGGAATTTTGGGCTGAATGGAAAGTGGCCATAGAGTGCAAATGGATGAGTTGTAACCCAGGCAACTCTTTCAAACTTAAACAGAAATTGACCTACAGTGTAGCACTTCAAGTTCACCATTATTATGTACTTTTATATATTCTTTTTTGGGGTGAACTTATAATTCAGCTTTATTCCATAATGACTCAGAACCTGAAAAAGAGTGTGTTGCACCTGGTTTGCCTTATTTGGAAATTCTCAAGGGGTGGTTGAAGGACAGCATTTTTATCAGGCAACACAAAATGGCAAACGAACTCCTATTGTCTTTGCTCGTCAATCAACAACGTACATTTTAAAGAGTTCTGGATTCTGATTTTACAATACAATAACTCACTGAGGGCACCATGGAAAAGGTGTGCAAAATTTGAACCAAAATCGAAAAGTGGAAGCAAACAATTGTGAATTGAACTGAACAGTCATAATCGCGACTAATTGAGAATTCGATTAATCGTTACACCACTACTCATGACAGCTAATAATCTGAGCATGTTGGTAAAAGCTGGATTGGACTGGATCGCACTAACCCTATCCTTAACCATTTTATCATTATAATAATTAATACTGAGTTAACACAGCAACTTTATTTAGTAATCATTCACCAGGACGTCAAATAATTCCTCTGTATCCTTTGGCTTATAGCGCAACAATAGCTCCATTATCATACTTTGTCCCCAGCCACTAAAGGCTTTAAACCTGTTGGAAAATATAAATTATATATAGTGGCAAATCAAATTACTTCTTTCAATCAAAATACTCATGAAGCAAATTCTACTTTAGACTAAGAGTTAAATTATATTTAAAACAAATTAAAATTCTAACTTGAACTTTAAAAGGACAGTTACGGTAATTTCACAAGTGGGAAATGCCTACCTTTTCAGCAAATGATGAGCTGCTATTTTTTGCAGTTGCACACCACCTTCGGCTGCTAGGATTTCATCCAGTGCTAAAAGAGAGTTACATACCACCTACAGAAAACAAAAGAACACAAGCAAAACTTTTAAAAATACTGTTGAGCCTTTACCAAGAGATACAGCAATGATAACTCAAAATGTTAACCTAAGCAATGCTTGGGAATGTCAAATACAAAAACACAGCAAAATTTTAATCCTGGATTAACACTAATGAGCCCGGGCCCTGATGATCAGTGTTTCTTTCAGGCATCATCCTACAAAATAAACAGAAGTTACACAAACCTGGGGATCTGGGTCCTGAATCAATCTAACAAGTTTCTCAACTATTCCATTATCTGTTAATTGAAAAAAAGCATCTAAATTATCTCATTTACTTCCTTCAGAGATAACTTACAAGGAAGTCAATCTGAGGCTTTGGATGTTAGCAGATATTCTTTTACTCCTTTTCAAGAAATTTAAAGAGAATACTGCATTCTTGATCATTGTTTACTATGAGAGTTATTTTGTTCCAAAAATCAGCCTCCGCATATATATGCAAAACTGAATTTGCCATAATTTGTTCTAAGTCACAACTTGAAAACACATTTTGACATTTTCACTTGTACTACCTTCAACAAAATCAGGAATTAGATGGAACAATTTAATGCATCCCAAGACAGCAGCTCGGCGAACATAAGAACTATTGTCACTCAGGCCAGTAAGGAGTGGTTCTACAATATATTCTACCAGATCAGGAAGCCTGTATCAAGAAAAACAAAGGAAAAACAGCTTAAATTAACAAGTATGAAAGACAGCTCCAAGTAATGTGTGTGTTCAACTCTATGCCACCTCTATTAAGTCTCCATGCTTTTAATTTTGCTTGCATCTAGTTTGTCAAAGCAATATTATTATTGACCTGCACTTTGTTGTGTCTAGTAAACTTCAGCTTCTCAAGCTTACACTTCAACAGTACGTGAAATCAAGGTCCGTGTAAGTGGGGTAGTTGCTACTTGAAGGGTAACCATGGTAACCATTCATCCTTTGTGTGGGATATGTTTCAAGAGCACAAATTTTGTTTTACCATGGAAGTAAGCAAGGATTGCAAAAGCCATTTGTCACAGTCTGCAGCACGTACTTCACGATTCTTAAAACAGAAAGCGGTCTGTTTGATAAATTTGTTAGTCAAGTCAGTCAATCAGTCAAGCTCATTATATTTCTGCACTCAACTCTCGAGACACAAGAATTGATTCTCGAGACTCGATTCTCAAAAGTTTTTTTGATTAAGTAATACATAGATGAGTGATTTTAGAGTGTTTCCATGGATTTAATCTATCTGTTATTTCTTTCGTATTTGGTTCTAATAAAAAGTGTTTTTTGACTTACATGGACACCCTGTTAATAAAGCGGACACTTTCTATGGCCCCTTCCTTCAGTGTCGGTCTTTATTAACAGGGTTTGACTGTACCAGCAAACCTCACCTTAAAGAGCACATACTTCTAAGGGCAAGACCTCTGACCATGGCACTCCTGTCTTGACAGTCTTTCCTCATGGTGTTCACTGTTAAAAGGGCCAGGTCAGGATTGGATGTAGCATAACTACAGATGTACAAGTACACAAGCTTCTTCTGAACAAGGTCATGAGTAGCTCCGGCCTGCATGTTAAGAGTCAAAATACACATGCAAATTATTGTACTTTGATGAAACCAAGATACTCTGAATATCTGGAGACTTGATCATTTTTAACAGCTTATCTCTGCAAACCCTACTTAAAAAAAACAACTAAAGGGAAAAGGGACCGGGCTACTGTAACTTCCATTACCAACCTATAATGGATTATGTGAAACATGCATCAACATCTCCTATGAAAAATGTCTTTTGCAGGTTCCATACTATAGTCCAGAATTTAGCTCCAAATATGTCATTTAAAAAAAGGGGGATTTTAAAGTTCTTCGTTAAGTTTCTCGAAGCAGTTTTTGGGCCTTTCATCAAGGTAAAGGTTATTTTGACAATTCCGTTGTGGAGGCAGACTCTGATATTTAGATTTTTAACAGTCCACCATGACAAAGTGATTTGAGGACTGAGTTTCTTTCTGTGTGTACATGTGCAGGGTGGGGAGGAGGAGATCTGCCAAAGAGAAAGTCTCCAGATTTCAAATCTCCCCAGATCTAGATTTCCAGGAAAATATAAATACCAGTACTTACTCCTTCTCTCTCTGAGGCTGAAGAGGACTCATACCCTTTAACCGATAAAGCTAAAGAGGGTATCCAGGGCTTAAATGCAGAATACCCAGCCACTTTGAACAAAGCCATACTACTAAACAAGGGGTTACGTGGCTACGTTAGCAATGTAGCTGAGTAGCCACGATTTTATAGTGCGATTCAGAGTCACGTTTATGGCAAACAGTAAACATAAATTTGTACCATGTGATCAAGGTTCCCCTTTACTTGTATTTTACTTTCTATTAATTCTCCAAAAAAATAGTAGTTTGTTGTTAGTTCTGAATTGTTTTGAACTCTTTTTATCTGCTTATTTCATATTTTGAGAAATTCTCCACTTGAATCTGCCGTTTGCCCTTTGCTGAAGCGTGATTCTAAGTTTCTCCAACATACCTCATTCTTTTAGCCACTGGTCCGCATACATAGCCACGTAGCTGCATAGCAAAGTAGAGCACTAGAAATGTACATATAAGCAAAAATTTTGAGTCAAAAATCGAGCACTAGAAATGTAGTGGCTTGTAGGGGTCAAAATTGAACTGAAATCCTTCAGTAAATAAAGATTAAACATATTGAAACCTGTCGCTCATCATTGTTTCAGCTGGTGGCTCCTAAAGGCTTTGTTTGCATCTGCAGGTTCTATACCTGAATCTTGCTCGCCAGTAGTTCTTTTAAGCGTTTCATCCGCCCAGCAGTTAAACTCTAACTGCCCTCCTTTCCTCCGCATAGCCACAGTGTTTTGCGATTTTTCCCCCAAGGGATATAAAATGGCCTTGATTTCACGTGTTTGTCCATTGGGTTGTTTAACTTCTTAGCAACAAGCTTTTCCCGATCGATGGTTTTTTCGCTTTATTTTCCCCCATCGTTCCATTTTCTTTCAGAGGAAGGAGAGAACTGTTGTCTTTCAAATGACCTTTTAAAAGGTATTTTCAGAGTTGATTAACTTATTTAAAATGTCACAAATACACAACCCTCAAGTTTATTTGTGAACATTTTGATGCAACAAACGATCACCTTTTTTTTACAAAAGCGCATTTTTTTTTTTTTTTTTCAAAATCATGTAAAGCCACTTATGCAGTCTTATACACGAAGTTTTTAGGTAGTCACGTAGCACTGTTATTTTAATAGCCCTATAGCCACTGTTATTTAAGGGATATAACCTTGATGTGGCCGGGTATTCTACAGTTACCCCATACTTAGAGGAAGGAGAGTACTACAAATGACTAGCCACATAGCCCTGTAGTAGCTGCAAGGACGCATAGCTCAGTAGCCACTATGCAGCCCTGTAGCCACTGTTATTTAAGGGGTATAGCCTAGATGTGGCCAGGTATTCTGCAGTTACCCCATATCCAGAGGAAGGAGAGTAGCTTAAGGAAAGTCAATTTTACAATAATCTCATGATCATACCTTTATCATATCCATAAACAAAGATGAGAGATCCATGCCTAAAGTCATGCATTCTATCACTTTTTGAATAACTTTCTTGTACTGAACAGCATCGCGCTGCACTTCTGGAGACTGCAAACTCTTCTTCAGTTCACTTACTTCTCCCTTCTTGTTTGACTCGCTGAAATATGTTGCTGAACTCGACGACATTTTGGGTGCAAAAGAACTACATTGTATAATTAATCTTTATTGGAACTTGAATTGCTGTTCTCTTAAGCTGCTGAAGTTTACCATATAAACGATATTTCAGATGAAGGAAGTGATGATGAGAAGGTGCTATAATTTGTTTTCCACTGGTGCTTCGCGACCAAGCGTATTCCTTTCCATTAAAACGTTTTTGTACTTTCACTTTACGTAGATAAAGAGAGAGAATATCGTGAGACACTACAATGTGCATTACATGAATACGAAATGTTAGGAGAATCATGTCCGTTTTGTTTTGTGTACGCCTACATGAGGTACACTTCAGAACTCTCGACAACAGTAACTGTTCTCCTTCACTGCAATTCTCCCTCAAATAACTTCCTCATAACAGATATTTGATCTTCTCAAAGCTTAGGTGGATCACTGCTAAACATGCATATTCCAAGAAGAGTCTTTTAAAAACTTAACATGGCTTCCGCGAAGGAGGGGCGAAGTACAACTTATGTCAGTTTCGTCTGTCAAAGATGTTATCAGCCTCTGAAGCTGGATCATTCTCTTTTATCTTTGAATGGAGAAACGATTGCAGAGTTAACAGGTTAGAATGTAACTTTTTGAAAATTTCATTTCCAGATTCTGGTTTATAATGGTGTATTGCTGGTTTGCAGTTGACTGTCATTTCGTTTCAAATTATTGAAACATTTACGGTCAAATCTGTATTTTGGACCCGGGCGGGGAGGGGTGGGGGGTACTTTAGGAAATTCTGTGTGGGGATGTGCCGCTGGGACCCTGGAACTCTTGACCTTTACCAGAGCTAGTTCAGCGGAATTTTGCTACCCTATACTAGAGTAAACTCCCCAAATCCCCCCTATCCTAGAGTAGCAGTTTTCCAGAAACTACTGAGGTCACTAGCACAGTCTAGTCAAAACAAAACCTTATACCACAATCCCTAGTCTAGATAAAATCTTCAACCAATTGATCAGTTTCCTGAAAAATGATACTCTATTCTAGATCCAAACAATCCCATTTATATACCCTATCCTAGAGTAAACTGCTTCAAAACCATACCCTTCACAACGGCACATACCTTTTAAAGCCCATATATGGCAGTACCCCCCCGGATTTTGGAGTAAGTTGTACCTGTTGTAATGTTTTTCCTGTATTTATCCTATAAAATACAAAAGATCGATGCGCAGAGTTAATAACAAAAATGGCCCCATGATCAGAGGGTGAGTTGCCTGTGGTCGAGAACAAAGACATTCCCCAGGGAATAGGTTAACCTCTTTTCCATTCCAAGTATTCTACCATATCATATCATTGTTGACCTTCATTATGGCTGTGCTGTAAAATGGTTTCAAACCAAGAACGGCAACAAACTCTCCTTTAATTTAGAACCTGTTTTAGGACAATACTGCAAATCCTGCAATCTGAATGGATGGGTATGTTCCAGTAGCCTGCGTCGCAGACGTAATTTAACCTTGGCTAGTAATGTCTGTGAAGTAGTGCCAAGATCCTTTTTCTGGGCCCCCAGTGGACTAAACAAATTGGCAGCAAGGATCTTGGCACTGTTTCGCAGACCGACTTAACCAGAGTTTAGTTTCATCTGTGGCGTGGGCTAAGGTTCTGGCAGACTGTGGGCAGGATTTTTATCTTTCCTGCCAGGATGAATCTGAGCAGGAATGATTTAGTATTAGATTGTAAGTTGTTGCACAATGGCAGTGGCCTTAACCTCATCGCAGATAACTTCACAAGTCTTTTGTGTTTTGTTAGCACCCTTTCCAGAGTTAAAAGCTCAAACGGATGATGGGAATGAATCAAGAGGAAAACTTAACACATCTTCAAATCAGGTATTTAAAGATTAAAAAATGGTTTGCCTGTCATTGCCAATAATATTGCTCACAGTGCATGTCTGTTGTATTCTGTTATCAGTCCCCTGTTACTGCAGAAGATGAAAATGTGGAGCATACATGCAGAATAATTCCTCCCGCAAGGTAATTAATACAGTGTAGGTTATTAAAATTATGAGAGTAAGTTTCTCCATTTTTCTTTGCGAGTATTCTGTTAATTATTAAAAATAGTACACAATTTCTATGATTTATGAATAGACAATTTTGCTAAGGCCTTATTTAGGGTGCCCCTGGGGGGGGGGGGGGTCTCTGGGGCACGTTTTTTTGACATAAGCCCATTTAAAACCATAAAGTAGGGCTGGCCTAAGAGGGTAGGGCTCTGTTTGTTTGACTATGTCTGGCCTCGCAGTTTGCTAAAGGCACAAAATTTCATCACAGAATGGTTTCAAACTCACAACTTTTTTCTCCAAGCTACAAAACTGGTGAATATGTTCATAGATATCAACTCATAAGAACGGCAGCAAAGCAAACTGAAAGATAAGAAACAGTACAGGATTTTATGAAGGAAGATCAGAGCGAGGAAACTTAAACTTTGCATATAGATGGTCGGTGACTTTAACACTGAGAGGAAGGGTGCCACTGACTCTTAGAGATACCTTCTTCCCATCTAAACAGGCCATAAGAATATTTTGTGATTAATTTCCCTGCAATCTTTTTTTTCAGACTACAGTCTCTTGAGGGTGGGTTTACTGTGATCGGGGACTCCCAGCCCAACAACACAGAAAACCTCAGTCACAGACTTAAGGTATGATAACCATTGAAAGTAAGTTACCATAGAATCTAGATCTCTCTTGCAAGCCACAAATATTGTATCACACACTTTATTAAAATCCAGCTAGTGGTCTATTATCAATGCTGCATTCTGTTTGGTTGAGCTACTACTAGGCTATATGTTATAGGCTATATGTTATAAGTCTAGCTTTAACTAGCTAATTTTTTTTTACTCTCGATATTTTTTACCAACTGGTTGGATTTTACTAGAACAATTATTCCTCTTGCCCTCATGGCCTCTGAGTCAATAGCCCATTCGGCCTCATGGGTTATTGACTAAGAGCCCATTCGGGCTTGAGGAATAATTGTTAAATATCCACCTTTTATTCTCTATACTGTACAATTATTTATCATAATCCGTTTATAGAGTAGTGACACAATGGTATGATGCATTTTCAAAATCCATATCTCCATCCATATATACCTCAATCTATTTGAACACAGAGCCCACTTAACCCATTCGCTCCTGGAGATTTTGCCGAAAAACGCGTTTTGAAGCTAGTCGAGTGGTTTTCTGGTCACTGTCGTGCTATAAAGAGCTAAAACTTACCACAAACTGGTTTACAAGTCGAACACTTCGTGGCCTTCTGATCCAGATGCAAAATATCAGCTTGCGAAGTTCGGGCATGCGCAGAAAGCAAAATTTCGACATAGTTTTTGGGTTTAAAAGTGAGACAGCAGTCTTGACTTTTACTTTTCGCTTTCTCTCCTCCCTTCTTTTTTCGCTTTTCTTGCCTCATTTTTTTTTCTCTTGCTGGGCATTTAGTAGGCTTCATTTTGGTGGGAAGAGGTTTTAGGAAAGCTTTTAGCATCTTAGGATTAGGTGAAAGGAAAGGTAGGTGGGTAATGGAACAAGATTTTCATGGAGATTTTCAGGTCAATGTCAGGTGGTTTTTTGCTTGTTTCTCCGGTGTCCTTGACTAAATTGTGCTCATTCTTGTATGGTTTGAAAGATCTCTTCACTCTGCACAAGTTAGCGAAGAAAGTTGTCCTTGACCGTTAAAACTGATGACGTCACAATGGGTAGAAAGGACCTGGATCCGCACGGGCGGTTACGGGCGGTTCAGGGGCGAATGGGTTAATGAAAAAATTATGAGACATTTATCCAGGTAAAAAATCTTTGCACAATGGCAATGACTACAAAATTATTACACAGGAAGCCCATGATAGAGAAATATGCAGGGATTCCAGAGTAGTAGCCCTGTCTATCAAAACCTGTAAATCCTTTATAGTTTTCTTTCCCCAGCAGGAGCACCACTTTAGGTGTTGTTTAAATGTATTTTGACACCTATAGTGGTTCTGGAAGTAAGTGATCACAAGACCGCACTGCATGTGTTCAGACTAGCCTCCTGTACATGAACCTTGATAACATCCTTTATCACTCATTTTTTCTACTATTAAGGTCACCACCCTCCTGTTTGACATTATGTCCGGACAGTCAGAGGTCGATCACCCACTATGCGAAGAATGTACAGACACCTTACTAGATCAACTGGATGAGCAGCTTAAGATTACAGAAGATGAATTAAAAGACTACAAAGTGTTCTTTAACAAGCTCAATGACAAACCAGCCCTTGATACTGAGGGTTTGTCTAAGGAACTTACTGATCTTAGAAAGGAGGAAGAGGAACTGATAAGAAAATTGGAAGAAGTTGAAAAGGAAAGAGAGAATGTGGCTAAAAAGATGGAAATGGAAAAGGAGAGGTCCAAACAGTTAGAAGAAGAAGAAAGGAAATACTGGTTGGAATACAGTGAATATCAAAAGGAGTTGCTAGAGTGTGAGGATGACCAGCAAAGGTTAATCAATACTAAGCTAATATTCACTATACAATCTTCCTAGTACTACCTGATCTTTGTAGGCACAAAGTGGTAAAAATCAATGTTGAAACTGACCCCCTTTTCACCTGTCTACACTAAAATCAACCTTGATCTCCTTTTTTTGCGACCATCTGCAATCATTTTAAAATCTATTTTGTAGTAGGTAGTCTTTAATGTGCTATGAAATTTATGTTATTTATCCTCAGTGTTGATAATCAAATGAGATATGCTCAAGCCCAGTTGGATAAACTTAAAAAGACAAACGTGTTTAATAGTACTTTTCATATATGGTAAGTAGATAGTTTAATTATTCTTTGGGCTTTCATGTTTCAGAATCATGATTGTTATTCTCATTCCCTATGCTTTCAAGCCTCACCAGAAATATTTTTTACTACTCATGATTAATGAGGAAAATTTAAAATGTGGGGAACGTAACAAATAAAACCATTATTTTTAAATAAGACATAGAACATTCTTTGAGCAGGTGTTTTTCTGGACGTAGGAAATAAAGTAACGTAATTAAAAGCTTCCACAAGTGAAAAAAATTCCAGAAATACAGAGGAAATGGGCAGTTATGGTTTCGTGGTAGAATTATGACTAATGGCGTGAGAGTTTCAATGTTTTCTACTTTAGGCATAAAGGTCATTTTGGAACCATTAACAACTTCAGACTTGGTCGTCTTCCTAGTGTGCCAGTGAGTTTCATTATTACATTTGGAACTTCAGTACCTTGGGTTTAATTCAAATTGTTGTTCATCTTAATTAAGGTTTCTTGGTTGCTTTTGTTAGGTTGAATGGAGTGAAATCAATGCAGCCTGGGGCCAAACAGTTCTCTTACTTCATTCTCTTGCTCGAAAAATGAACTTAACATTTGAGAGGTAAAGTAGATAAGGCAAAAACTAATGTTGGCATCATATTTATTTTCAGTTTACTTGCAAATAAGGAAACACTCCAATACACCCTCTAGAATATATCCAAAAACCTTTTAATAAAGGAATATAAGTGGTAGTTTTAAGTTATTGAAAAGAATGTCAGGTTAACTTGGTGACTTGTATAGCAGTTCAGGGGAAAAATTAAGTACCCTGGTACACTGTGTGAAGGGATACATGCAAATATGGTACACATGTAACCCTTTGTTAAAAGAGTGAGCACATTCCTAAACAGTACAATGTTTCAGATATCGCTTGGTTCCATATGGAAATCACTCTTACTTGGAATCACTTACAGACAAGTCAAAGGACCTTCCTCTGTGAGTTGCTTTATTTTATTTTACAATGCAAGACTATTATCTAACTCGGAAACCTAATGGTTTATTTAGATGCGAGGCATTTGCTTACCTGTAATGTATTTTTAGTTTTCCTTTTATTACACTGCATGTAACTGACCATTAGACTAAAACTACCTTCTGTAACTTTATTATTCTAAAGCGAAATGTAAATAAAGCTTCTTGTTGTTGTTGTGTGGTTAACATTAAATTTTTTGTAATTACTGCCGTGTTGCTAGTATACATAAAGTTGTTACATTGTGCCTTATTTTATAACAAAGGACCATGGGTTACTCAGAACTATTGTTTTATTTATTGAATTATTTATGCCCCTTTCTTTTATATGTCAGATATGGATCTGGTGGATTCAGGTTCTTTTGGGACACTAAGTGAGTTTGACGTTTCAATAGATACCAGTACATTTAGAAGAATTGATCAGGAAAGCCATTATTGTACAACACTGTAGATTTGATGTTGTGTGGGTGTATGGTGTGTGTTCCATTCGGTGGGAGGGGGATGGTAAGGGTTCTCCTTTTCCCTTTCCTTCCCATGCTTGTTTCTGGGTTTTATTTCTTTATTTCCTTCTCGGAGATACTAGCCTATTTTTGGCTACTCTGCAATTTGAGATAAAATAAAGTTTTATGTATGTATGGGTCTTTTACATTCGTTTTTGTATATTTTTCAACCTTTCCCCCCCTTGGCATATTTCCCACTGGGTTAATGCAACCATGACAACAATGGCTTAAATGGGCTAATTAACACCCAAAATAAAAGAGGAAAAATCGTGAATTTCGACCAAATAAATGTAATCTATACTTTTCCCTTTCCTTCCCAATTTCTTTATTTCCTTCTCGGAAAAGCAATTTGAGAAAATGGGTCTTTTACATTCGTTTTTGTATATTTTTCAACCTTTCCCCCCCCCCTTGGCATATTTCCCACTGGGTTAATGCAACCATGACAACAATGGCTTAAATGGGCTAATTAACACCCAAAATAAAAGAGGAAAAATCGTGAATTTCGACCAAATAAATGTAATCTATACTGAGAACATTAAATTCTAGTTTCTGGTGACTAAAACTAAAGTAAAGTTTCAAAAGTTGGGAATTCATGGAAAAACTGAAATAAAATGCAGACTCATGCAATCAGCCGAGACAAAACAAGTAATTCATTATAAACTGACTCACCTTTGCTTACCATTTTATCGTTTGCTGTGTTTCTTTAAATGTTGAACGACTTTTTCAGCTTATGTGAATCACGCGCGGAAACAGCAACTAATGTTACCAAATGTTGACTTTTTTTCCTAACTTTTGCTCCTCTTGAGTTTAAATTTGCATTTTACAAGTATTTTCCTTAAAACATAAAGTCTCTTTGGCTCAAAATAAAGTTTTAAATACGGAATAACTACGCTCCTTTACGTTGTTCACAAACGTGAAGACTTTCGAAGACTGCCTCCGTTGATTTGTTAGCTGTAACCGCGGACTGCACGCTTTAAAAATGGCGGGAAGAACAAGGATTGCGTGCTGTACTTTGTAAGCTGTTTTGTGATTGGTTGCTTCGTTAAAAGTGCAACATCTTTTTGCCAGAAACATGGTTCATACGGAAAAAATACAAAACTAATTCCAAACAAAAGAATTCTGTAAGAATAGTCTTAAAAGTCTGTAAAAATGTACTGTTCTTCCAAACAGGAAAGAATCCTTGAAAATGTCCGTAAACAATCGATTTGTTAATGCGTTATTTATTTATTTGTTTTGTTTTTCCATTAGGTTTGACCAGGCAATGGTTGGCTTTTTGGATTGTTTACAACAGGTATTAGAAAAATATAAAGTAACAAAACAAGATCATTTGATTGAGGCCTTTGCAGCAAGAAACGTTTTGAGGGAATTTGTAAGGAAGCTGTACGCGTAGTAGACTAATCTTGTAGGCAGGTTTGTATTCCCTATAGTTGGCAACAAACTCAGTAACACATATGGCTTTTTCCCCTCTAAGTTCTCACTACAATAGTACATTATTCTCTTTAGAGACTCCAAAATTAAGTGTAACCCTGTAGCGTACAGTACACAGTGCTACTGTAGAATACTGCTATTAATGTGGCTTTTATTTGGACCAATTTTAATAAGGTCATTTTACATTCCGTGCGCATCTTGCCGTTTTTAATCTGTTGTTGTAGCTCAGCTTCATTGTATGAAACATCAGTTGAGACGTTTAAATAATGTTCGTCTTTAGTTTAAAGAAGCCGTAGAGAAAGTGGATAAGAGATTTTGTCTTCCTTACAGGTAAGCACATAAAAACTGAGTGTTAACAGACAGATAATCCAGGATACGTCAGTTCGACTCAGTAAAAACCGACATAATAGTTAGAATACTGGCATTCGTGAACTTTCTAAGTTGTTTCTTTTCTATTATGTATTTGTAACAAGTGTGCATTCGTTTTGTGGTCTTAAGTGGAATTGTGTAGGCTTAAAATCAGAACTGGAATCGATTTTACTTGGTTTATTGAAAAACATATTCAAGCGTGACGAAACTTTTCAGCCTCTTTACCGTTTCGGAATTGTGTGACAAATTGGTAATATTAATTCATGACATCACGATTACGTTATTAAATGCTCGTTCCAAAATTACACAAGGCGTGTTCGAAGTTACTTGATTGCTAATTGTTATTCATGACGCATCCCTTGCATCACTAATTACTAGCTCAATTAGCCCGATCACTTGCTAACGAACTCGCGCTAATGAACTAAGTGGTAATTACGTTTATGACGTGTAGCCCGAGAGACTAATCATTTGCCACTTCTCACCGGACTGGTCAGACGCAACTTTTTTAGCTCCGTGAAAAATTCGTCAGATCAGTTCAAAAATGGCCAAGGCTCGCCGTGGTACCAAGAAATCCGTTGTAGCCAAAAGAAAGAAGGCCGCTAGCAAGAGATCAGCCAAGCGCCCGGCTCTTACAAATCAGGCGGTATACAATGCCATCGCAGCCTTGAAAGACCGCAAAGGATCAAGCGCTAAAGCCGTTTTGGCTTATCTCAAATCCCAAAATGCAACAAAAGCAGTGTCACCTCTGCAAGTAAAAGTTGCTTTGGCAAGAGGTGTGAAATCAAGGGCGCTTATCAAGAGTGGTGCTTCCTTCAAGCTTCGTCAAGTGTCAACTCCAAAGCCAAAAGCAAAGAAAGCAGCGAGGCGGACAAGATCTCGCTCCCGCTCGAGGTCAGCTTCAAGTACTCGCTCCAGCAAGTCCCGATCGCGTTCTCGTTCGCGATCCCGCTCTCGATCACGATCTAAGAGCCCAGGCAGGAAGTCGGTGAAGACAGTTACTAAAGCTAAGAAGGTAGTCAAGAAGGTTACCAAAAAGCGCAAGGCCAGGCGTGGAAAAGCCGCGGCCAAGAGACGCCTCACCCCAAAAAGAAGCAAGAAGGTCGCACGCAAAGTAAATAAGAAGCCTGCCGCACCACGAAAAATCCGCAGAAGGCGCCGACGATCTGCGCGCAAGTGAATGAACTTTTAACTAAACGAAGGACTGTGATCATTTTTTTAGCTTGCTATGGTTAAGATCTTAAAAGCTCCTTTAAGAAACAAAGACTTGACACGCTGAATTGAAATTTTAGTAAGCGATAATAACTGGAAATTTTTCACACGGATGGACTGTACATTATAAGAAAAACATCTTGAAATAAAAAAATATGGAGGGACAAGAATGTTGTCTGTTTTATATACTGTGAGAACGATCCACAAGATAATGCAATTAGTAATATTCTTGTGTAAAAAAGAAAGCCTTTTTCCTGGCAACTCTAATTAAGTATTTTTTTAATGGAGGCTCCTTGCACGCGCAGTGACGCAGTTTCAATGCGCGCTTAGGATGGACACTAAATAATACGTTTACTTTTATAGGCGATACAATTCTGGTAGAAAAAAAAAAGAACAACAATTACAACAATTTGCATTGCATTGTGCGTACAGTTTAGAATGATTCCTTCAAGGAATCTCCTTCCCAGGCTCTACTTTGTTATAACCCGTTTTGCCAGCCGCATTAATACAGGTTTAGGGATAAGTGTTACGTTTGAGCTTAAAGTACAAGAATTGTTGGCCCACAAGTCAACTTAAGCTAGAATATAAGGACCTAAATTTTGGTCCAGTCATAGAAGAAACAGTTTAAAACGCACTTCATGTTTGAAAAATTGAATTAAAACGTTTGCGCGAATTGTCTTTGTCTGCGTCTAACACTGGCAAGATAACTGGTCAGGGCAGCCTGGGCAGCTCGCAATTGGGCAATTTCTCATATAAAATTTTGTTGTTTCTATGTAGGATGGAGAAAGGAAAAATTTACGACTCCAGTGGAAGTGGTGGACCGTTTTCTATAAAGTGAGTTACTCTTTTCAAATTGGCAAGTTACCACACCGTTGGCAAAAGCACCTAGAACAAGACGAAACAATAATCCCGTTACATATGAGAACAAGTCTCTAGTTGGATGATATAAATCCATGACAGGAATGACCCAAGACAGTAGGTTTTTACGAATTCAAAATGGAGATTTTACCATTTTATTAGACATGGAATATAACCAACAAAGTCTAACCCAACACGGGAAACAGTTAGACAATCTGATAAGTTTTTCAACGGTTAGCATCTTTCTTTCTTATTTTTTGGGTTGTGCAAACAGCCCTTCTATTACCGGAAAAGCCACTTACTGATTCGTTCCGTTGTATTCTGTAGTTGTGGATTAGTAAATCTAATTCCAATAAATGTATTTCCTTTTTTAGAATACAGTTTAACTCGGAAGAGCAATGGACAAAAGCGTTGAAATTCGTGCTGACTAACCTGAAATGGGGACTGGCCTGGGTCTCGTCCCAGTTTACCGAGAAGTGATCATAACGCGCGGTCGACTGTGCTGTAATCACTAAATCCAATTGATGTTAATTTATGGTTGGTCAAAACATACACATCCACCTCTCAACAGACGTTAATGAATAAAAAAGCCATTGCATTTCATGAAAAGTTTGGTTGATTTTTCAAGAGTATTTATAAAACAATCATTACCAAACGTGGTACGTGAACGTGGTAATCATTTGCAAAAGGAAATAAAGACCTGTCATATCAGGAGCCCATAACCCGGAGCGTTCAACTGCCATAAATTCGTGCAACGGCGTTTTTACAAGTGAGTTTATTTTTAGATAAGCTTTTCCCGCGAAAAATAACTGTTCCACGAGGCCAATTCCTCCATTTGATCGTCGTTTAGACTGTTAGTAGCTCGCTTGAACCTTGACACGGTCGGCTATTTCGAAGATGATTTCGATTTAATTCCCTTTTCGTGAATTATGTGTTGTTGCCTATGAAATGAAGTACAAGTCCTGGCTAGGTTTGGCAAATCTTGCTCTAAACTGCTAGTTTCCGCGTAAATACTGAAATTGTCGCTTGAAGTACTGTCAGAAGACTCCTCTGAAGATTCCTTACGTATGTTTCAATGTGAAGGAGTTGTCCTAGTTACGTATTAAAGGTTTATCGTTGATGACGCAATTGCTAGTGATTGGGTTTTCAAAAGGAATTCGCGGGAAAGGCTTATCTAAAAATAGACCTACTTGTGAAAACGCCGTTGCATAGGCGCAGTATGGAAGTTAGACGCTCCGGGTTATGGGCTCCTGGTCATATTTAATCATGGTAGCAGATATACTTGGGTATTAAGCAACTGCTGACAGGAGATGTTGGATGTGAATACGTTCTCTTTATCAAGAAATTAATTCTCCATCTCCTCCCCTAACCCATATTACTACAGGCTGTGTAGTTCCCAAACTAAAATTACTCATTGTAACTGTGTACGCGATCCAGAATATATGAAATTTATTTAATGAGGATTAAGTTTCCTTTTTAACAACTCATCCAGTTTCCTCCGTAAAAGCATATACAAAAGAAAAACAGGTAGATTTATGTTGGAAATTCTAGGTAATTGAATTTTACCTGAACCCGGAACTTGATCTCTACTACAGTTAGAGCTCTGACCATGTTAGTCTGTTACACAGCCGTTTTTAGTGTCGTCACGCAACGCTCCTCCCCAGTAAAAACGGCTGTGTAGCAGACTGTGACCATCTGAGCTGTATAGTTTCCCACACGGCCGATTTTGTGCGTTGTCTTGTCACACAATGCTCCTTCCCAAGAAATTGATAACGGACATTTTTTTAACCAACAAATCAAAGCAATCAAATGTCAGGTACCAGCATCTTGCCTCTATTTAGCCCCGAAGGTGGGGGGGGGGGGGAGGGGGGTACTCCGGATTTCAAGTGACAGGGATGGTCAAAGGATTTTTTGGGGTTTCAAATTTTCGATTTTGGGATTTTTTTGGGTAGGAAAATTTTGGCAAGTTTTTTTTTGGGCAGCTTGATTTCAGCTTTCTGGAAACTTTTATGGCTAGGAAAAGTCGGCATGGAAATATTTTTTGGGGGTTAAATTTTGGTTCAGGAATATTTTTGGGTTTTGATTTTTGCCCCCATTCGATCATCCCTGTCACTTGAAATCTGAAGTACCCCCCTGGGAATTAAGCCCCTCCCCCCCATGTGGCCTTTTTATTTCAAGCACATATGAGGCGGAGATTTACAGAGAGGGGGGCCTATTCAATTTAGCAAAGTTGATGGCATAATTTTCCATACAGAACTAGAACACAAAGTGGAAAGGGTCAGGTTCATAAGGTTAGAGGTAATGCAGTCAAGATAAGAAACAAATCCATACTTCAAGCACGTGAATAAACCATATATCGCATGTTTATTTCAAAATAAAGTGATGTTTCTGCTAAAGATGATGCTGATTTATGACATACCTCTATTGAGCAGCTAACTTCCATGAAGTGGCTACTTACCAGTAACCCGAGGGTGGCAGCTTAATGAGGGTTCAACTGTAAGTACAGTGTATTATTTAAGAATAAGGGGGGAGGGGAGGGTGGCTTTAAAGAGAAGGGGGCTTTAATAATACTGGCAGAAAAGTACAGGTTTTTGTCTAGATGTCCTGCTAGACTCGGTTACCAGCTGCTATTCAAGAAAAGAGCCCACACTCCACCAACTTTTCAGGGAGCAACAATGAAAGTAACCCCTAATGTAAAATACATGCTCCTTACCACCTTCTGATCCATGAATAATGAGATAATCCACAGTTAAAAAGTTTTCAGCTCTGGAAAGCAGGGAAGTATCCAAAAAAGAAAGGACAAAAGAGAAGTGATTGCACCAAACAAAATGATATTACCTCTTATTCTTATTAATACAGTACAGTAAATTGGTGTTACTTGATCAATAATATATAGTCTTACATTATTGTTAGTAATAAATGTTTTTAATTAAATACTGGAAATAAAACTCTATTAAAAAACATCCAATAAAATTACGAGTACAGTATACAAGCATAAGATAAAAGCCATCACAAAATCATTGATAAAAGTGTATCTAAAATAAAAAGCCTTAGGCTTGGGTAAAAAAAAAAGAGAGAAAAATATTCAAAACAATGATTGAAACGTGTCTACTTTATCTTTCCAATCACATTTGCGATTTCTGCCCCGCTAAAATCAGTGTTCAACTCATGTTTAGTTGTTCTGGAGCCTCTTACACATAAAACGGCTGATCTCAATAGGTTAAAATATAGTTTTGCTCTCAACCAATGAAGTAATAAATCACTTACTCTGTAGCCATCTACATTCCCTTGAGGAGCTGGGCCCATACATCACTCTGTAGAAGCTGAAACTAAAGGAGAAAAGCCATGTGATAGTGAGTAAGGTTAACTCACAGAGTTTAAACCATTACATGTTCATGATTCTTTAAATTTCTTACCATAATATCTCCAGTCTGTGTTAAGAGTCACATAAATACCACAGTCGAACACGCCAGTATTCTTGCAAACCTAAGTCAAGAATCCGCCAAAGGAGGGACTTAAGGTGGCTCACGGGAGTTTTTTAAACTGACTGACCACCAATTTTCGACCTTGAATAAATACATTAAAAATGATTTTCTCAAAATGTCAATGCTTACATGCAAACTAGCAGTAGATTGAAGTTTGATGCACAGTACTGTTTTAAAGATCAGAGTGTCTCTAGCAAAGTAACTTGGGAAACTTTTGATATTTGGTATTTGCCAAGAGAAATTCTTTTGAAGAGTCACTTTTTTTTCAAAATTATGAATGCTGTACATAAGTAGTTTTTAGGCCAAGTTTGGTTGATATTATATGAGATCATTGTTTAATAAAGCATGCCTTTTTTTAAGTCTGTTTTTGGATTCTTGAAATGCCTTTTTAAAAAAACATTAACTCTGCAAAATGCACAGCAATTTTCCCCACTGCATTCCAAAAAAAAAGCTGTTCTAGTTGGTACTGGAACAAAATCAGTTTAGTTGATCTCTTGTTTTGTACTTTTATAGTAATATAAAATTATTTCTCTATATTCAGCATTTCTGCAAACACAAATGGGATCACTAATAATTTTTTATTCATATAATGTATTCTAATATCTGAGCATGAGCACGAATTGTCTTTAAAAATACTTGAGAGGTCTATTGATCCCCCTTTTCAACAAAGTTTGGAGTGTGTTGATAGACTCTAAGAGTAAAAAGAATGGATGCCAAAATGGCAAAGTTTGTGCTCTTATTTGACAATCTCATATATTAGAATAGTTGCAGTCAATACTGTGCAGATTATAGTTGTGCAAGTGTTGGCCTTCATCCACCAGTAATTATTGTCCAAATATTCATCAATGACAGCTTCTCTAACTCTTCTAGCAGGTAAAGTTTGGTTGTTTTTTGATTTATCAAGCCCCATTAATTCCATTCCTGTAGTACTTTTCTCGTTTTGAAGTACTGAGTTCTCCACTTTCTCCAGATTTAGCTGCAGTGCCCTAAAACAATCCTCCATTTTCCTTTGATTTATTTTCATTCCAGTAGTGACAGAATCAATTTTTGATGCAACTATTTCAATTATATCCTTGATATTACTTTTGGTTTGACTTGCACCTGAAGGTTGTCCACCACCAAAGTTTTTATTTGCACCTGGAGGTTGAATTTGAATTCCAAATTCTTTAAGAGGCTCAGATGCTAAATTCAAAGTAACAAAATTCAAGACATGTCCTAATTCCTCAAGCTTTTGTTCCAGTAACTGATTTTGTGTTGAAAAGAACTCCTTCAGCTCAGTTGCTTGGATTCCAATATTTTCCCCATCCTGTGATTTTACGAGGTCTGTAATTTCATCTGTTTTTTCTATTAATGCAGTTCCAGTTTCTTTGATTGAGTTTTTAATCTGCTTCAAGCGAATGTAGTTAACAACAGTGGAACCTAGAATGCCTGGCAAAATAACAACATCAACATATCACTGTCAGTGAAGTGAAGGCATAATGATTACTTTGCTTTTTGGAAAGGACATACATCTTACCATGGCAGGTCAGCTTGTTAAGTTTGTACTCAGACAAACCAGGAAAGTTATAAGGCATACATTAAGCTGAATTTAATTACATTGCAAATTAGTCTTTAGCATTTGAAGTGTCCAATCATTTTGTCTGCCCCCCGGTAGGGTTTCATCAAACATTGGCAAATTTTAATCATACACAGCTTAATGACTTTTGCAGCTTTGTATACTTACCAACTTAAAGTGGAGGGGGGTGCTTATTAGCGAGGAGGACCTACCCTTTAGTCCCTGTTGGAGAAGGGAATGCCATCTCAACAAACAATTCAAGTCATGTGAAGGTATAGTTATTTGCAGGGTAAAGACAGTGCCATCACTTCCCAGGTATTTTAATCCAGCCCCAGGGATCAAACTTACAACCTCTCGCTCTACCATCCAGTACTCTACTAAATGAGCATACTCTGCTGCATGTGCCCTCTTCCTCCTCCCCCCTCCCCACCCCCTTCACAAAGGGTAGGACTTTTAAGCCTCATGTTGCTCTGATAAAAAGTTTTAGATTAGGGTGTGGGCTAAGAGAACCAAGCAAGTCAAGTGAGAAATGAACGTACTTCCTTTGCCCTGTGCAGGCGGTTAGATCTTCAAGTGGCTTGGATGACCACATAAAATGGTGGTCCTGTCTCCAGTTGGAGATGAAATAGTGTCCCAAGGGCAATTAGTACCTCAGTGCTAAATGCAATGATACTCAAAAAAGTGCATATTATGTTATTATTATTATTACTGGGAAAATACTTACAGTCTGTACCACCAAAGTTGTCAACAAAACCCCAAAGTCTAACTCCAACCCCACCCCATATGTTCCCAGAGGAATGCACCTGGGTGATCGTGAAGGGAGGGAACTTAGTACTAAGGGTGACCTTACCAAGTGCTGCTCCTCCAATAGACCCAATCACAGACCAGTGTTTGGTCCTTTCTGCTCTTAGTCGCTCTCTCTCATGGGAATTTCGGACAGCCCCTGATAACAGGGCAAACTGATCTCTTTCCAGTGCCTCCAAGCTTTCATGTTCAGTCTTCATCTTTTTTTCTTCAACCAGTATCTTGTGTTCTTCGGTCGCCAGTGCTAGATAACGCTCGTCATCACGAGGAACCCGGTCTAATTTCTGACGTACTTCTCGGAGTCTTTCTTGAACAGAGTATAGCGCCATTTTCGTTGCCTGCACTTGACTTCGAGTATTCATGAAATCATTCTCCGCTTTCTTGACGCTGGACTGTGCCTCTTGAACTTCAGAAAACCCCAGCAGATCATCAAAAGCTTGTACAAGACCACTGGTCCTTTTGAACGAGCTTTTCAAAAAACCTTCGCCCTTGTTAGAAATAACATTTGAAGCCTTAGTAAGCCATGATTTGCTGTAATTTTCATGGCGGCGAAGGTTCGTTTGAAATAGGCGAAGACCTCTTGTTACAGTCGTCAAACTATCTTGATTGAAAAATGTCCTTGCACGGAGCACATTTCTAGTAGAAAGACCATAGAGCATAGCTGATTTTCGTTAGTAGAGATGAAGTTGTCAAGAAAAAGTAATTTCATTTCAAGACATACTTGAACTTGAACCGTCCGCCATCTTTGGGGTCACGCGTGGGAAGACTGGGGATAGTTTGAGGGAGAGATGATTGGAGGAGAGGGAAGAGGGTTGGGGTTGGAGAGGTTGAAAATGTGTTGATATTCGGCTAATAAGTGTTGATAAGGGTGAAGGTGAGGTGTTAGGTAGGGGTGAGTAGTAGTGTAAATACGATATTAAACTATATATAAATGGACAAGTTCTCCATGACGTCATAAGAAATGTTATCTTTTTTTTTTCTCTAGCCCCTCCCCCTCCCACCCCTCCCTCACCTCAATATTTAATGTTGTTATACCCAGGCTTGCTCGCCTTAGCCTCCATAAAATATGGCGACGATGTTCGGTTGTCGGATAACGGAAGGTTACCGTGTTTTCACAACTTGCCAGCGCCACATACCTCAACAAGTAAAGTTCATCTGTGTAAAACAAGTTGGAAGCATTTACCATTGCTTGGATAGTAATCAAACTACAAACTTTTCTACATCTTCTGCGAATTCAACAAGGGGAGATTCACGGGTTCAAAAATTTCGTAAAGTTGTCGACACTTTTGTTGCTGGAAGTAAACAGTTAGGCAAGGATGTGAAGCTCATGCTTGATATACAGAAAAAGTTGAGAAATAGTAATTACAACTGGGATGGTCTAAAAACAGAGGAAATTATCCATTTACATCAGGTAATTAAAGAAATAACTTCAACAGATTTCTGGTCTTTGAAGGACAAAGTGATGCGTACTGGAAAACATAATCAAAGGCCGCGGATCAATCTTCACAAAATATTTACCACCTTAAAGAAATGCTCTGTAAAATTTGAGAGCCTTATTTATGAGGTGCTTCTGACTGACTCTTAGAACATTCAAACCACAGGGCGTCCAAGCACAATGTTAGCATACAATGGGCACTTTAAACACAACGATATATCTAAGGTATTCTGTGCAACGTTTAGTTCAAAGATTATGAAGGTTTGTATGGGATCGCAACCTAAGTAACTTACCATCTTAATATTGTAGCGTGAGAAAACAGTTGACTTTTCGTAACACCACCACTGATTTCCCGGTGAAATGTTGTCTGAGATAAACAAGTCACAAGAATTCCATACTCAAAACACATCACTACCAAGATCTGGGTAGTGCTTTTGATTGGCTGAAAATTTGCTTCAACCAATGGAAGCATTACCCAGATGTGGGTAGTGATGCTTCATCAGTTTGTGTTCCTTGTCATTTATCTGCTTTTTTGCCCAAATTCTGCTGATCTCAGCACTTTATTGTCCCTTGAGTTGGGATTTCTTCTTTTGAAATTAATTATCCCATACAAACCCAGCCTCCTTTGCAGCTTCATACTCTTCAAACCCACCAGTGAAACACAACACCTCATGTATGTTATGTCGTCCATAGTATGCTAAATAGGCTTGGTCTGGCTGTGCTCAGACACACCACTCCTGTTAAAACTTTTCACTTAGTTATGCACTAATCAGTGGAAAGCCCTGCACCCCCATACCCTGGGAATGCGGGGCAGTAGCGGGAGATTTCAGGGGTTTTAGACTGTCACTTTGCCAGGCTATGTGGGGTTTTCAACAGTATAAGATGCAAGTATCAGCTAGTGGGGACCAATAGCAGGGCTTAGACGGGGATTTGCCCTTCACACTATCTTGAATAGGCACGGCATGGGCCCAGGGGTAGGGGAACAGAAGCATATAAACATTACTTCTTATGGGAAATAACTGGAATATTGTTCTGGGTAGGCATATTAGCTGGAGGTCTCATGCAACTATAATCACTTGGAGAGATTATGAAGTTTGGAATTCCAAATCTGTAACTTAAGGTAGTTTTTTGTTCAACTTTACACTTTTGCCCGTGTGAGAGATGGAGAGCATTGTTCACTTTACTATTTGTAAAAGTTTAATTCTTTATTTCTTGAAATACATTAATTTTGGTCAACATTGTACAATTATTGACGTACAGAATTGCCCCCGTAGTGGGGAATTTGCCTCTTTTAGAAGGTATGTATGGTCTAATGCCCTGTTTTTCCCCGGGTATGGGGGTGCGGGGCTTTCCACTGATTATGCATTATTTAAAGCAATATTTTTTCCTCACGCATTATTTCATTACACTGTAATGTTAGCCTTTTTTACAAGTACATTATTTACACATGAAATGATAAGTTAATGGTGACACACTATCGCCCAAACATCATGTATTTATGGCTTATTTTCATTGTTTCGTGCTTGGTGAAATCTTTCAACATAAGAAATTTAGAACTGGAAGTTCTTTCAACTTGGGGACAGGATGATTTTAAAACTTTTTGTAATGAACTCTGACTTACTAATATTGACCTCTGTTCTTTTGTAGACAAGGAAAGACCTTCTTAAGAGTTTGCCAGTTGTGGTAGCTTTCTTTATTCCATTCTTGGGCTATGCTGTTCCACTTGTAGCGTAAGTGCTCCTTTTTCATGGTAACTGCAATGACCATACCGGTAAATACCTGATTGGGTAATAAATATAAACCCAAGACTTCATCTACATTTACAATGCTAATGAAATCACCAGTCATCAATGATTGCACTAGAATCTTTTTTTTAATCAAGACTGTCATCCACCACTGCTTATTATTAAATTGTGTATATTCAAGTCATAGGTTCTTTGTGTCTATTAATTTTCCAGCTTCCTGTATCCTAAGCAGCTGCTATCCCGTCATTACTGGCAGCCACACCAATGGGAAAAGTTTGCTTTGCAGGATGTCAGAAGACGAACAAGATATTATCTTCCTGTTGTCAGAGAAGTTGGAAGGTTAGCGTTGAGTCACAAAGCAAACATTAACCGCCAATCAACAGATCTAATGTCTACTTCAGTTAAGGTACATAATGTTATTAATTTTCTTTTAGCTGTGATACATCAACATCATGTTGAGGCTTGGGTGCAGGTGACTAAGTTCCATGATTTCAAATGGTTGCAGATCATCTATGTAGATGTAGTTAAAAATGTTAGTGTACATGTCTTAGTGCTGCGCGAGCCTGAGATGCTGATAGTGACACACTGTTTTCCCCACTCCCTTGTTGAAAATTTAACCTTGAATTCACCAACTTCATTATTCACGCTGTCATCCATTTTCAGTATCATCAAAGCACTTAAAGTTTTGGCACCAGTTGTTCAAACCTTGAAAAGTGCTATCCCCTGGAGAAATCACTATCCAGCTAACAGCAATTATTAGAGAAAACATGGACTCAAATTTCACTTCATGTGGGACAAATTATTTGTCTCACCTCTGGTGAGGGCTGTTACCTGCCACATCACTGGTTTTAGCAACTTAATGACAGTGCACATTTAGTGCTGAAAGAAACTTAATATTTATTAAAATTAATCTGTACTTGATATTTCTTTCAGGTTGTGAACAAGCAGCATCCTTCAAATGAAGAGCTTCTAAGTGCAGTGGAATTTTTTAAGGGAGAACTTCTCAGCTTTGATCACCTACCTCGCTACCATCTGGTGAGGGAATTAGCTAACAGTAAATCATAACAAGCAAAAAATATAATGGCACTGAGAATTTTCTTTTTGTTTTGATCCAGAAAAAACTTAGTCAGGTCTGGCTTATTAGCCCATGGCTTCCAAAGAGGTTTATGCGAGCTCGATTGAAGAAACTTTTACAAGCAATACAAAAAGAAGATGCTGCTATAAAGAGAGAAGGACTGGAGAGTCTTAATGAACAACAACTGAAAGATGTGAGTTATTTTTACTATGCCTCCTTGTTTATAATATATGTAACAGTCTCACATCTTGGTGTAGTACATTCATTAGATAAGTTTATCATACTCTATTTTTATTGTTTAAGTATCCCAAAAAAAGCAGCCAAATTTATTGAAAGCAAATAGTACTCATCAAAGTTTCATTATTGAATTAACCTGGTTCCTTTTCTGTCAGGTATGTCACTCAAGAGGCCTGGACACTAGTGATGTTGACCCAGAGGCCCTGGTAATGTGGTTAGCTGACTGGGTGGAGCTATCAAATGCTGCAGGAGGTGAACTATGAATCTGTTAAATCATTTAACAATAATTCTATTACTTCATGTCTAAAAGAGTGCAATTAGTGAACTACAAGCAGATGACTTTATGATCAAGTCTTTTTATGCATGGTCTAATGCCTTGTGTTCCCTAGAAACTAAGTGAGTCAAAACTTCGAAACTACAGTATAAACAAGCTGTTTCACAGTGAATGATATTAAAGTAGCTAAATGTATTATCTTTTTAATTAGTTAGTTAGTATATGTGCGTTAAGCATAGAAAGGCTTGAACTAAGTTCATGTTACTTAAGAGCCTCCAGGTAAAGTTTCTTAGTGATAAAACTTTTCACAGTTGTGGGCTTAGCTTCTGAGTGCATGTGAGGCTTAAACCTTGCAAAGGCATTTCCTTTCTTATGTAAATTATGCTAAGAACAACACAATTTACATAACAACGCTGAAACAGTCATTTCTAAGCAAGGCCACTTCAGCCAGATTTTCCTCCTGTATCTGTAAATGGGCTGCTCCCGTGTAGTTGTTCTTTCTTCGATCATCCACTAGCATTTAAACATCTTTTTCGTGGCCTGTAGTTATTTCAAATAAATTCTTGTAGTTTGAAGATCATTCTTATTAATATCATTAGTTGTAGTTTTCAAGAAATCAGTAATAATACTAGTAAGCTGCCAGGTTAGCTTCACTCTAACCATTTTTTTCCTTTTTGTTTACACACAGACATGGATGAATCCTTTTTGGCTCACTGTGCCATTTTTAAGGCCATAAATTATAATGCTGACAAAGATGTCCTCATCAGTCAAAGAAGTTGATTAATTCAGCAAGAGTAATCCAAGCATTGAAGAAAAATCAGTTCCGCTGCTCATAGAAATTCCCAAAACCATATTATTTTGTACACAAACAAAACTTATCATTATTTAATATTAGATGGTTTAGCCAGCTGTAGAAAAAGCAATAACTGAGAAATAAGTCAAAAGGTGGAATATAATAATTTTATTATATATGTAAACAAGTCTGTGAGATTTGCCCCTGATATTCTTACCTTTCTTGTTAAAACATGACATATGAACTGAAGCACTAAATCTTTTCATTGAAAAACAAAAATAATCACAAAAACGAAATAGTTATACAGTCAACTCCCTTAATTTCATCGCTATCTCTATATAATGGAAAACTTTTCTATACACCTATAGTTGTTGCAGCATAAACCTTCATTAAGCCTGTCTATAATAAGACAATCAGAGCAATAAAAAGGCAGCTGTGTTTGACAAATGCAACATGTATTCTCCTGGTAGAGATAAATGCTATTTTGAAAAGCAAGTGTCAAGAAAGATAGCAGACCTGAGGTTGATTTCATTCCATTCCCAGTGGTGTCTGTCTTGGCGAGAGTTAAGCTTACTTTTAAATAAATTATTATTCTAAGGAAATGATTATCATGTTCAGGTACTACTTTAAATGGAAATTCTATATTTTGCTGCCTAAAAATGAAATTGATATTAATTACATTATTATTTTAAATACTACTTATTTCAATCTTTGCTCTTTACTTTCCATATTCTTTCCAGCTGAGTTTTTTAGTTACACTTCGTTATTACTATATATAGCAGAGTTTTACTCCTACTAAGCTCAGCAGATAGAGTATCATTATTCCTGTTCCTAAACTGCTTCATATCCAGGTTTCTTTTTACAGTAGTACCACACCATTCCAACAACAATCAGCACAAGAACTACCACACCTGCAGCAGCAATCACTATTATCTCCCAGGTTTTGAGGGAGCCTGAAGATGGGGATTTGTTTTCTAAAAATAGCAAAGGAAAAAATAATTAACTACACAAAATCCCTCAGTTTGTATCAAGGATGGTGGAACATTTACATTTTTCCACATGGGGAGGGTGAGGCTGACAAGTGACTTAAATGCTGAGAGACTCTTCTGCAAGGAAAGTGTACCCCAGCTCTGCCATCCCTGTGTTTTGAGAGACTCTTACCATTGTTTGTTACTAACATTAAGTCCTGATCAGTTCTGGGTGCCCAAATTTTCGACAGGAAATGTTAAAATACCAGTCAAATACCACCTATGTTACACTATAAGCACACTATGTGCTTGATGTCCCTGTTTAATGCTAAAATGTTGCTGGTCATGATGGACTGATGCAAAAGAAAAAAGATTTAATGTGATCAACAGACCTGTTGGCTTGGTTTTTGGAGTAGGAAGTGCTGAAGATAAATTAAACCAGAAAAAAACAATGTTAGAATGTTTCAGGGTTACTCTGGGAATCAATTGCTGAAACAAGTCAGGGACTTTAACTGTGATATTTTAAAAGAAAATGCTATACAATTTTGCTAAAAGATTAAATGTGATCAACAGACCTGTTGGCTTGGTAGGAATTGCTGAAGATAAATTAAACCAGAAAAAAACAATGTTAGAATGTTTCAGGATTAACCTGGGAATCAACTGCTGAAACAAGTCAGGGACTTTAACTGTGATATTTTAAAAGAAAATGTTATACGATTTAGCTTGGTAGCACCTGATTTCATCTCTGTCAGTCCTGCAGAGGAATCCTTGTTATGTAAAAGAAATGTCTGACTCATTCAAAGAAATCAAAACTGGGCAGCAGTGTAAATGCAATAAATGTATTTTCTGTTAACCTACATTATATTAAAACTTAAATCTTATTTCTTACCTGGAGGAGTTCCACATTTTCCTGGGCAACAGCATTTACTTGTTAATGCTAGATACTGCAGATAGAAATTGACACCACTTCATGTATTTATCATAAATTGTCATCATTCAAATTATGGACCTCAGCCTGGTTTTAATATTACCATTTTCTTATTTTTTCTTAAACTTTCTTTCCAAACCTAAAAGATCTTTTAGCTGGATGAAATTTATTTGAACCTATCTAAACTCAGAAACTACTTTCTGTTTTTAACCCAAATGAAATTCTTGATAATCAGATTTTCCTGAACGTTACTATTTTTGATCTGCTATTCCTGTGCTCTTGCTATTATTAACATGGCTTTAAAAACGTGAAAGGAAGAACGTCCTGGAAAGTGAGGGCACTTACATATATGTCGGTGGGAATATTCACTGTGTTAATGTATTCAAACACTGTCTCGTTTTCTGGCAGAGTTTCGTTACACACCAATGAAATAACAGCAGAATGATGTTCAGCAGCTCTGCTCCTGCAATATTATAAATAACAATGAAGTATAATTTATGCAAAAGGTATATGACCTCATTTAGCTAAATTCTTGACTTGGTGAGGGTGCTCAGGGGCAGCAGCAAAAAAGACATGCGAAGTGCAAAAATAAGTATACTGAGTAACAAGAGAAAGGAGAAAAAACGTCACATTTAATATTTTGTTACCTAAACTTTAAGGTGAGGTTTGCTGTTATATTCCCTCCAGCATCTCCTGGAACAGAGCTAACAAACTCTGAATTTGCATCGTTACCCAGACTTTCACAGCTAAGGACAGATCCATTTGTCCATCTCGCAACCTGAAAAGTAGGAAATAAAATGTTTACAACAGCAAAAATCATGGAACAATGAAATTTTGTACTATTTACTGAAATAACATGATACGCCCACGCTTCCATTGTTATTATTTAAGTTTTTTGTATCTGTCCTTTTCTATTTTATTTTTGTTTTGTTTCATTATTAGTACATACATATTTTGTACTTTTTTTAATAAAGCATTAATAATATTTTAATAATAATAATAAAAGTCTGAATAAAAAAAATATAAATATATAGAACATATTAGTTAGCCACATTCTTTCAGCTGCGATACAGTGAATATATTTTCCAGCTGCATACTTACAGAGGCATTAACACATGAAGTAACACCAGGCCGGGTCTTGTTTACAAACTCACTAAATACACCACACGGACTGTAGGAAATATAATATGAATCCTTATCTTTGACTGTAAATCTGCAAGCAAAGACAAGACCTAGCTTTGATAGTGTCCCTGACAAGACTGTCAGATGGCCAGTTAATTGAATGTCAGATGCTCAAAGAAACCTGGGCCAAGTTGTTCAAAGCTGGGTTAAGATAACCCAGGGTTAGTGCAAGATTTGAATTTAGATTTGAAATCTTAAAAGGCATTTTAGTTTCAATTCTTTTTGTCTACAAGTTGATGATTGGAAGCCCTAAAAATAAGCGAGAAAATTATCCGAGCAAATGCTTTGAACTCAAGAAAAAGAAACCTGGGTTAAATTTAGCCCTGGTTTAAGCGCTAATCGGCCTTCGAACAACTGGGCCCTGCTGAGTAATTTGTCAGTTGTATGGTTGAAGAAGTTTTAGTGGTACAATATTCTTACAACACCAGTGACATAATTAATATGCCAGCTAGCAGCAGGGGAAAAGAGACACTTGTACTACTACCCAATGACTTTGTAGATTTGTCCCCTGCTGGAGATTAGACTGCTATTTCTTCATATCAACCCCCATGGAGTAAGGGGAGGGGGGGCTGTTGGGGTGCAGTCAACAAAGTTTTATATAGAGAGGCTCTGCCCAGAGGTTCAACCCCTTACCCTTTTATATACTATTTTTGAGCAGAAAAGGTACGCCCTTCATATACCTTCTATAAACAAATAGTATACCTTCTAGTTTAGAAATGTTACATCCATGTCAACTGCTATAAATGCAACGTCCCCGGGGGGTGGACTCCCACATGAAACAGACGGGGATGCTCGTCGGAAATTTTGAAGACCATCTGTGCGTGGCTCAAGCTTTTTGTGACCCCTAAAGGAGACCAATCTGGGCGTGAACCAAATACGAAAATGAGTTTTAATGACATAAAGACATCAAACAAAGTTAAAAAGAAAATTGACTTCTGTTTCTCTTCGCGTAAAACCCTAAACCACCAAAATATTGGCCACCCCTAAGCGAGACCAAAATCCAAAATTTACACAACCGACCATCCCCGTCTGATTCATTGACTAACCAGAAAGTTTCGTTGCCATCATAGAAATAACAAAACCATGAACCACCCGTGATAACTATACATACAAAATATTCATTTCACCTTTCATTGCAAATAAAGCAAAGCAAACAGACTCTCGCATTGCTACCTTGGTGTGGAAGAATTTTCCTTGAGGGGCAGAAGGTTTACATAAATTTTCGTGTTATTTTTCTCCTCGTAGCAAGCACATCCATCATAGCCCTTGACAGCAGTACACTCAAATGCGACCGTCACTAGACTGCTTCCTCCCAAAATAATTAAAAGTACCAACAACTGCTGCTTACCCGACATTTTTGTAACTACGATGCGTCTCCAAACCCGGAAACATCAACTGCTCACGTGAGGAGAGCGTGACAGGCAAATGGGGAAAGTGACCCAGGCCGCACCTTGACAACACCTTGACACCCAACTTTTTTTAAAACTGCTCGGCTGTCTACAGCCCCAGAATGACTAGGAAAAATAAGAGGCAAAATGGAAAAGCGCCTTTGCAGTGTGTCTGCCATTTCTTAATAAATCGGAGCTCTCATATCGTATTGCTGGGGTTTTAGGTCGATTTTACTTACAGACTTGCACGTCAGCAAAAAATTCCTATTGGCCAAAAATCAACTCAGCTCCAGGTTCTCTCTGATTGTAATTATCAATATGGCGGACGAGAACCGCTAGTTACATGTTACTTTCTCTGTCTTTCTCTGTTGCTGTTGTATCTTTTTCTTCACGACTCCACTTGTTTTTTTCAATACAATGTTCTTAGACTACTTCGTTGCGAAAAGAAGATTCAGAAGAAATCCTGTGGGGAAAATGATGTGTTTAATCAGCGTGGGATTCAACAAGGACTTTGAAGCTGGTATCTGTTTACTGTACTAGCAATATTACACAAAAAATATTGTAGTAATCTTCTTGAAATGGAAGAAAGCTGTAGCGAAAGACAGGAAAATGAGCTTCAAGCTATTCAAGCGATATATATGGACGACTTTCAAGATCTTCGTGAAAAGGTAACCTCCTTGAAATTTTAGCCAGCTGTTTACAAATTTCCTTTGGCCTGTTTTTCAAAGCGAGTTCTGGTGCTCATACTTTTTCATATGCATAAAAGTTTACTTTTACATGCAAATTGAGGTCATTTTCACACAAATGGTTTTGTACCAAGCATTACTTGAGAAAGGTTTCTGGGTTTCTGTTATGGTTTACTCATTTTAAATATTATTGATCCCGAGCTGACATCTGAGGAACATGTTGACAGCTTCTCTGGCAAATTGGCAAAACACATAGAAATAATGAGGTCAATTCACTTCCATAAAACATATCCTTGTGTTTGATTGCCCTTTTTGAGTACAATTTACATCTAAGAGGATTCTAACCAGGCTCCTACACAAGCCATTCTGAACAAAACTAAGTTAGAAAATCAAGAACAGCGGTTGATTAATTTAAATTCATAATAATTTGAATAAATTAACATCTGCCATTTGTCTATGAAGTTCAGGTCAACCATTGCTCCTAACTGAGAAAGTATCTTCATCGCACTAGAGTTTTATCTATTAACATGAATGATTAAATGTTTGTGAAAATATGGTCTGTAAGTAACAGAAAGTTTCATTATAGATTCTCTGAGGAATATTCAAAACCAATAACTTTTTTCATTAAATATAGTATACATGCCGATGTGCTGCTAATAGCAAAATTACTAATGCTAATGTACATGTATGCTCTGATTCCATGTGATTTGATGTAACTTGAGTAGAGGTTAGGGTTTTTTTTGTTTTCATTTCTTTTTTTTATTATCTTACATCTTCCTTAGCCTGAGGATCCACCCAAAGTGTGTTTGAAACTAACACCCCTGCAGAGTGTTGTTGCTAAGGAGGTGTATGCTAGAGTTGAATTGATTGTACAATATTCAGCAGATTATCCTGATAGGTAAGTTGACTAAAGAGTTATAAATTTTTTGAATATACCTGGTGGATTGTTTGATATCTAGTCACACTATTTTTATTTTACTGAAATGTTATGTCTAATCACATTATATAATAATATAATATAATAAATATATATATATATATATGTTGCATAAAAAAACAGTCCTTGTAAAAAAGCGTCATTTTTATGTAAAAAAGCTGCTTTTTTACAAGTTACCTGGTTTGTAAAAATACTGCTTTTTTACAAAAATATATTTTTGTAAAAAGCAGCTTTTTTATATAAAAAGCAGCTTTTTTACAAATTAGCCGCTTGTAAAAATACTGCTTTTTTATGTAAAAAAGCTGCTTTTTTACAAAATATATTTTTGTAAAAAAGCAGCTTTTTTACGTAAAAAAGCTGCTTTTTTACAAGTTACTTGAAGGAAAAATACTGCTTTTTTACAAAAATATGTTTTTGTAAAAAAGCAGCTTTTTTACAAAATATATTTTTGTAAAAAAGCTGCTTTTTTATGTAAAAAATCTGTTTTGTTACAAAAGATATTTTTGTAAGAAAGCTGCCTTTTTATGTAAAAATCCTGCTATTTTACACGTATAGACCATTTGACAAACTCTTTTATCGAAGACAGGCTGCTTTCTATAGCATGGTTCGAAATTTATTGAACTGTAGTTTTCGTGGGCTTCTCAAACCGTACATTTTAAGATATCCAGCTAGTCATGTTCACGTTCCCGTGTCCCCTTTATTGTGGGGCTTTTAAATTCCCTTGCTAACTCGCTGACAGCGTTAAAAATTTACGTTCTTTTTATTCTTTCTTCTTGTTTCCTTTGTCATTCAATTTTCCAGGACCTTCTAATTGTTGGATGCGAAGAAGGAACAGGCAGTAATTTCATTTGTTATGCTTATCGGCCGAGGTCACGCATGGCAGTAACTGCGTGTTAGGCAATAATAGAATAGCTGGGTTATTCACTGTCCTATTTTTAAGCAATGCCTGTCACAATCTCTTGCAGCAACCAAAGCCTTCTATTCTCTCCCTCATTGCTACTTTTGTTCAAGCCAAAAACTGTACGGAATATTATTCTGTATTATTTATCTATTCTCCCAAGGTTATCAGCTGCAATAATTGGTTTAACTGTCAACAAAATACTTGGCAATAATGCTTTGAGGCTCTTAGCAGTGGACAAATCAGAGGCATAAAATCTTCAGCAAGAATCAACGACAGCAATTGTTGGGCAATTTCCTGTATTATGTATGTGGCGCTAAACCTCTATCACGGGATTCATGCTATGTTGAAATCCATGTTGATGCATGCAAGAGTGTCATGTCTGCGTTACAACTTTAAGCTTTCAACATGATGTAGGAACATGTTCAGTCGGCTAATCAAGCAAAAGGAAACGCTAGCCTATAGCTACAAGAGTAAATACACTCGCTTGTTAGTCTAATTTTTGCAATACACAGAGCAACTTGTAAGGCCATAAAAACAGCAGCCGATTTGTTCATAAGAATTAGGGACTATATAAATGCGGTCTGTAACGTACACCAATGCGTGTTTCATTTTAGAGATCGAGAAAAAAGCCAGAAAACACTTGCAAAGGCTGAAAAACTTTAATATAAATACAAGCTGAATTCGCCAGCAACATTTAGTGTATGACCGTTTTTTTACAAAATATATTTTTGTAAAAAAGCTGTCCTTTTACAAATATATATCAGTGTAAAAAAACAGCTTTCTTACGGTACCATTTTTTCACACAACATAATAATAAGAGGTATAATAATAATGAGAGGTATGTAAATATTTATAAAATAACTAAGACAGTACATACGTTCTGAATGGTTAAAAACGTATGATTCATTGTGCTGGTAAACTCATAGAAAACTTAAAGTTGTTTTTTAACAGCAATAGACCACACTTTCTATGGGTTTACCGGCGTGATAACCCACTTAGGAGGTTGGGAGAACACTCAAAAAGCTTGTAAATCACTCGCCTTTGGCTGGTGATTTACAAGCTTTGCGAGTTTTCTGCCAACATCCTAAGTGGGTTATCACGCTGGTAAACCTGTAGAAAGTGTGGTCTATTGCTTTAATATTATTCATGCAAAGTTGAAAAATATGTGAGTGACATAACATCAGTCATGTTGATTCTTACTGAATTGCAGTCTTTGTTTTTAATTATCAGTTTATGGGCATATTTATTCGTAAACAACAAATCTTGAGTGCATCTGTTAAAATAAAATTCTACTCTCTCTCTCTCTCTCTTTGTAATTTTTTTTTGTTGCAGGAGCCCCAAGATATCCTTGTGTAATGCTACAGGTATCTCAGATGAAGATTTGAGTAAACTTCAAAATGAACTGCAGCTAATGGCAGCAGACCTTGTTGGTGAGGTAAGGTTCTGATCATATTGTAATATGGCTGTGACATCAAAAATTAACCGAGGGATTTCAAGTGAATTACTGAATGAAGGGTGACTATTCATTACAAAATTGACAGATACTGTTTATGGTATAGTATATGTTTCTGGGTTGTTTAAAGTTTACAGCAGTCACCCAGACTGGGGGCTAAATTCTGAAGGGAAAAAAGGCATGCAATGATAGTTAACGACTGTTGAAAATAAAAAAACTAATGGTGACTTGGAATCCACGGTCTCTTCTACTCTTGCACAAGTGATAACAAATTTTCAGTTTTTTTTCCACGAACCTAAGTATCTTGACTTACCTGTGAAAGGATAAGATTATTTGTGGGTAATTCACAGCATAAAACTATCTTTTCAAGGTGATGGTTCTTCAACTAGCACACCATGTTCAAACATGTCTCCACAAACACAACAAACCACAGCTGTCATTTTATGAAAAGATGATGGCAAACAAGCAGAAAGAAGAAGAAAGGAAGCTGGCTGCCAAGAGGGAAAAGCAGCAGATGGAAATTAGAGCGAACAAGGAAAGAGAAGAAAATGAGGTGTCTAGATAAAAATGTGGAATGATTTGCTGACTGAAAGATATGACATCCTTTGCCTTTTATTATTTATCGTTAAAACCAACATTGTTCCTAACCTTCATGGACACACTGCCTAAACAACAGTTACTAATATGTCAGTTTTTATGGCATTTTTATTGACCAAAGAAACAACTGTAAAAAGGTTACAGGATTTATAGTTCATGAGTAATCAAAGTTTGTTTCTCATTTCATTAGATGTTTGGAAAATTAATACGATAACGGCTAAATTAACTTTTTTACATTTATTTTTTACTAGAAAAGGGAAATAGAAGAGGAATTGCAGAGAAGAGAAGAAGCCATCAGAGAAAGCAAAAGAAGAAGAACAGTCGTGATTACAGTGAGGCATTCTTGGTTTACTACATCTTAAATAATTATTTTGATGTGTATTCTGACTGTGTCTACTGTTATTTATGTCAGTCAATCAGTTCACATCCATACCAAACTAGAAGGTCTACATATGTACCTCGTTGGGTACAGTTATACATGTTTGTTTTTTTACTTAAAACTTTTTATCTTTAAGTTTGTCCTCTTTTAACTGGTAATTTATCTTCTGTTTACTTGAAAACTTGTTTATTTTGAGATTCACACCTGTCTGTTCCTAATCTTGAAACAGTAGGATTGTTACTGGTTCAAATTATGTCATTCAGTCTTAAGTCAGCTAGATACCTACAGATTTTATGAACTTACAAACTCTGCAAATGCAGTTTCCTCTCTTGTGATATTAATGACATATGAAGTAGCTAATTTTTTGTCTTGGCAGGAAAAGAATTCTAAAGCAGATCAACCTGCATCTACACAGAGTCTAAAAACAAGAGATAGTGAAAAAAGCCCTGTAATGGAGACACCACCAACCCTTCAGAAGAAACATTCGGGAAATTCAATTGCACTCTTTCAACCATCATCACCAAAGAAAACAGATGCTATCATTGGTCCTGGGAGTAGTATCTTGAGACGGCGGCGTAGTTCTGAAAGTTTGCCCGATGATTCCTTCACAGGGACAAGAGTGATAACTTTTAGTTCCAAGGGAGAGCAAGTTGTTCACTGTGGAAAATGTCTCGGTACATTTCTCTTGCCAATTTTTTATTTTTATATTTCAGTAATGCCTTGACTGCTGGCTCAAATCTCAAGCTCAAATAGTGAAAATAAGCTTTTGTGATGGCATGTTATTATACACAGGTCAAGGTTCCTCAGGATCACGAGTATACAGTGCCATGAATGTGACACTTGGTGAACTTAATGCTGTTTGTGAGTGGAGTCTATCAGCTGCAACAACCACTAGCAATCAACAACATGACTTACAAGGAAGACTACTCAAACAGGTTGCTTTATTATATGTATGCCTTTATGTCAGTAACTACTATACAGTAAAACTTTGCAGCTTGTATTAAACCAGCCTTGTTCTCTTTAGAATTGATAGTGTTTTATGGTTTGTGTTTGTGTATCAGTCATCTTTTTTCACCTGCTGAAATGATTACTGGTTACAATTTGGAGTGGCAGATTCACTTACAGCTGAAGCTACTTGTAGGAAAACGTTTATATAGATAAATAAATAGATTTCTGACCCTCCATTATGAACTGATTAATTTTCAAGGTATCCAGTGTAAAGCAGGAGATTTTGTCCCTCGCCAACCGAGTCAGCCATCCCAATTTAACTCACTACTTGGCTGTCAATGTCCAGGAAACTGCTTCATCTGTTAAAGTTCAGGTAAAGATAATAAAAAATGTAAGACCATGTATTAGTGGTCAATTTTGTGCCTCATGTCAGTAACTACTGTACAGGTATTATTACCCTTTTTCAGCCTTGAAACTGTAATTATTTTCCTCAGGACCATTTTTCCTTTGTACTTACAGGTTCTGGTAGAATATGTTGGTGGTGGGGATCTTAGTCTTCGCCTTAGAAGTGGAGGTCTTTCACTGGAACAGTTGCGAGAATACACACAACAACTTGTTGAAGCTCTGGCTTACTTGCACGGAAAAGCTGTAGTTCATAAGGACTTGAGGGTAAGTCAGTGATCTGCAAATATCCAGGCTCATGTGATGCCAGGTGAGACATGTAACCTCTACGGCTTCAATTGTTTCTCATTTATTGATTAAATTTCTGTCGTTTACAGTTGACAAGTTGCCGTCTTGACTGTGATGGAAATATAAGACTTGCTGATTACAGTGCTGGTAAAAGGTAAGAAGCTGTCAGCTGATGATCACCTCAATATTTTTCATGTCCTTACCAAAAGACATGGTAATAGGCTTTAATAAGTTGTTCAATATTGTAATCCAAAAAAATACTTTGACGACTGATTGATGTGCAAAGGTGCCTTTTCTAGTTGTTGAATTAAAACCAACTTCTCCATTAAACAAACAGCAAACTACTTAAGCTTGGAAAGAGTACGGTGACTTGATTATTTTTCCTCTAGACTGTCGGATTTACATCAGGTTTATGGAGGTAACAGAACGGAGTTACATGGCGAAGTTGGCAACAAAACAACTTCTCGCTATGGAAAAACTGGAGACATTTACAGCTTAGTAAGTTTGATAATGTTTTCTTAAGAATAACATGTTTCTGAACGTAAGTAGTGTTTGCAGAGTTCGGTTGGTAACAGCCCCCCTTCCTTTCCCACACACTTCTCAGATTACTTGAGAACAAGCAACAGGCAGGATTAGCTCAGTCGGTAGAGCATTTGACTGCAGAGCGGGAGGTCGCGGGTTCGATTCCCGGGGCCGGACCATTACTCAGGGTCTTAAAATGACTGAGAAATGAAGGTACTTCCTTTGCACTGCAAGCGGCTAGACCTTTGCGTGGCTCGGATGACCATGTAAAATGGCCGTCCCGTCTCCAGTAGGAGACGTAAAAATAGTGTCCCCAATTAACCCTTTCGTGCTAAATACGTTGACACTCAAATACAAAGTGCATTAAGGTTTTGTCTGTTTTACAGGGAATGCTCGTTCTTTCTTTGGCTCTTGGAGAAATTATCACTGGAGACGTGGAGGATATACCAACAGCTTTGCCAGCACCGTTGCGAGAGTTTCTCTCAAAGTAAGTGCTAGTGTTTGGTGGCCAGTTTTTTATAGACTTAGTAGAAGCTTGGCATTTTGTTTTTCCTTCTAGAAGAGGCCTTTTTTGCCTGGTATTCTGCAGCAATGTTCTATCAATGATGATATTTTTCCCCTTAATTTCTGCACAGTTGCTTAAAAAAAGACGAACGCAACCGGATGTCTGCCGCCCAGTTATTAGGACATTCCTTCATAACTCCTGTAATTTCCAGAGGATTGTCGAATGGCAAAGGGGCAAGTGAAAAATATGCTGATATTCCCGGAGCTGAAGGTCGTTTATCTCCAGTCAACCAACCAGAACATGAAGAGCCAGTTCCCGACTTTTCATTTTTCTCTGGGGTTCCTGGCAAATCCCGCGTGAAATGTGAATTTGAAGAACTGCAGTTTCTTGGAAAGGGAGGATTTGGCAACGTCATCAAGGTGCGTGGCTATGTTTTTAGAAAGGCCTATCCTCTCTTAGTCATATCCATGTAGGGCCCAGCCAGCAATATACTTTACACTCAGCAAAACTTTGCTCAAATAGTGCAGCCACGCCTTCCCATTAACTGAGCTAAAACAACTAAGGCATCATACTTTTATAAACTGTAAACTGAAATGATTTCCAATTTGCTTTCACGACCTTTTTCGTTTCGTTCTAGGTGCGAAATAAGCTTGACCATTGTCTGTACGCTGTGAAGCGTATACCTCTGAACCCAAAAAGCAGTCAGTTTACCAAGAGAATCATGCGTGAAGTACAACTGATTTCTCGCCTTAATCACGAAAATGTCGTCAGGTAATAAGCTACAGTTAGCTTGCATTGGGTGAAGTGGGGTGGAGTGGGGGGAGGAGGATAGGGCGGCTTAAACCTCATACTCCACTTTTCACAGTGCAGGCTTATTGGAAATTCCTTCTCCGCAGATATTACAACTCCTGGATCGAAAACGCTGAAGAACAAGAAGAGAATAACTCGTTAACAGGACAAAACGTAGCGCAATCGTCTGTTTCAACTGAAGATAGTCTCCTTAAGCTGAACAAAATTGAAGCTCCAAGCATGAGAGGGGCTGGTGACAATGTTGAGGAATCTTGGTGGCAAGGAGAGGAGGAAGCTAATACAAATGGATCGGACTGGTCGTCCAGTGGATCACAGGAATCATTTCGAAGTCCACCAAATACATCCTCCAAAAGCCACAGTATTTCGTTTTTTAGCAGCAAATCGGAGTCTTCTGAGGGAATCGTTTTCAATACAAATATTGATGAGTCTGTTCTCCAGTTTGGTGACCTTCTAGATACAGAGGTAATGAACTACTGCATGATTCATATGCAACTATTTTTGAAGACTGCTAAGGTCTTCTACTTTGTTTAGACTTTTTTGTATCAAAAAAGCGGCGATTAAGAGAGGTGAGCATTAGACTTGATCTCTCTCCTCTACATGCGCGGAAGAGCTCTGGGTCGAGATTGTAGAAAGATATAACAAAGCCTTTTCTCCCAACGTTGGTTGGTTACTAGCGCATTCTAGGTGTCTCCTATTATTTGAGGGTTTCCCCTCTACTCTTATTGATTCATTCGCATTACAGTCTACTTTTTAGCACAGTAAATACAAAGAAAAGGAACGAAAAGTTTTTACTACATATTTAAGAGCTTGAACATGATTGATTAATTAATTAATTAATTTTTGTAAACCTTTATTGAACGTATCAACTTGAGCATTTTACAATATTGCAGTAATTAGTGGGGACTTAATTAAAACTATTTATGTGCCTGTGGTAAAACAAGGTTATATTATTCAGATTATGAAGACGAGTTTTAAAAACTATTAAGATGTGAAGCATTCAAACTTGCCTGTTCATGTTACCGCTGATTTGTGTTTCTCAGTCTGAGGACTCAGATGAAGGCGAGGAAGCGTGGCAGGAGACTGGGAGCGAATCCAGCACAGAGCCCGTAAGATTGCAGTATTTGTACATACAAATGGAATACTGCGAGAAGAGTACCTTGAGAAACCTTATTGATGAGGGATTGCACCAGGACGAGGAACGAGTGTGGAGGCTCCTTAGAGAGATCGTAGAGGGGTTAGCGCATATTCATTCCCAGGTAACCGTATTTTTTTTATACCTGTTAATGTCCTTTCGAGAGGGCCAAGAGATATCCTACCTCTCTCCCAACCGTTAAAAGTTAGAAGTTACTTATTATTACAAAAGAAAACAAGATCATTGCTTACGCAGTAGGAATAAAGTCTACCGTCTATACTTCTAAACTTATTGTTACCGTTGGTACCTGTTTAAAATAAGTATTAACTTACAGTAACTGTTATTTTTTCAGGGCATCATTCACCGGGACCTGAAGCCTGTAAATCTGTTCCTTGATTTTTACGGCCGCATAAAAATAGGAGACTTTGGTTTGGCAACAACTCACGGCATGACTCGTGGGGGAATGGGCCCTGATGTTCAAGACTCCACTCAGGACCAGCTCCCTTCTTCCAAGAGCAACTCGGCCGCAAAAGAGAGTATGACTGGTAAAGTTGGTACCACCTTGTACGTGGCTCCAGAACTTGGAAAACGAGCTGGTGTTCGAGTGAAGTACAGTCAAAAAGTGGATCTGTATAGCTTAGGAATCATTTTCTTTGAAATGTGTTTTAAGCCACTCTCCACTTCAATGGAAAGGGTTCACGTACTGGGCAACTTGAGAACGGTAGGTCCCCTACAACTTTATAGTAAGTTGCACGATTATAAAGCTTGTTTTTCGCGTGTTAGTTCAGTTCGTCTTAAAGAAATGCCGCTTTATCGTTAACGAGAAAAAGATACGATATTTTGAGATCATTGAAATATTTAGAGAGTATATACTTATGCACTCGGTGTGCATAAGTTGAAAATGAATCGACATCTTATAAAAAGCTGTAAAGGTTATTATTGCTAAAACGGCAAAGAGTAACACACGCGGGGAAAAAATGAACGACCAAAGTTTTAAAATCAGATTTTATAGCATTACATACTGACCTCCGATATCTCTTCTCATCTTTTGTAAAAGGTTAAGGTTCTAATGGACAAATTAAGCAATGAAATTTAAAATCTCAACAGCATCACCTGATCAAGCTTGAGTTGTGAAGTTGTTACCATGTGTTCAGGCTTTTTTCTAGGATGTCAACTTATGAACCAGACGGCGTTTAAAAACAGTAATGTTAACAGTTGGAATTATCTGTATTCGGAGAGGTATTTGAATATCAGGCAGTTAGCAATTTTTAGTTGTTTTTTTTTTTATTTTAGGAAAGGATTATCTTTCCAAGTGACTTTGATCAGAAGCGCCTGTCCAAACAAACGACAGTTCTGAAATGGCTTCTAAAGCATAATCCAGAGGAGCGGCCCACATCGCAAGAGCTGCTTCAAAGCCAGTACATTCCACCTAAGATAGAGGACGGCCAGTTGGATGAAGTACTTAAACACACTCTTGCCTCCTCCAATTCTACCCGCTATCAACGCTTAATGAAAGCCATGTTCTCTCAACATGTTTCTCCCGTCCGTGACGTAACTTACGATTTTGATATGTTCACGGGTCAGGTTTCTTCACGTGCCATTCTCGCACAGCAAGTGATTCATGAAAGCGTCAAGTCCGTTTTCTTGCAGCACGGCGCGTTGCGGCTAAGAACTTCTCTGCTGGCACCGCGCACGAAGCTTCTGGAGCAGCTAGACCAGGCGGTTAGTCTTATGGATCACAGTGGCGCGCTTGTTGCGCTCCCATTTGACTTGAGAATCCCGTTTGCTCGTTATGTTGCGAGGAATGGAGTTTGTCAGATGAAAAGGTTTGACATCGGTTGCGTTTACCGCGTGAACCGAATCCTTGGTGCTCATCCTAAAGAGCTGTACGAGTGTGTTTTTGATATTGTCACAAGTACGCCGGAAAATCTTGTTCCTGATGCTGAAGTGCTGCTCTCTGTTGCTGAAATCATTAGGGAGTTTCCGTCTCTCTATGAACGTAGTTATTATATCAGAATAAATCATACTGCCCTCATGAAGTCTTTCCTGGCATCCATTGGCATCACGGATGAAAGGCAGTTAGAGTTGCTTAAAATTCTACAAGAAACTCGTGGTGAAAATGACAGAAGTGAACAGATCAATGCGTTTATCGAGAGTCTGCAATTCAGTGAGCATAATGCTACAGCGCTGTCGGATTTTCTTAATTTCGAAGGTCCTGTAAGCAAACTTCGCGAACATCTTATTGGTACAATGAAGCGGAGAACTTGGGTGGGACAAACGGCACGCCAAGCCTTCCACGATTTGGAAACGATAGTTTCACACACGGAAGCGTTGGAAATAAATTTACCAGTAGTGGTTAATACGTCCATGGTATACAACTTTCAGCATTTCTCGGGTCTGGTTTTCCAGTTTGTGGCTGCTAACACGCGAAAGCGGAAACGAGGAGGTGTTGATATCCTTGCCGCAGGGGGAAGGTATGATAAGTTGATTAATAGCTTCCGGCGAGCAGCAGCAGAAGCTACTCACCCCTCCCCTGGAGCGGTCGGTGTCAGTATTGCTATCGAAAAGATTGTCGCCAGTGTATTGGACGACCAGGATTCAGTTATACCTTGCGCCTACAATGTTTTAGTCTGTTCAGCCGGCCACAACCCCATGCATGCTGAACGCATGCGCATTGCCCGTGACTTGTGGAAGGCAAAGATCAAGGCGACAATCTCTTATGAAACGATGCCTCTAGAAGAATTACAGGAGTCTTGCAAAGAAGGGGGAATACAGTACATGGTTGTTTTAAAAGAACAGGAGCCTGGCAGTGTTAGGGTAAGGATAAGAATGAAAGTCTCTTTAACAGGTGATCTTGTTCCAGACTCTCTCCTCTACCCCCATTGAGTAATATACTCGATGCAAAGGCAATTACTGTTGCCAAGCAACACGGGATTCTGTTGTCATAAAGAACAGTTTATAATATGGAATTCGAAATGGCGAGGTTATGAACCCTTATTGTTGTCGGTAAAGTATATAAGTCGAAAATATTGTTAAATGATATCGCTCGTGACTTATAATTGCCCGGCCCTGCTTCACTGAAGTGGCAGTTGGTGTGACCATCATTTCAGTTATGACCAATCCGCCTTTCCCCATAGCAACCATACAAGAACCAACCAACCGGCTTTCTCTTCCTAGCGTTGTATCAATTTGCTGTGTTTAATCTATGTTACTCTGATTGACGTTGTTGGTTTGTTTGGGGACGTGTATTTTTATCAGGTACGTTCTTTGGACAAGGAAAAGGTCTCTGAATCTCGAATCCCAATCAAAGACTTAGTGGACCATCTTCAGGGGAAGCTTTCAAGCAGGCCTGAAACAACCGACTCCTCTATGCTCCCTGGCAATAAGGGCACAGGTCAACAAAGCAATTATGAATCGAGTTGTACATTCGTCCCCGAAATGAAAGTCTTGTTCAACACACAAGAAAAGATGGCGTGGAACACAAAAAAGCGATATGAGAGCGTGATGACGTCAAAGATTAAACCACTCTTGGCTCACATTGGCTCAAAAAACGCCGTAGAGATTATAGGGGTAGGTAATGGTTAGGTCAGTGTGATACCATCAAATCAAGTCAACAAGTCTCCTCTCACGGTTGGCGCTAACCCATTCTAGTGCTACTGTGCTATTGTGCAATACTGCGACGATAAACATCTGCAGAAGGTGTACTCCATCTAAATATTAGTGGGGTGGGCCCGGGTCTATAAATAGCTAACACGAAAATTCGAGGGAATTCTGTCGATTATAAAGAGTGTGTAGAAGGTGGTCCAAGGATGAACACTCACAGTTAAATAAATGAAATGAAATAAATTACAACTGAAGCAGCGAAAGAAATAGGCTCAGTCTCCAGCCTTGGGTGTCTCGATGCGCCCGCGGATGGGGAGTACCTCGGGCGCCTCGAGACACCCAAGACTGGAGACGGAGCCTACTAAAGAAACTGAGCAGTACTTTCGTTGGAATTGTCACTACGCAACCAAGGTTTTAGCCAGAAGGGTGTCCGGGTGTCCAGCAGTCCTATGGACGCCCATTTTTGGAAGAAACACAAGGAAAATTCACCTAATCTCTTATACGTTTACGGGAAAACATGCCTTCGGGACGGCCAGTTTTCAATGTCTGGCTAAAAGCCTGCAAACACACGGCAATAATATTAAATCCTGTTTAATATTTTATCTTTTTTCTAGGTTGACTTGCCCGGTTCCGTTGTACGTGGTATGTCGGCCCTTCTTGACCTTGATGCAAATGAAGACGCTTTTGACGCCAGTGTGGCGACCATTGCAGACAAGAACCCTCGCTACAAAAAATACATTGGACGAGTTTGTGACGACATAAGGGAGCTTAAAGTTTCCAAAAAAGTACCCATCGTCATTGTGTACAGTGTAAAGGACGAAATGTTTAAAATGTTTTTCTGAATAAAACGAAATGTGTTGGTGATTTTATTGCAATTTATATGCGGCGGAGTAAAGAAATAAGGTATATCTACATTGTTTAGGTATTGTATATATGTTAAATAAAAAAACAGAAGTTTTCTACTCTAATTGTGTTCCTTTGTTTCTTCAAATGAGTTTACGATTCGTTTAGTGTCTAATGCAAGCGGTGGAAACGGCGTGTGGCCGAAAAAGGCTAGAGTTGACACTCACTCCCGTCACGTTTGGCGGCAAAAAACTGGAACTAGGCGCAGAGACAGGATTTGATATTCGCTACTTGGGAGAAAGACACGCGCGCTGTATAGAAGGGCTCGCGACACGCTCGCAATTAGCCGTTGGGAACTAGAACTGGCCACTAAAACGAGGTACGCCCGGTTCCTCGAAAGATGATTAAAGATTAAGCCAAATTTTAAGCTGGGTTTTCTCGTCTAAGAACATGTAACTCAAGCTTTCAAAATACTGTTGAGTCTTTACTCTGAGATACAGTCAGGAAAACACAAATTGTTACTCAAAGCAATGCGTAGGAACGTAAACACAAATTAAAGAGAGCAACAAAATCTTAATCCTGGATTAGCGCTAATCGGCCTTTCAGGAACTACCGTGCGAGCAGAAGCTACATTTTCGCGGTATGAGCTGATGAGCTACTTTTCGCACATCAGCTCATACCGCGAAAATGTAGCCTCTGCTCGTAGGGTATTCAGGAACCGGGCCCTGGAAAGAAATTTCGTCAAGCTCAAGGATGTCAAAACCATAATTTCTTAATAAGCGCACCAGCAACCTGTTATGACGAATGAAATTAGTATGTGTAATCAAATGGTGACGAGTGAAAGTAGGGAATAATTTCACGAGTATACCATTTGATTACCTATTAATATCATGGGTGACGAATTACGTTAGCAATCGTAGATTTTTGACATGTTTATCCTGGATCGTATCGATCGAGAACTCCTGCACTCTCTCGAACGTTTAGAGCTTAAATTTGGCTTAAGTTCAGAGTTTTTCGACAAAATACCTGTTAGAATCCTTCTTGATGTGCTCTTTCGTGTATTCAGGTTTTCTAAAGCGTCTTTTTGTGCCCTGACATCTTCATTCATGACATTTTAAAACTTCGTCGCCATCTTGACACTGAGACGTACGGAAGGTTGGCATGGCAATTTTGTAATTTCACATTAACGCTGAAATTTCGCGCCAAAATTACGGAGTAATTCGTCACCGATGATATTAAAATAATCACTTCGATACATAGCAAATAGACGAAACCTTGACCAATCAAGCCTAAAACATGATTTTATTATTAAATATGAAGGCGTATTGGATGTAAACGTATTAGAGACCTTTAGATTCTAAGACGAGTTCGAGATTTTCTCAGTACAGTGCTCGCGCGTGAACCAATGTCATTTTGGCGGGAAAATTGTGGTAGCCGTCGTCACTCGACTACGAATGTCGAAGTGGGAAAAACGAGTTATCAAATGTTGGAAGTTTCATCATTTTGCGATCGGAAGAGCGCGTAACCTTCACTAAACGTGACAGTGCTAACTTTTCTAGTGAAAAATGGTAAAATGAAGCTTTCCGGGGAGTCTATATTTTGAGAATACGCGAAAAAACTTTAAGTCAACTCTCGTACTCGTAGTCGTTCTCGTCCTTGAGTCTCTAATCTCGTGGGTAAAGTGACATCAACAATAATCCACACCAAATAGGATCACAATTGAACGAGAAAAAGGTGTATTTACAATCAGGGGCCTCAAATGTTATTGGGTATTGCGCAAAGCAATGTCCAGGACAGCGGTCTTGCGCATTAAGGAGACTAACAGCTGGTGGCATTTTCAGGCATCTTCATGCCACCATAGGATTTCCGAATCCCACTCTTTGCTGAGTTTGATGTATCTCGGCAAGCAGCTTTTCATCTTGTAAATTTAGCTGAAACAATACGTTACACAATATCAGTTGTTAAACAAAAATTAGCTGCTGACCTACTATTCTTACTAAATAAGAATTATAGGTCAGCATTTTGCTGAGTACTTTCCGTAATGAACACAGTAGTTATCATGAGGCGTAGCCTGCCAGTAGGCTCACTTCTTCGTGCGCATGGATAACTTAGGGTGCAGATAAGAACGGGTTGGTTTTGACCTCTCTTCCACGCAACGCTTATATATAGCGCCTCATAAGTCTTACGCACTTGTGTGGCAGGTTTCACTACAATAATCAACACGAAATAAGCTAACGCAGTTCTTCATTTCTCACCTTTAGAGCGTATTTATAAGACTGTTCAGCTTCCAGTTGTCGACCAGTCTAAATGAAAAGATGAGTAACATGATCATTATGGTTTGTGTGTAAGCTCTACGATTATCCCTTAGTGAAAAACGACGATTGTGAGCGATTAATCGGGTGATAAAATATAAACAGACAAGTAAAGTAGAGTAAAAAACAGCGTTGTTCGCACAAGTTACTTGCGATTGGTCGAGAGATATCTAAGGGTAAATACGAAGCAATCTTGGCTGATTGTGTCCACCCAAAAGGTCCTATAAAGCCTTACCCAATCTCCCTGTAGTTCATACAGTGGCGAATTGAAATTGAAAGCTGTCAATCAGCTGGCTGTATAAGAACCCATCCCTCCTTTACAACCCCTTTCCTTCCCCCGGCTTTCCTGGCCTGTTCTCTCAGCGGTCTGACAGCCCTAGCGATTTGATAATCAACACTCACCTCTAAGCAGACCAGTGACAAGTAAGACCATACTTCAGCGTCTTTGTTGTTCAATATATTTGCCTCAGATAAAGCATCCTCAGCCTCAGCTAAATCTCCCAGCTTCAAAAGAACAAGGTAGGCATCAGGGGTTAATGATTACGTGAATGATCAACAAAACACCTTCTTCAACTTAACCAAGAAGTACGTTCAGATCACAAACAATCAAATAGCTACAGCGCTCAAGTAAAGGGACAAACAAATTTAGTTATTCAAAAGGCAGTTGTTCCCGAAATAAATAAAAATATGATGTATAAAGTAGTCAGTTTGTAAGTGGAAAGAAAATTTACGTAAATATTGCAGGTGGATTACTTAGCTTTTAAGCCCAGTCCGTCCGAGGGCATAAATTCTGTAGACTTAGTTCTTGACAGTTGTATTATTACTCACTCTGTAACAAGCAATTCCTACTCCCAGCCACGAGACACAGGATGGGGAGCGAACACAGGCCTTTAGGAATGTCGTCTTCGCTTTCTCAAACTGAAAAAAAAACAAGACACTTTAAGACTGGTTGGCATCTCTTGGAATAGATCTGAGATCCCGGCATTCACGTATCGTAGTAGGGGGTGTACCTCTATCTTCCCCTTTCCTGACTTTACTTAAGACAACACAAACAATTTGAAGTCAAGGCTGTCAGTAGCCATATATAAGGGGTTTCTTTGGTGTTTCTACTGGGTTCACTTCCGCGAGTAAAGCATTGGACACTAACCTACATATAATTTCTTCTCGCTCGTCTCATTTGACTTTCACTAAAAGACTATGACTAAGACAACCTTTCTTTCAACTTCCCACAAATGGTTCTGATGACAGCCACATCTGAATTAAGTTATCCTACAAAGTAAACATTCCAAATCACTCACTTCTCCCTTTTCCAGATAAATGGAAGCCAATCTCAGATAGATGGCATGCATATCAGAAGCTTCAGTTGTGTAGTCCAGCGTTCTCTGGTAGCAGTCTCCTGCTTCCTCGGTTCTGCTTGTCAGGAAATAAAGATGTCCCATCAAACCCCACGCGTCTGGATTCTGTTCAACCGTAAATACACATACATTAGAGACTTATTTTTTGGTCACGCCTTGATAAAGCTGCTCATTCTGCACAGTTGGTCTTACATGCAGACCTTTGACAAGACAGCTGTAAATAGTAATCATTCAGTATATGGTACTCGCCGTGTAGATTTTTCATCACTATTTACTAACAACAAAAAGTATTTCAGGAAAAGAGAACAGAGGAATTGAACATTCCAACCTCGTGTTTTAGAACAATGGCCTGTTTCAGATTTTCTTCAGCTTCTATGAAGGATTTCTGTTGAATCTTAAGTCTTCCCAGTAAAACAAAGTAATCAGCTCCAGGCTCTCCATTAGCTGAAACCAGCTCGTGTGCCAAGGCCGCGTCAGTTAACTAGTACCAGGAACAAACATAATCATGAGTACTTAGTTAAACCCTCCTTCACCATACTTAGAGCGGTTTTCACTTGACTGTCGTAAAACCAAAACCAAAGTAAATACACTAGCCAACCAAAGGGCGTAGTAAAACCAAAACCAAACCAATTCCTCAATTACTTTCGACAGTCAAGTGAAAACCGCTCTAAAGTGGCTATTCAAGTATCCATGCAAGTTTGCAATAAGTCCTTTGACTATAACATAAACGTACTTGTCATAATGGTGGTTACTGCGTCATTTTCGTTTCAAGTCTCTACTCAAGGAAATATCACACACAATAACAAGATGTATCACAAGAAAGTTACTTTTATTGCCACGTGACGGTCCTATTGAAACGAGAAAGCCCTTCTTTTGTTCGTATACAAAGGGTATCAAAGTCAATTAACAGCCTTTCAAGAAAAGACTGAAGACCTAATAATTTTTCACTGGATCGAAGATTCAAGTTTTCTTTGGTGTGTCAGGAGTATTTAATTCGATCACAATGGCTTCAAGTTTAAGTAAATAGTTAATGTTATACAGGAGCTCCGCTTTCAGGCTTTGCTAAATAGAAAGTAACCTCATTACCTGCAGAGCGTTTACTTCCAGTAAGAAATTCGCCGTTTGCAAGAAAATACTGGTATATGGTTTGACCTCCGCTGGCTTTTCCTTTGGTGGTACCGCATGTTGAGGCTCCTGAATTGGGGATTGGCGGTGAGAGCTATTAGCACTTGGAAGTCGTGAACTCTGCTTAGAAGCTACATGAGTGGAAGACTGGGTCGGAGGTTTAGATCCAGGCTTTGTCACGGGGGTGGCTGAACTAATCACAACTGATGGAGGGAGGGCTGCAAAGGGCTCCGTGGAGGCATCCCCTGTACCTGGTACAGTCTCTTGCCTTGGTGGCTCCCCAACTATTCAAATGAAAGCAAGACATAATAACCATACAAGATTTCCTTCCGCAACGAAAGATGATACACGGAGGGAAGTAGGTGGCGACTTTCATGCACACGGCGTACTTCTCTCACTCTGCTATCTTAGAGAAACAAAACGTAACCTAAGCGCAGGAAATCCAACGACTGCAATCGCACTCCAGTTAACAACAATGACAATTACCATGTACTTCCGGCATTCTAGTGGCGTCAGATGCACCTGTCCAGGGAGGACCTTCACCAACAGGTTCCTCGATCCCAGGTTCCGAAGCGTCACCCTCAACCTCAGCTACCACGTCAACAGGTTCTGCAAGCTCAAGTGAAGATGGCGTTGCTACATTCAAGCGGTTGGCCTCAAGAAAAGCACGCTCGGCTCCAATGTCGTTTTGTATGCTATCGTAATACAATCCTACAAGAAAAACGGTTTGCGCGATTAATTGCAGCTGTTGCTTGAGAGGTAACAAAAAAACAACTGCAAGATGCGCACTTATTAAAGTTTCACTCATTTCTCAAATCACAACTAAAATTAACAATTTCTTGTTCTCGATCCAATGTTCAAGGTTTAAGTATAGAATCAACCAATCTTAACCAGTAATTTACCCAGTAACTGGCGTTCTTTTGTACGTCGCAGAATGTCCAAAACTTGAGCGCGTCGCACAGGAGTAGTTTCGTTTTCTCGGATTTAAACTGGAACTAGCTTCAAGGCTATTAGTTGAGACTAACACAAGCCGATGATATTTTGTGTCAAAAGATTGTCCGACCGCTCCCCTTCAGGAAATATTGCCCCACCTACTCCCTCTTAAAATTTACTTCCGCTCACAGATATTTACAATTGTCAAAAGGAGAGAGAGATAGAGAGAGAATGTTATACTTTCAAATGAATTTTTCAACTTTTGAAAGTAAAAAATGCTTCATCTTCAAGGTTCAACACATTTTTCTCTTTTTTTAACAAACAACAATACAAATAAATGACTAATACAACACACAGGCACAGCCCAGCTGTGAACTTAGAATCTTACCCAACATAGTCCACGCTATAACACTCTTGCTCTCAGCGCATGTGGCAACTTCGAAGAAAGTCTCAGCTTCTTCATATCTCTCATTCATCAGGGCCATGCAGCCGTACATCAAAAGACTGGTAATCAGACAACCAACCAAACAATTATGTACACAACTGAATCTAACAATGTATGAACATTAGATTTGCAACTCTGTCGCCAAGACACAGCCAATTAGATGAAAACGGTATGTGGTATGATTGGTAAAGACACATTCCGCAACTCCTGATAAAACAAAGGAAATGACCACTAAAGGAAATCTCCGTTTAACAAATACAGGTATTCAATTTTCCTTGTGCAAGTTTACGTTATCCCAGAAATCAGTCTTTCCTGAACCCATTTCTCTATATTTGGGCGGTTTTACTGATGTTTTCGTCAGACGAGCAAATTCTCCGCCAAGTTCTTCACATTTGTTCTTCTTGTGCATGGGTATTCTTTTCAACACTGCTGCCAGGTTCTAAAGGAATTCATTTTTGCTGAATACTATGCCGTGTAAACATGAGCAAGAGTTATTGCAGCGACACTTAAGAAACGACATCGAGAATACGCGATGAAAATGAATGGACTGATGTTAACAACCAGAAGGAGAAGGGTTATTTACCTTAATAACTTTCTTAAACTTACCCTGGTAGATGTTTCTGAGCAATTGCTATTGTCTCTTTAAAACATTCTTCCGCCTTAAAACAACAAACAACGCAATTGAAACCTAATTTCTACATAGTTTTATTGTTCACTGTACATCCTAATCCTTTTCCATACTTGTACATGCGGTCCTATCTACTTCAAACCAAACCCACGAATAACAAAATAAAAAAGCCAATAACAGTAAATCCTGATTAAGCACTCTAAGAAACCAGCATTTTAGATCATCTACTGCTGCCGATTATTTCAACATGACGGTGTCCAACAAGAAAGCTCTTGCTACTTTGGACACTGTATACAAATGAACTTAATGTCTTTTAGTTAATTATTCTTTGTCAGCTACTTTATTTTCCTACCTACGTACACTTATATAAATATCTTATATAGTGTGAAATAAAGAATTGGAATGAATTGAATCTCATAAGGTCTCCTGGTCAATAAGCGTGCTTCTGCAAATAATAATCTGTCAGAGTGGAAAAAAACGAAAAATCAAGTAATTTATCAAAGTTTCTCTCCGACAAGCGGGAATTCTTTGTAAAGGCGCCTTAGATGTACTGAAAGGTTTTATGATATTCTTCTCTGCTTACCTTTCCAAAGTCTCCAATAAGTAAGCAAAAGGCTCCGTAATCAAACCAGTGATCTGGATCGTTCTTGTTACGGGACAGCCGCTTTTATAAAAAAAAAACCCTGTTAGTAATTCCTAGTCCACGTGACCTGGTGGACGCCCGCTATTTTGTTTGAGTTCAAGCCAACAGTAAGCTGACGTCATGAATATACATAACGTATGTGAAATATAAGACTGACAACCTCTCCAACGGCCAATGTGCAGAAGTTTACTTTCTTGGCACGCACCCGTCACTCTAAAAGCTATTGATGTATTTCCCTCTTCTGGGAGGTGAATAGAAGATGGCGCTATATTTTACTCAAACAACAGACGCCCAAAGCACGCTCTGGTGTAAATTTACAAGAAAGAAAGGGATTGCAAAGAGTACCTCTTGGTAGTACTTGGCAGCGAGCTCGAAATTTTGGTTCACCTAAAAATATCAAACAGAGAATACACGTATGATGAGGATCAGTTTATTATTGTATACCGATCTTTTACTTTTTGTATAAACACGACTGAACAATAACTAAGAATAATGGACCACACTGCTGAATACAACTACGATGTTGGGGATACACATGACAAAAAAGCCCAAAAGGTAAATTTACGGGTCAAAAAAGCACAAGCAAAGTTCTAACGTTATATGAAACGTGTAGTCAAGACGCAAAATAATGCTACTAACAATTAAATGGAAACTAATAATTTCCATTCTTGAAATCACAACTTTAAAACGAAAAAAACAACAAGCTGCCGCCAAACGTGCAAGTGGGTAGAACAACGCCTAAAAGTGAGAAAATTCAACGCCGGGAAATGTAGTAAAGATAACAGAGCGCAGTTTCACCTTTAAGAGAAAAGGCTTCGTCTACTACAGAGGAAACTTTTTAAAAAGTGTACAATCTATTTCTTTGTCGCGCGACTAAGCGAAAGAAGGCAAAATAGGACAACATGGACTTAAATAGGGTTGTTTAATTGTTTATACGATGTACAGACGTCACGTGTCAGTACCTCGGCCTCTCTAGCGAAGTGTTTGAGTGTTGCAGAGTCTGTCACGGGTGCTGGCTCCTCTGGGGTGTCCTCTGCAGTCAAAAACTAAACACAAAAACAGAAAAACAATAAAAATACGGATCAGAACCAAATAAAAATTTCTTGCTTTTCAGCTAGCTTTAGCTTGGAGTTTTTCATGACTTTGGGGAAGGGGGGAGCCATGGGGCTGATGCTTCTGGACTAGGGGTAATTTAGAAGGGAGGAAAGGGGCATAGCTTCCAAAAGGCTAAGTACTAACAAAATTTTCATACTTTGTTTTCTAGTATTCAAAACACATAAATATTTCTTGCTGTTGGAACTGACTGTGGCAAATTCCAGCCATTTCAACAACTCTGGGCTTGCAAACAGCGCTCTAGGGAGAAGAGACACCGACAAAATACAAGCAGATAGGGAGTTGGAAGAGGTACGTATTAAAAACCTGACGACATTTACTGGTTAACCAACTATTTTGTCGATTTGACTCAGTAACATGACTAACGCAAACAGTATCTCGTCATCGATATTACAATTAATATCAGAGTGGGAACTGGGGGGGGGGGGTAATTAATTTTGGGCCTTTCAGAATGGGACATGTATGATGTATCTAACAAATCAACTCACCTTGTTTAAGGCAACGTGCATCTGGTCAATTAGAAAAACATATAACTCGCTTAAAAATGCCTGAAGTTTCTCCTTATCCGCAAATGCTGTTGTGTTCAAGTACTTTTCACGGACAATCTTAATCACACTGTTCTGCGGATGAAAGCCCATAAAGCAGTATTAATAGTCTGGAAAGGCAAGCTCACACACACTTAATTTACTTATTCCGCACAGTTTGTTCTCGTTGTATCAGTTTTGTGTTATATCTTTACTCTGTTGCTACAAACACGTTTGCCTCCAGTTGCAGTTTAATTGCAACAAGACAGCATGATCGTAAACGTTTGAAAAGGAAAAACTCCACCCACAAATCTTCGGTACCCACCACGCCTGTAGTTCAAGTTTGAGACAGGGTAGTTGTACTCCTTTCATTACACCTTGTTTTCCATATAATTCGCCCTTCACTAAAACTGTATGTAGACTATTTGATTTAATACCTTAAGCTGCTCCTTAAATGCAAAGTACTTCCCAGATGTATTCAGGTCGTACAGAAACTTTTGCCTCCTGTCACAGACAAAAAAAAACATATAAAGGTTGCAGTAGCTACATTAATGGCAGAAGAAAGGGAAATGTAGGCCGCCTTCACAGTAAGTTAAAATAGCTTTCATATTTTTCCCAGCACAGCACGTGTAATTGTACATGTACAATCAGAAAGCGCCCTGTTTAGAATTTGGGCCCAATAGGAAATAAACGCTGTTTAACCTAACCTCTCCATTGGTATGATGTTATAAAGATTTCATTCTATAACGCCTTATTATGACAATCTGTCCCATTTCTTCACTAGCAAGGTTTCTTTTCGAAGGAGTGAACTCTTAACAAATTGAATTTGTTTTTTACAACACCTTTGGTCCATGGCATCATTTGACTGTGGCAGATTTCCCTTCATTAAATCGTCACCGTACATTTGCCTAAAAGTTCACAACAAACGAGACGAAAATGGCGTAATATTAGAATTGTTGCACTTACTTTAAAGGGAAAAGTTTTTTTCAGAAACTGTAGTGTTACGCCTGTGGGGGATTTGATGAGGTAGATTGACCAATACTAGGGAACTGAGAAACTGACGTCAGAGCGAATAGAAGGACTGGTTCGGCAGCTTCTCAATAATTTTATGATAATAAAAGTTTATCTGTGCACTTGGAAGCCAAGCAGACTGACAGTTGAAATTGGAAGTACAGCTATAATAAAGTAGTTCTTAGGGATCTTACCTGAAAAATGTGTCAGTAGGTTACCGCTTAGTGACCTGACTCAAAATCCTCGAAAATTCTTCAAATGTAAAGAAAAACCTAACAACTAAAAGCAAAGCTTGCCTCGACTGCCATAGACTGTGAGTAGTCTCTCTTTTCAGATTTAGTGAGGGGGAGTGTACGCGCGCGCGATCTGAGCGTCAAGCGGCACCCGAGAAACGACGGCGCCTTCAGTCACACGCGTGCTTATTTGTGTCTCTCGCGCATTTTGCTCGACGGACCAAGAAAAAGGAGAGACTAATCGTAGTTTACGACTGCCACAAACGTGATCATCAGTCACAAACCTGAATTCCTCCAATAAGGAATTGGCGACTATGGTCAGCTGAGTTTGAAAATCTTCCACAGCCTAAAAAAAAAAACATTTGGAAAGCTTAGTTGAAAGTTAATTAATACTGACTTAGCCATCTAATTAGACTGCAAAACAGTCCGGTTTTTTTCTCAAAATTGGTTTTTCAAGGCACCACGGAGCATCGACAAGAGCTTCTCGCGTGAAGCAGGCGAGCCCCCTCTTGTCCTACACAAAATAAGGGCTGTTTTTCAGTCTTTTTGATACTCAAATTGGAAACAGGAGACAACATTTTTACCTTCTTGGAGCCTCCTGTTTTGCGAGCAAATACAGGTCTTGGCGGAATATACTCTGCCACTCTAAAAAAGCCAAAAAAGATAAAATATCATCTTTACCAAATTATACAATAACTATTCTTGAAATTTGCATGGACACTGCGTTAACAGTCATGCTACCACACAAGTAACAACAACAGATGTTTCAGTAGTAACAAAAAATGTTTCAAGCAAAGGATTAAATATATTTAGAATGGTTACATACTTTCTTGCCAGTGACGAAGGTGGTCTTTTAGGTACCAGTGGTTTGTCCAAAGTAAATTCCAATGTGATGAATGTTCGAGCTTCCAGGTATTGCTACAAATGTACATCAAAAAACAATATAAAGGATTGTGCTGTGAGAGTACATACAGTAGAGCTTAAAAAGATAACTGACCCTTAGCTGTAGGAACACTATAAAAAATTTAATTAATTATTTATTATTATAATTAATTTAATTTATTATATAATATGTGCGTAACCAATAGCAAAACTGAGAAAAAAAATAAAAAATTGTTGGCCTGAAGTACCTGTCCCTCCAGATTCTTAGCTTCATTTGTTTCTCCTTCCGTTGATGTGTCTGCTGGCTTTAAACCTGCACCTGATGGCTGATAGCAACAATACTACTCATCACCCTAGTCTGCTCAACTCTTACAAAAGTAAAGCACAGATATAAAAGAACTAAGCTGACCTCATTTTAATAAACTTTACCAAAGTAGGACACATTAAAAGACTCCTGACCGCAGTGTCGGTGCAGGGGCCACTGTCCACTTAACTGTCAGAAATGACTTTCTTGCAGTCAACAAAAAAAACTTGGAGCAAGAGGCTTTTCTCTAACTGCAGCTCACTCACAGTGTCAATTTGCAACACTTCAATCCTCTAGTGAGATAAGAGGCTTCTCACTAGCCGGTTCACAGACCCTCTATTTTCTCTCCAAAGTTCGTTGAGCGCGCATGGTAAAATATAAACCATGGGAGATTTATACTCCATGCTCGTTCTTGCGAGCTCACCAATGTTTTTGAAAAGAACGAAAAGAAAAATAAAACAACGTCTGTTCACAGGCTAGCTTCTCCCCAAAGGAACAAGCAAAGTTTAACAGTCCTTCTGCATTATATATAGCAAAAGAAAACTATAGGTACTTGACTTGATACCTTTGTTTTAGCATCTGCCTTTCCCTGTTTGGTAAGAGCAGGGGTCGGCTTTTGGGCCATAGCTGAGGCAAGGGTACGGCTCATTCCACTAGCCACTCTGGCAGCCTCCTCTGCTAGAGCTCCTTTACGTTTGGTTTTCTCATAAACCTCATTTTCAATAAATGGCCTCACAAGATAGGCACCTCTGATTCTAAAAAAAAGGCAACATGGCTTTTTTAATACTAGGGGTTAAAACATTTAAGCCAACAAGGATAAGTTCTTATACATGTGCAATAATCTTGTATGCGAGCGATCTACAGTCACAAACCTTTTCACGCCAGGATAAAGTAATGGTGCCATGTTGACATAAGCTACTCCATGGTATGATATGGGGATGTCCTCCTCTAAAGATGCCTGCTTTCCTTTTGCTTTGGTCACTTGTTGAACCGGAGTTCTCATTATCTCCACAGGCCAGAATCGATTTTGAGCAATTTTGTTCTGCAGACTACAAAGGAGCCTCAAAGTTAACAAACTATTTTTCCTTTGTTTTTAGAGAAAAATTTTAATAAGCCCAAAACAGATACTGCTGATTAGGAGTCTGGGCTCAGTACTGTAGTACATGTACCGGTGTATAATTTTCCTAACAATAAATTGTCTAATATCAGGAAATTTTCAGGAAAACCTAACCCTAAACCTTATCACATTCTATACCATGCTGAAAACCACAAAGTTATGGCAAAATTAGAAAGAATTTACAGCTACCCACATGACCTTACAGTCTTCTTCCATATCCTTAATAAAATGGCTCTATAGAACAATGGAACTTGAGATTTCACCTTTCAGCAGCCTCAGCACTTAAAAAGCAGCGTCTTTCTGCATTCCAGGTTACATGATTCTTTTCATTAACAGCTTCATGTCGGAATGCAACATCTTCTTTGTCCCTAAGATCACCGTCTTCGTCTTCAAAAGGCACTTCTTCAATAATACTGTTGCAAAGGAAAACAAGAGTTCCATATAAAACTTAAACAAAGTGACTTAAGTATATTTTTGCTACTGAACAGCAGATCAGGAGGGCACATACTCCATGTACCCATGCAGAGGAAACAACTGTCGGCAGGGCAGCCTAGGCTGTGCCTCCCAGTGTTTTTTCAAGTAGTAAATTAAAACAATGTATGTATAAAATTTTTTATCAAAATGACATAACAGTTATGTCATTTTGATCATTATTATACACCTGTACAATCACAAGATTTATGTCTTGAACATCCACAAGGAACTGGATGACCATGAAAGAACTTGTTTACAACTTTTTTTATTTCATTAAAAACCCGTTGAGTCCCAAAATAAAACCCACTCTGTTTAACACTCTAACCTGCCATCACAGTTTTGCAAACGGTGCCATTGCCCTACCTATCTTAGAGATTTGTCAGAAATTAGCAGGGGGGGGGACAGAGGGAGGGTCACAACTTTTTGAGACTCAGAGAAGGGAGGGGTCATGAAAAATGGACCGTTAAAAGGGGGAGGGTCATGCAAATATATGCCCGTGATCATGTAGAGGTTCACCCAAAGAAGAAAAAGGAAGTTCTTTATTTGGTAAAAAAAAAACCTGGGAGAAATAGGAGAGTCAAGTAATCAGCTGTCAGAATCAGAGTCAGACTCTTAATGCTGTCATCTAAAATGCATGTATATAGCATTACAAAGAACAGATAAAAATATATTTGAGTTTTCATAATACTGACTCACCCTAGTGTATTGCAAGAACTAGATTTTATCATTTATACAAGAGGGGGAGGGTCATGATATTTCAGGCCAAGCTCAAGGGGAGGGTTAACAAATTTCACTCCCATTGCAGGGATGGATCACCTCATTTCTGAACCCAAATTTATAATCCCCCCCCCCACCTCTGCTAATTTCTGACAAGTCCCTTATAACTCGTAATGATATTCTTTGATACCTGTCAGCTATGAACAGACATGACCCAGAGGCACTTGGGGCAGCAGACCATTTACGCTGATTTGAAATTTCCTGTCAAATGAAAATACACACAAATTTTTGGTGTAATGTGAAGTCAAATCCCTTAATATGGACCTTAATATGGACCCTGAGAAGGCCAGAGAAAAATTCCATATTAACAGCATGTTTGTATTGAGTGGGTGGAGTTTAAATAAAATGTAAGGGCTTTCTTTCCCCAGGGACAAAGCAAACTGTCTGCAATAATATGTACTTTTCAGTCTCTCAAAGAATTGAAGTCCACTTGGGTTGTCAATCAGCTCACCTTTTCACCAGGAGCACGCAGTGTTCCATTGGGTAAGACTATTGTATTTTCCTTCTGTTATAGTAAAAAATAAATACATCTTTACCTCAGAAATAAACATAATGTACACATGCACATTTCTGCTGGCTACCTGTACACTTTTTACGTGTATTAGTGCTGTTATATCATGTACAAATTCAACAAAATCCAATCAATACCAAAGGCATATACATCTAGGAGGCACGCCATTATTTTATTTTGTTTATCACATATTTTGAGGTTCTGATTTAAGGCTTAATGACAACACTTATCCCTAATTAGTTATTTATTGTCCAAGCATATTCATACCAACTTCTATAAAATCACAATACTGCACTTAATGTTACCTCATTGGATAAGGGTATTGGTAGACTGGCAGTGTAGTTAAACTGCTGAGCCATTTGAATCTGCCATGCTTCTGGTACAGAGTATGCACTGTCAGCGTGAACACTTAAAAGATTGCTGTAAATTATATTGAAAAAATAACAACAACAAAACAATTTTAATACTTTGCTTTTAATTACATTTAACCAAGCAAGGTCTAATACATCTAAATAACTTTACAAAACTTGCAAACCAGTTTAAAACAAATCTAAATTATAATGCCAACGACCCTGACTATTGTTGACTAAGTTTCTATCTTTGTTTAATAAATGCATATGTTGTGGTTCAATATTTGATCCTTGATTTAAATTTCATTTTCCTTTGTTTCAAGGTGTGCTAAATATGTCTGGTAGTTTGAAACGAAGAAAAATAAAATTTAAACCAATAAAAAAAAAATAAACCACAACATGAGCAATGTTCAGCTATGTACATAAAAAGGTGTTCTAACCTGTTGTTTAACTGCGTTTCTGTGAGAAGTGGCTGTGATACAGAGACCTGGACTTCAATTTCAGGCTAAAAGAAAATAATACATAATTTATTTGATTCAGCAAGGTATGATCCCTTTCACCTTGGGTGGATTCACTTGCAACACATGTGTATTACAGTTGTTGCAATTGTCTGCTGAAATTTTTTGCTTTTAAGTCTAAAAACAATAACAATTTCCAGTGGGCAAATGCAACATCTTTATGCACAATTATGTTGCAAAAATGGAAAGTATGTACATGTGAGGTGGGTTAAATTACTTAAAAACATCTCAAGAAAAAGTACATCCCTTTTTTTAACATGTATACTTGTACAAGAAAAACTTAAAAATTATCTGAGGTATTAATATTTATTATGTCACTTTGAGCCAGTTTTAATTGGTTCAATTATTTTGGATCATGCAGTACTGCCTGACCTCTTTAACTCAACCAAGCACATACATGAAATAAACTTAACATTTATAATAGCGGCGCTCCATGGACATGTTTTGCATGCGTGAGCTGAGCCCCATACCTAAGAAAATGTGGTGATCTACCCATCCAAAAAGATTTTGGTAATTACATGACCGTACATCTGACCAACCTCCTGTCTGTCTGCATCACCGGGCAAACCAACACTAACTGTCAATTTTTGTGGCTAGTGTGGGAGCCCGCAACGTGATATCACACATTCATGTTGTGATTAATTGACTGCTATCAAAACAGGGTATCCACTGACCAGTATCGCATGACCATATAATTGTGGGCTCAGGAACGTGTCTTTCTTAAGTTCTCCACTGACAAGTTACTGGTTTTGGATTGATCGCAGACTAAACTTTAAGTAGATGTCTATTTATTAAAGGGAGCTACATGCCTTTATTTAGCCTTGGCTAAATTAATATATCACATAATATATAGAAGAGAAAACAGTACCAGGATGTGTTCTGTGGTAACTTCAGCTGGTGGGGTAACTGGATGAACACATTGTATAATACTGAACTTTGTTTCTCCTTGGATTAAATTCAACAAACTAAGTTAGTCAGAATCCTTTGTAGGGTTAAGTACAATATATTAGAGAAAAAGAAGTAATGAAAGAAAACAAAATCTACACCATAATAATTCAACCTGTCCATACATCAATAAAAGATTAGTAATACTGCAAGCTTTAAGGTGGCAGGAAACATGATGGAAATGAAACATACTTCCAAGTTAATGTCAACCATGCATTACAGGGACAGCCCACTGGTAGTGACTACATATATGTTTAAGGACTTGAACATATTCTAGAATAAAAATACATGGCCGAAAATGAAGCTGTCATGAAGGGCCATAACCTGTGACACCTGTTAAGGCTGGCTCACTTGATGTTACTGGTGATCAAAGTGGAAAGCTAATAAAGGTGATGCTATACATATTTTTTATTTTTTTTCAGCAACAGCCCGGAATGAAACAAACTGACATCCCTTTTGTTTTGGCTGCCATTGTATGGTTAAAATTACCAAAAATCTGGTGGAAGCTAGTAATATTTAAGATAAATGAAACATTCTTATCAATAGTGTACAAATATTGTAGTCAAAGAGATTGGTCACAAATTCACTCTATATAGAAACTATACAAACATCAGTTTCTAGATGACAAAAGTACAGTCAAAATCCAAGTTTTAGAGCTAAGAGCCTACACAGTTCTCAGTCCTCTTTTTAACACTACAATGGAGTTTTAATGTGTATTTTTTTAGCCTTAATTCACATCACTTGATTATCAGGAAAGAACTGTATATAGTAGCTGTGCACAGAACCTGAGTGTTTAACCTCTTGTAAACCATCATTATCGGATAATTTATTACACATTGTATCACAGTGTGATAACAGACACTTAAGTAGACTGACATACCATGAAGCAAAGGAAGCAAATCAATGCACGACTGCCCCAAGACATTTGTTTTCTCTTCTTTTCCTTTCTTGTCTTTGGGCAGCACTTCAATGACAGTCACTTCAAAAAATAAGATAAGTTAATAAGTAACCTAAAGAATCTTGCTTAAAATATGTGCACATATAACTTTCATAACCATTCATTAAAAACACTTCTCTGTTGACTAGTGTTAACCTGAATTTGAATTTGGAAGATGTTTGCTTAATTATTTATTATGGCTGACTTTCAATGATGTTGTTGACTAAAATGGGAACTGACTTGAAGGCTTGATTTCATCAGCAGACTGTACAACTTAAACCAGTGGGCTCATATTTTATTTGTGACTAAACCTCAAAACCTAAGTAAAAATCAGGCATTCAACAAAGCTTACAAACAAAAATTAATTTTAAGATACACTGTACATGTAGTGTTCTCTGCCCTTTCCCTTTCTACCCTTCGATTAATTAAAATTTAATTAATTGAACATACAGCTGTATGTCTTTATCTTGAGTGCACAGACCTACCTGTCACAGGTTTATAAGATATAGAGTCCAATGATGAGGCATCATCAAAAGTGCAATCAAACGAGGCACTAAAGCCATACTCTGTGTTGTGTGTCTCAGTATTTGCTTCCACTTTTGGTGATTCACCTAGGAGATTAGCTCCAAACTCAAGTCTTACTAAAGAATTTAAAGAATCTCCCTTTGAACCCCGCTGTGAATTAAAGAGAGAAAGAATGTAAATAACTGCAACATTATATTTATTAGGAAAAAAGGACATAAAATCAAAGGGTGCCTTAACGCTAACTTGTGGATTATTAATTACTGTATTTTAGAAATGAAAGCTGATAATGAACCTGCAATTAGTCTACTCGTATATTTTAAGTCTGTCAAAAAAACAAAATATGTTTCACGAAAAAACAACAACAACAACAACAAAAGGGCCAAAATAAAAAGTTTCCAATGGCAAGAGTCGAACCCCAGACCTCCAACGTGTAAGGTCAGTGCATTATCTATTGTACCATGACAACTAATAACGAAGAATTTTGTTAAATGAATTGTCTTTAACACTTTTGCCCATGAAGTTCAGCCGGTCAACGCTTTGCGAAGCCGCCGTAGAGCTTTATTTATGAAGAACTGAAAGATGTACTCAACAAAAACAAGTATGGTTTTGACAGTTAAAGCCCTACTGTAACTCATTTTGTCGCATTTGAAGAACATATGGCCAACAAGTGTCTCGCAAAACCGTCGCGAAGTCTCTTGCAGCTTGCGATTCTTGGTGTTTACATGAGGAGAATCAATATTTTATTACAACTCAGCGACAGTAAACATTTCAATTTTGATTGAACAACGAAACATTTCATTTCAGAATGATATTTCACTAAGAACCATGAGATTGGGGGTCTTGTCATGAGAAAAGTTAAAAAATCGTGAGACTCACAACAGAATCGTGAGCTTAAACTAGTGCAATTGCTGATCTTTTCATCATGTTTATCGCCTGGACGAGTCAAAAAGCTTCAAAAGTTCATAAACCTCTGTCTCAAAGTTGGCCATAGTGCTAATTTGAACTATTGAAATTGCACATGAAGACAATCACCCTGTGAATTCTGTGAAATGTACAAAATCAGCACAAGTTTGTACATCTCTTTCTTTCTATCTCACCATGTCGTTTATTTATTTCAGAAAGTCTTCATTTGTTTGAACCAATAATTATTATCACTAACTTTTTGGGTCTACTTTGCTCTGTATATGCCTAAAAAGTTACCTGTTTTTATATGTTTGTCAGTTAATATTTTGTAATTTATACGTTTACGATAGTGAAAAAAGGCCTTTATACATTAAGCAGTTAACCCCATTGGCACTCTCTTTTTTGTAACATGCAACCATATTCTGCAAAGGGTCAATTAATTGTACATGTGCTTATCAAGGTGGGGGGGCTTTGTCATGTTATTGCTTTTATTTTACTATCATTTTGCCACACAAAATAAATTACAGTAACTAGCAGTAAAATTGTAACAAAAGTGTTTAACATTAAGATTGAATTAAAAGAAACCAACAGCTGGGAAGGTGACTGTGGCAGGGGAAATCTCCTAGAAGCCAATGAGATTTCCCGCCACTGGCTTTTGAACTCCTAAATCTTAGATTGCATTGATATTCAAGGGGGGTATACAATGTAAATGCTTTTAAAGAGCGAGTTTCCAAATTTAATATCTCCAGAGGTTGTAGCATCTCTGAACTCATCAGGTAGACAGGACTGACTTATATTTTATTATTTAAGGGACGCAGCTGAATGAGATTTATTTCCCGGGCTAATGAAGGAGACTTCCAGCTACTTTCATAAAAATAAGAAACAAAAGAACCAAAGGAAGGTTGATTCTCCGCCTGTTATTGAGTTAAGTCCTCAACAGGGTGGGGAAAGAGTAAGAGTAATATTTCAAAATGTACTATGGCTTAATGAACACTTGCAGATCTTACACATTCTCGCTCAGTTTAACACAACTGAATAAGTGCATGTACAATGTATTGGTTAACTCACCAAATTTTTGCATCGCACAACAGTTATAACGACCGGTTCGGGTGATCTGATAGTCACTGTATTTTCCTCGTTAGCCATTTCGGAAACATGCGGCTTATTGAAGGAGTATACCACTGTTAATTTGTCACTTGCATTTCACAGACGACATCCTCCATCGCCGCCATATTGACTTTTTCCATTTGTACTGTTACTATGACAACCAGCTCTTGCAAGCCGCTGGATCAAGGTAAAACACAGACTTGATTAGATTCCAAAATTTTACGTGACAATGTTTACGGTTGTTTTTGATCCATATAAAAAAAATTTTGCCAAAAAAAACTATTTGTGGTCAAAAGGTATGTATTAAAACGAAGAACCAACTACAACAAAACTGACAATACAACACGTCAGGTTTCACATGGCCACAAACGGGGAAGATGAAACTGAATTTAAAATTACAGAATTAGGTGAAAGGTAGATATTTGCTATCTTATTAACATTTTTTACACGGCTCCGTAAGCTATATTAGCTTTAAAACCCACCTTGTTTAAATAAAAGATGTTGTTTTTGTTGTGCTTTTGTGGCTTCTTGCATTTTTGTAATCCACGCTTTGATTATCATACCGCGAGAATGTTCTTGTATTAAATCACCTCTCCGCCACATCTAATTGTCTCTATTTAACCAATAGAAAAGCTTATTCACAATGAACTACCAATAAGATTTGACATCATAACTTTCCCGCGGGACAAACAAAAATGTGTTACCGTCTTAGTCGAACCACTTTCATTTTATCATCAAGCAAAACTGTTTTCAGTACTCCTTGTTTACTCATATAAATCAAGTTTGTGTCGTTTTACGGCGAAAAAAAACGGTGAAACCCTTCAAAGAAGAACTGAAGAATTGAGCAAACAGTCTTACACAAAAAAGGTAAGAGAAACTTGCGTGTTAAAGTCACTGTAATCCGTCGCTGAAAACCTTCGTTTATTTGTTGATAAATTTTCTTTTAGGAAAAGTCTAATCAAGAAGAAGCTGACTCGGTGAGTCTCTTGTTTTTTTGCTTAACAAGTTTCTTTATAACATCTGTGCAACATAATTAGCCTGCGTAGCAAGCGTTTCCTCGCGATCTTCGTCTAGAAAGCTGGGACAAGAGCAAAAAAAAAAATGAATGACGGGGGAGTTGGAGGGGAACGAATCCGCTCTAACTTTCGCGCAATAACTCGATATTGGAAACGCTTGCTACGCAGGCTACAACATAATCTACGTACTATTCAGGTCAAAAGTCAATCAAATTCAGAACTAATTACACTTCACCGCTTACACATGCGGTAAAATTACATTCATTTGCGCGCCGCACTTGAAGGATAGATTATTTTATTTTATTCTTTTACTTCTATTTATTATTTATGTGTGCTTTTTAAATAAATAAGGTTGTGAAATAATTGACAACGTTCCCACATGCCTTGTACACGATGACCGTGACAGTTGGCAGAGCTTTTGCCTTGAATTTTTTAGCAGAATCAAAAAAGTATCCAAATATAAAAGCAACTAAATTAAGTGGCGTTACATCATTTTTCATTGAAAATGATATTTTCATAGATTCACACATTTGAGGATAACAAAGCTCGGCAGCGAAGAAATCTTACAACAATCGTAACATAGGTTTTAACTGCTTGTATTTTTATACACTTCACCTCCAGATTCCGCAAGATATGAAGAGAAAGCGCCGGAAAATTAATGGCTTCTAGGATGTACCTCTTAATGTTTTATTATTCATACCTTGATCTTCTTAAGAGTACTTTTACTATTACAGGACAAAAACTCAAGATGGCTAGTGGGGGAGAACTATGCCAAAACAAAACTTTACACAAAACTTAAGTTTGTCGTTGGAATTTGAAATAAGGTCGTGTACAATTTATTATAACCAACTTGCGCTGCATTCATATAACATGAACGCAGAAATCTGTTGACAAACTAATTGATCTATTATGAAAGTATGAAACATGTACAGCACTGGGTACTGCATCATATATTATGAAAGTATGAAACATGTACAGCAGGTACTGCATTCATATATCATGAAAGTATGAAACATGTACAGCAGGTACTGCATTCATATATTGTGAAAGTATGAAACATGTACAGCATGTACTGCATTCATATATTATGAAAGTATGAAACATGTACAGCAGGTAAATATTATGAAAGTATGAAACATGTACAGCAGGTACTGCATTCATATATTATGAAAGTATGAAACATGTACAGCAGGTACTGCATTCATATATTATGAAAGTATGAAACATGTACAGCAGGTACTGCATTCATATATTATGAAAGTATGAAACATGTACAGCAGGTACTGCATTCATATATTATGAAAGTATGAAACATGTACAGCATGTACTGCATTCATATATTATGAAAGTATGAAACATGTACAGCAGGTACTGCATTCATATATTATGAAAGTATGAAACATGTAAACATGTACATATTCATATATTATGAAAGTATGAAACATGTACAGCACTGGGTACTGCATTCATATATTATGAAAGTATGAAACATGTACAGCAGGTACTGCATTCATATATTATGAAAGTATGAAACATGTACAGCAGGTACTGCATTCATATATTATGAAAGTATGAAACATGTACAGCAGGTACTGCATTCATATATTATGAAAGTATGAAACATGTACAGCAGGTACTGCATTCATATATTATGAAAGTATGAAACATGTACAGCAGGTACTGCATTCATATATTATGAAAGTATGAAACATGTACTGCAGGTACTGCATTCATATATTATGAAAGAAACATGAAACATGTATTTTGAAAAGTATGAAACATGTACTGCAGGTACTGCATTCATATATTATGAAAGTATGAAACATGTACTGCAGGTACTGCATTCATATATTATGAAAGTATGAAACATGTACTGCAGGTACTGCATTCATATATTATGAAAGTATGAAACATGTACTGCAGGTACTGCATTCATATATTATGAAAGTATGAAACATGTACTGCAGGTACTGCATTCATATATTATGAAAGTATGAAACATGTACTGCAGGTACTGCATTCATATATTATGAAAGTATGAAACATGTACTGCATATACTGCATTCATTCATAATAGTATGACGAAACATGTTTAATTTGATCACCCCTGAGCATGATCACATAAAAAAATTCCATCCAAAAGGTATATATGGGAATCTGTAATCTGAGTCCTTAAAACTTTATCACGTCCGCATGATATGAAAGCTCCCATCTTGTTTTAAAAAAATGTGTTTAACCTCGTCACGAATTTAAAAAGTTTAACTCGCCTTTTTATTATCGAACGTTCACAATTTTCGAGGAGCATCGCACCTTTTTTCGTTTCTTCAATCAGCGTATTTATTAAAATCTGTCGGTCAGCTGCAAGCGTTTAATTCATTTTCCGCATTCGACTTTCTCTTTTGCTTTTGTCGCTTTCTAATGCGACGAAAACTATCCTTTACCAATGTGCTGAGTTGCTATACGTACAAATTATTGTTGTTGCTTTCATCCGACACCCACAGTCATTACCATCATCACTCCTAGCAATAATAAAATCAGTACTATTAATTATATCATGACAACAAAAAGATAAATGTAACAATTATATTAAGAATGAAAAAAGTGCAATAACTTAGGATTTTATTAGCGTTTTATTAGCGTTCAACGTGTCCCCAGCACGGGGAATTTTTCATTGTTCATTTTATTTCCCTCGAGGTTTTTAAATATGTGGACGCAGCACCGAGTGACAATCTTCTGAAAGTCTGAAGTCAGGTGGAAACCGCCATCGCCTGTGTTTTTAACCTGTAAGAACAAGTAAAGCGTGGAATCCTATCCTTAGGACAACTAGAGAGTACATTTTTGGAATATTGGTTGGCATAAACAATGTTTTCCCGTTCAAAACCTCCCCACTTTTGGAGTGACATGGGGATCAAGTAGCAACTGCACCTCCCGCACCGTGATCATTTGAAGATTCCTCTTTCAATGCACCTGAGATATCAACGCAAGACAATATTCATTACCAAAACAAAATTGTCAATAAAATTAAAGGATTAATGAGGAGTGGCCAGAAGAGCTATAGTTACAGTGAGAACCTTAACATTTACGTTTTACATATGCTCACTGTTTTAAACGAAATGTTACTCAGTGAACCAAAACCATTGATATAACCATAAATCAATAATCCTACCAGAAACCAGTTAACTTTCTCCGGTAAACCAATGACTGATGTTCAGTAACTAAGCTGATACTTAAATTACATATCCACTGACCGTTAAAGAAAAAACGCACGCATGCAAACACGTACTTTGACCAACATACGTAATTATGAAATGATTAAAACAACAGGGAGGAGGTAACATGAAATAATAAGTGAATCTCCTCTATTCATACCTTCCACGGATTCTACACCTATAAAATGTTATATTCTTATCAAGATCCAAGTTACCAAACATATCAACGTTCTTGCTCTCATTACTCATATTATTATCATTACTACTATTAAATAAACAACGATAAACAAAGAAATAATGATAATAATAACAATAACAATGGAGGATTTGAAAAGCGAAATTGTTATAGCTTGGTCTCGTGACCGCGCAGAAATCCACACTTGTACCTCTATGCGCTGTTGCCTGTAAAAAAAATATTCCACTCCTACAATTCTATACAGTAGGACAAATTTTTAAACAATAATTAACGATCAACTAAATGAAATGCCTTTGACAAATCCTTGCTACATCTATGTACTCTTGCTTATCCAAATTATTGACGCATTCATAATGCGCCGAAGCAAATTAAGCCATAGATCTAAAAAACCATGATGTGATTTGGTGTGACACATCTACCCATAACTTTAAATGAGCCTGGAAATTCTTCTCTTTATTTATTACATATTACATAATTCCACCCCCACCTCAGTCCCTAATCCTCATCTATCATGGATGTTTTCAGTCGTCCGTTTTTTTCTTTCTTTTTTAATCGCTTAAATTGCTGATAGTTCGGTAAAAGGTTTAAAGACCTATCGATCGATTTGAGCCGCGCGTCTTCCCAAATTTAAACGTTGTTGAATTCTATACATTCGCCAAACGTATCTATTTCGTTGGTTTCCGCTGCAAATGGAGGAAATCTCTTTCATTCGGCTTCTTAACTAAATGAA